ATGAAAATCTAATTTGATCAGAGCGACCACACGAGTTGAATAGAGAGAGAAAGAGAAGGGGATGCGAAGGGAGACAAAGAAGGGTTTGTTGCTCTGCTAGAGCTTTACTTCACGTCACTTTGGAAGTAATTGGAGCTTGATTATTATTGGGTAAGCCTGTTCTATTCTTTCATCTTCATCTTCCATGCATTGTTATGTTCAATGGTGTGGTTGAAGGTTGTTTTTCGGCCATGGGATTGTTTTGCCGAACCCATTTGCTTAAATGGAGCATTAGGGAGTAAACTAAGTTTTTAAACCAAGGTTAAGAATTTTATAATGATTTAGAGTTTGAGTTAGGGTTTGGATGAACTCTAAGTAAAAATATAAGCATTGGGAGCAATGTGGGTGAAGATTTGATGTTATTTAAGTGTTTGGGTGGTAAATGAATTAATAAAATGTGTTGGAAATGTTAGTTTTGCTAAAGAGAATTTGGATGTGGGGTTACCCACACTTAGGATAAATTAGAATTGTAAATGATTATTAGTGTTTTAATTTTGTAGATAAATATTTATTGAGCATCGTGAGCTAACAGAATCTAAAGTAATAGCCAAATTGCCACAATAATCCTTTTTTTGACAAAAAGATAGAGGTAACTGGATAATCTAGTTCTTTTATTTGTGTGTTTGAATGATTATGAGTTTTGCAAAATATATGAAATCTATTAAAATTTGTGAATTTTTCTTATGTGCTTGGCATTTGGCAACTTGTATGAAGTGGTATTAAACTAAAATAGTATCTTATGTTTAAAACCCTTTTTATGTATATTCATAAATAATTTAAAATTGGATGCAAATTGAAATGTTAGTAATTGTTTTATAATTATCCCTAATAAAAAATGTATATGATTGAAATTGTCTGAGCATAATCATTGTGAGAGGGTGGGAATTCACTCTAAGGTTATAGGGGCATATTGTATGAAATCTATATGATACATTAGCACCATGAAGGCCCCGATGCATAATCTTTCTTATTTGAAAGCCCTAGTATTATCTTGAAAATAGATTAGATTATACAACACCCCGATATTTGAGAAAAGAGGAAACTATGGTCTAAAATGGGTGAAGGTGTCTTTAGTTAAGGCTACCTCCTATGATTGGTGAGCTTGGGCCAGTCTAGTTACATGAATTTTATTCTATTGTGTTGTTAGCCCATAAATTTAGTCGGAGGAAATAAGGAGGATATAAGATGGAGAATATTGATTATGCATTGTATGAAATGGGATATTGTAATCATGGATTTGTATGCACCTAATAACTTATTTTTATTTCCCACTTTACACACTCATATACTATTTGATACATTAGTGAATATAGATTAGATTATTTGATTATTGAGATATCATTTCACCCCGTGGTTATATTTTACAAGTAAAGGGTCCGATAGGGTAAGTGAAAATGAGGTATTACCGAGAATTGAGAACCTCAGAATTGTATAGCTCTCTCTTTTGGTATTTGTGTAAAGAATAATTTATAAATTAAGCCAACTTGTGACATCTATTATTTTGGACCACTTGCAATATTGGTGTTTTTAGCTTAGGATATGGTATTTATGTTGTAAATTGTTGTGAAGGACTGAATGTATGCATGTGGATAATTTTTGTATGATTATGTTATTTTATACTTACCCCTTTGATTATTATAAGATTAGGTTTTAAAGGTCAAGTTATGTTTGGAATGTATGTGGTGATATATGATTGTTCAATTAGGTGTATTCACTATTAGAAAAATGTAAATTATGAGCAAATTTATAAGTAATCATCTTTACTCTTTTAAATTACTAAATTAATGAGGGATGTTAGTTTCGTAGGTCAACTTAAAATTAGTGAGGAAAATAGCAATGAAATGTCAATTCCTCTCTAAGTAAGATAATTAGCTAGAAAATAGCGAGAGGCTATCAATCCCTCAATAAAATAAATAATTAGCAAAAAAATAGTGAATGACTGCTAATTCTTTTGTAAATAAGATAATTATTGAGGAATTTAGTAAGAGATTCTATTCCTAGCTAATTACTGCAAAAAAAATTAATTTTTAACAATGACTTTTATTATATATTTAATTATTTTCACACTAAAAATAAAAATTAAATCTAAAAATTAACTAAAATAGTCATAATAAAATTATTTAATGTTTAATATTTTCTTTATGTTAAGTTCATTTTCAAAATATAAAATAATATTTTATTAAAAAAATATAAAAATAATAATTTAAATAAAATATAAATATTTTTTAAAATTTTAATAATTGAAAATAAAATTTAATATATATGTTCATTTTTATAATATATCATTGATATATTTGTAGTAGTTAATAATATATATTTAATTTGTCATATAGTGACTATAGGCACCTTTCAATCAATTGCAAAAAAAGAGAGCATAAGGCTTGAAAGGTAGGAGGTCAAGGGTTCAAGTTTTAGCCTTGACATAAACATAAATATATGTGGCATGGCAAGGAGTGAGTGATATGGTGCGAGGGGTCGATAACACGTCATAAATTGTGGCACACATGGTAGGTAATGGGGCACGAGATGGTAGATGATATGGCAATTAATGAGGCATAAGGTTATTAGTAAACTATTGGCAGTTGGTTAGTAACATGTCATAAGCTCACACACATATGGTGGGTGATGTGACATCATCATTTTTAAATATAAGTATATTTAGTGAGGGATTAGCGAGAGATATGGCCTTCACTAATTAGCAAGTAAAATATGATCTCTCGTTAAATTTAGCGAGTTTGTTTTTTAGTTATGAATTTAGCAAGAGATAAAATTTCTCGTTAAAACACAATTTAGCGAGGGATTTATCTGTCACTAAATTTCATTTTTCTAGTAGTGATTGTGGCCTATTTGAGTTTGTCTAAGGTGGTCCTAGAGTTATTAGCAATTGGTTGGTGGATTAGGACATCCTTAGGCTGGTATTGAATGGATAAAGGGTCGTTTTATACTCGGGTATTTAACTTTTAAATGATAAGAGTTTTGTTGTGATACTAGCGCCGATAGTTAGGTGACTCTAAAGTTGTGTATGGACACTTGAATCACTCCAGTTAAATGTCGCATGGCAAAACTATTCTAAAAGTTAGTTTCGAGGTGTTGTCTATCCCTACAATGCATTACACATTGATAGAATTGGCCCATCCATGCCATTCACCACAGGAAACAAGGCATTTTAAGCAAGGTCCAAATTTGACCTCCTTTAATGTTCAAATGTATGGATTTTACTTCATGCATTCGTTACTTCTTTGTGTATGTTTTTAATTATGGTTTAATCTCAAATATCTTTTTAAAAAAGATTTCTTAGAATTTCAACTTTTGAACACTTTTTCTTTAAATCCTCATTATTATGATAACCTATTATAAAGAATTTCTTAATCTTAATTATCATAATGATGTTATGTGACGTGTTCTGATAATATCAAGGGGAATAAAGGGGTGCCACTTCATCACTGCTTCTAACACTAGCGACCTCTAGTGTTGATACAGATGAATGATCTTAAGTGCAATATCTGGGCTGGAGCATATGCTCATTAATATAGAGTAAACACACAGTTTTATTTTCTCTACATAATTAATTCATAAGTACTAATTACATACCAAATCATTCTCTTTGAATGGTGCAATGAAGTATGCACGGCGGTCACCATCAGACCTTCACCATGGACTCAACAATGCTGTGTCGGTTTCCTGCATCTTGTTGCAAACAGAATGAAGATAATGAAAGGTATGTTTCCAGCCACTAAGAATGACTAAGTGTGTATTTGGTCTTCAGTTTGTTAAAAGTCCATTTGATAAAAGGTTATTTAACAAAAGTCAGTGTTATAATAAAATTTATATTTAGATACTTTTTTTTTTTAAAAGTCAATCTGATAAATGAAAAATTATTTAAATTAATGATGATTTATACTTTTGAGATGTGTTTTTAAATATGCAATAATTAAAAAGAATATTGATTTATGATAATAAGAATACCATGATCATTTATAAAAGTAGGCATAAAATTATTTCCCTTATAATTGCTCTCAACTCTCATTTGCAATTTAAAATCACTAGAAATAGAAAATAGAGTTGGCAAATTCACTTTCAAACCTCATCTCAACCTATATTTAAAAAGCCTATTTTGCTCATTTAAAAATTACTCAAACAACTTTTAACATCTAAAAAATTGAAAAGTGGATTTCAGATGCTAAATGTTGATTACCAAGAGCGGCATAAGAAAAGAGGCATCTCTCCTTCCTTGTTAGGCTCACAAGCCAAGGCTTCATGGACGCATAATATTCGCTGACATACAGAAACAGAACCTCACGAGCCTGCACAGTGCAGAGGAGTGTCTTGCTGGTCGTTCATATATTGCTTGCAAGGTCTGCTTGGCTACTTGGATGTCGTTAACGTTGGTGCGTTCAAATCTCATGGACCAGGTTTACAACCTTGTCTTCTGGTGGTCCCAGACTAATAGCCACGTGCAGTGCAGTGTCTTTGGATCTGGTGATCTTTGTGGCCTGAAGATGTGGATGACAATTGTATAACTCTGCAACTTCATCCCATGTCTGTCCCAGCACTGCTTTGCACAGTTCTTGCCGCTTTTCCTCCATTCTTGGATTTCCCTCCTCTTATGGAGCGATTCGTGGCTGATTGAGCAGCTGTACATATGTGTGCGCGTTGGGGTGGTTGCATGCATGCAGAGGTTTCCTTTCACTGGCCTGTATTTGGCACGAAGCATTGAATTTTAAGGAATTAAGGACGAGATTAGAAATAGGATACGACATGAGACTATGAAAAAAAGGTAGGACTCAAATCAAACAAAAATTAAGCAAGAGACCCGTTGTCGATCCTTGTCTTATTCCGGTTGAGAACATCCGGGGAAATTAATTAGAGCTCGCCACCAAAAAAAAAATTAAAATAGAACCAATTAATGAACAAGCAAATCAGAAAATAACAGCTTGAGGAATTATTAATATGAATTAAACTGCTCCAAATCAAAACATAGTCAAAATATACGTTGATGGAAAAAAGAAGGATGAGAGGCAAAGAAACCAAAAGCAAGAGAAGTAGAGGAAGCCGATCTGAGAGAAAGGAAGTTGGTGTGGGGGCTGATATGTGACATACATACATGTATGCATGCATGTGATTCTGATTTGAAAAAACAAGAGTCACGTGCTTCATGCTTCATCCACTTGTTATCATTACCAATGTTTTTTATTATTAAAAAAATCGCATCCAGCCTCTTTTAAAAAAATTAATTACAGATAAAAATTAATATAAAATAAATTATTATTAAAATAAAATATGACTTATTTTTTTTTCGAATGAGATTTGTTAGTACATTTCTATGATTAATTTATTTGAGAAGATTGGATGTAATTTTCCCCTTTATAAAACTAAAAGCTTAATATTAATTTGAACATGTTTGGTTTCACACAAGTGTTGTTCTCCTTAATTACAATTTAGGAAAGAACGCAGGTTCTCGCATGCAAGCAAACAGAGGCATGTAATCTTTGATGATTTATCGCTTTATCTTTTTATTTATTTATTTTTTGTTATTGTCCCTTGTCGCTTTTTTTGCTAAAGGAAGAGTTAGAGCAAATTCCAATTTGAACTACGTATGTTATTTTATATTACATATTATGTTTAGCTGTAACGAAGAGCTCTTGTCCCTTGCATTGCCCAACCGACACAGTGTTTAATTATCATATATATTTTTTAAAAAACTGGCGCATAAAAATAAAATACAATATATATATATATATATATAAAATAGAATTAACGGTTATTTTTATCCTTAAATTACATACAAAAAGGTACAAATATCTTTAAATTTAATTATGAATCAATTCTATCTAAAGATTCTCTCCATTATTATCCTAACGATAAAAACACTTAACGTTCATTAGTCATTAGTGAGTCTTATTATTTTTTTAATATTTTTTATTAAGTTAAGAATTATATATTTGCCCCTCAACTTCTATTAGAAGAGTCATTTTTGCCCCTTCACTCAAATATTTTATAATAAAAAAATTAAAAAATTTAATGTGGAACTCACTAACTATTAATTAATGGTGAGAAAATGACAGAGTAGTAAGTAAGAAATCTTTAAAGTTAAGAGATATAATTGATTTATAATAAAGTTTAGAAATATTTATAACTTTTTGTGTATAATTTATAAATAATAATGATCTTTTTGAAAAAATAAGAGGGAATTATATAGCCTATTCTCTATAAGCTTCACGTGATGACAAAGGAAAGGCACAAAGGCAAAGATTTGCCAAATGAATCACACGGGACTTGGGAGTGTTACAAGGAGAATAGGGAAGGGAAACAGAACATCCTCGCAAGACATTTGTAGTAAAATTGGTTCTTAGTCTGGACAAGTTCTTCACAACTATAAATTCATTTTTAATCTGAATGGTTTCTGGTATAGCATTTATAGGTAAATACTTTTTATAATGTAGCATTTATGGCTCGTTTAGCAACATGGAATTGGGAAGAGGGAAGTGGAATTGGAAATGAAACTCATTTTTAATTATTTGGTATGCAAGATCCAGGTTCCTCAATTCCATCAATTTTGATGGAACAACATGACTCCTAGGAATTATTGAATTCGACCTTCATTTCCTCTCTCATTTTACCTTTTTTTGCACTCATATTTCCCCCTGTGAGGACCCAACCTCATTAACAATCTTCATTGACGGTGACACAAAGGAAGATGAGAGGGTGCTTGACCGACAGCAACAAATCCCAACCATGACTGGAGAGTACCTTTTTGAGATCAAACAAGAGTGAAAGGCGATGGAAACTCCCAACCATGAGTGGCAACACATCGTTTCTTCCTTGATGGTCTTTCGACTCTCTCAAGCTTCCTCGATCTTAGCTTCTCCCTTTCGGCAACCACCAGCATTGAGCATTTGGTTTGATTTTCAGTATCGCTTCCTCCTCCACGTTCTTCGATCTCAACAATCTCCCTCAATTACTAATATGATAAATGGTGGATGTCAGATTTGGTAAATGGTGAGGACGATGTTGGACAACAATGATTGGTTTGTTGATTTTGATTTTGAATGGTGAATTTCAATTTTGATTTTGAATGATGCATTTGACTTTGGATCTTTGATTTTTGCCTTTGGTCTCATTTCTATCTTTGCATTTAGTTCGATTTCTTCTTCTCTCTTACCTCTCGTTATCTTGTTTATGGCTGGCTAGTGGTTGTTTGTGTTGAGGTGACAGGGGATTGTGGCTGTTTAAGGGGGTGGGTGAGGTTTTTTTTTGGTAAAGACATTTAAGTCTTTTTACATTATAAATGATTATATTAATTAAAAATATCTATCTTCATTTTTATCAATCCATCAGACATGCTTTTAACCTTTAACTTCCAACTCCACTTGCCTAAGGTAATTTTTTCTTTTCTGCTGATTTTTCGTAGCATATTGATAAAAAAGCCATGAAATTCTCCCAATAATTTGATTTAACTTGTTATCCACCTTCGGAATTCTGATCTTCTCGGTCTTCTCAGCCACGAACTCACCGAACGCCTACATTCATCGCATTGAGCTGAAATCCCGAAATCATCCATGGCATACAGGAATAAATCAGTTTATGCTGGATGGGCAATTCAGTAATTTCATATTTCCTTTCCACGGCCTCAGAGAAGGCCGAGTCTTTGGAAGTGGAACCACTGAAAGTACAAGACGCAGCCTTTCTGCTTTTCTCCATTTCTCACCGTTTCTTGTTAAGTTGCTATCTTTCCTCGAAAGTTAGGGTTAATGTCTTGTAAATTTTCCTCTCTATAGGGTTCTTTCTTCGTTGTTTGTCATATATTTTCCATCTCTGTTGAAATTATCATGTAAATAAATACATTTGTTCATTTCCACTCCTTTAGAACACATTTCAATCATATTTTGGATCTTTGATTCCGTCAGTTTTCTTTCTGTACAGACAGTGAGACAGGCAAGTAAATTCCTTTTTTCCTGGTCGTATCACTTTTCTGAAACTCGGTGTTTCTGAACAGTGCTAGGTCGGTGTAAAGGGGGAAAGTAATTTGGGAATCTGAAAATCATCGGGCTTTGCGGAAATTGCTCCCTGGTTTTCTCAAAGAATTTAGGTTATTCTGCAAAATGGTCGGTTATTCGGGTATATCTTAAAAAAAAGTATTTTTTTTATACCTCTTGAGTTTGGAATCCCTAACCCAACTGTAGAAGAAGCAGAAGCAAGTTGTTCAACTCGACGGGGTTATTGAGCATGGCGGTTTCGACTATAGCCTTATACGGAAGCCCTCCAAGCAGTGTTTGTTCGACGCCGCACTCCTGCCAGATCAATGGGCATGCGACCTACGACTTAGAATTGGGGTCTCGATCTTCTTCGACGTCTTCGAATACGGCATCCACGCCGCAGAAGTCAGTAATGGGTGGCCTTTCGTGCATGTTTTCTTCGCCGGCGGTGAAGCATGCTCCGTTATCGAGCTTATCCGGGGCAGGGGAAGAACTGGGCACTTTGAGGCACGACAGAGTTGAAGAGTTAAAAGAATTGAGCTGCTCCTTTTCATATTCTCCGAGTAAGTTTGCTGGGTCTTCTTGGAAAAGGGATCCGAGTCCAGTTTCGGTTCTCCAAGGACCAATTTCGTGCAGCAGTAGTGCTGTCAGTGGGAATATGAGTTATCAGAGCTCAATTCGAGGTGGGACATGTAAAATATTCGATGGATTTGTGAGAAATGCATCACGGTCCTGCTTAGATTATGATTCGCCTAGTCTCGAGGTTTCTCGTGGTGGCTTAGATTTGGTTTCATCTACGTTAGAGGATGAACTGACCTTCAATTTCGAAGATGTATTTGTTGGGGGTAGTTCTGAGCCATACGCTAGAGAATTGCTGCGAGGTGCGCAATTGAGGCACAAAATCTTTTGTGAAGACGTCGTTATTAGGGCTTTTTACGAGGCCGAGCAAGCCCACAGAGGGCAGGTAAGTAGAAACTTTTATAGTTAGAATATATGTTTTGTGGTTTTAATTATGTGAATTTAAAGGTTTTGAGTCCTTTTACTGCAGATACGAGCTTCTGGTGATCCATATTTGCAGCATTGTGTGGAAACAGCAGTGCTTCTTGCTTTGATTGGTGCTAATTCCACAGTAGTTGCTGCAGGGCTTTTGCACGACACCATTGATGATTCCTTTATGACGTACGATTATTTATTGAGGATGTTTGGTTCTGGAGTTGCCGATTTAGTTGAAGGGGTGAGGAGCATGTCTTCTAATTCATATCCTTAACATTAGATGTACTGCAATTTTGTATTTTTAATCCGTTTGTTCTAAATTAGCATTTAAATTAACCTCTTGTTTGTTCACGATATCAAGTTTATTGCAGTGTGCAGTTATCAATTTTGTAAGTTGTTTTTGATGGGTAGGATTTGGTCAAACTTAATATGGATGGACCTTGGTGAAAATTGTGCTAGGCCCCCCCCTCCCTCTCTCGGTCTCTTCATACTTTAATTGGCTTAGATTCTTTTGATTGACACAAGGTGTCTAAAGTAGCTTGGTTTTAGGTTTTAGCTGAATTGAACTCTTCTCACTGTTGGCGGGTGAGATAGCCGCAATTGGTACTGTTGTGAACCGGTTTAAGGAGTTCCACTGATAGAACCTAGGCTTGTTTCTCATACATGGCAGCATGCAAGTGCTCGCTTTATGCTTTTTACATGGTTGTAATAGCAATGCAACTTTCAATATGTTTAGGGTTGAATTTCTTATTCTTTCTTTCTAGCACCTAAGGATATTTATAATGCTTTATTATCCAGTTCGCTGACTAAATTTGAGTTTTGATTTTGTGGCTTGCAATTTTGGAATCTATACCTGAAATGGCTGTACCTTACTTTTGGAATTTTGATGGTGTAACCCTTTTGAAGATTCTCACTAATCTTTATGACATTTCAGGTTTCTAAGCTGAGTCACTTAAGCAAGCTTGCAAGGGATAATAATACTGCTAGTAAATCAGCTGAGGCAGACCGCCTGCATACTATGTTCCTTGCCATGGCAGATGCAAGAGCTGTCCTTATTAAATTGGCAGATCGGTTACATAATATGATGACACTAGACGCACTGCCTTTAACCAAGCAACAAAGGTTTGCAAAGGAGACCTTGGAGATTTTTGCACCTCTGGCAAATCGCTTGGGAATATCTACTTGGAAGGAACAATTAGAGAATTGGTGTTTTAAGCATCTTAACCCAGACCAGTACAAGGAGCTATCATTGAAACTTGTGGAGCCAATTGATGATGTCATGATTACTTCTGCCATAGTGAAATTAGAAGAAGCATTGAAAGATGAAGGCATTTCTTATCATGTCCTATCTGGGCGCCATAAGAGCTTGTACAGCACTTATTGCAAAATGTTGAAGTACGTCATCTCTCATGTCCTCCATCTGTCTAGCTGCATGAGCTGTGCTTATTATCTTCCATTTTGCATGTTAGGAAATTGTGCACAGATAATACTTGGGATTTTGCTTTTTGGCAGGTAAAGGAAAGATTGTTTTAAACAGCATTAAATTAGATACTTTTGGTCGTGGGATAGAAGATAATTGTTGCTGATGTGAATTCTCATTTTTATGTCGAATTGCTGTTTGCATTGTTAGAGATGAGGCAATTTCTCGTTTTACGCCATATAGCTGTACAAAACAACTATTTCGCTAATGAACACACATTGCATCCTTAGTACTAGAAATGCTGAACTATCTTGTGCGTATGGTTAAGATTCTTAATACTTGTTGATTTATCTATTTGCAGAAAGAAGCTAACTATGGATAAAATCCATGATATTTATGGGCTGCGCTTGATTGTTGACAAGGAGGAAGACTGTTACAGAGCCTTAAGAGTTGTTCACCGTTTGTGGTCTGAGGTGCCTGGAAAGCTGAAAGATTACATAAGTCACCCCAAGTTCAATGGGTATGTCATCTCAGGAACCGTGGTCTATGCTCTATATTTACATATTGCTATCTACTTTTCATCTAACTTTGATTTTGTAATTTATAGGTATCAATCTCTGCATACCGTAGTGATGGGTGATGTCAAAGTTCCGATTGAAGTGCAAATTAGGACGAGAGAGATGCATTTGCAAGCAGAATTTGGATTCGCTTCTCATTGGAGATACAAGGAAGGTGAACGGCAGCATTCTTCATTTGTACTTCAGATGGTTGAGTGGGCTCGATATATTGTAACTTGGCATTGTGAGACAATGAGTAAAGATTCTTCATCTGCTGGACATGCTGATTCAATCAAGCCAGCGTGCAAATTTCCTTTTCATGCTGATGATTGTCCGTATTGCTACAAACCTCATTCTGGTCAGGATGGTCCTGTTTTTGTAATAATGATCGAGAATGATAAGGTTCTTGACCCAAATTTATGCATCCTAACTTCAAGTTTTATCATTCTTCCTTCCATTGCCATGAATGGTGTCACTGATTTTTCATATTTTATGTAATTCACGGGAAATGTGGCTAGTATAAAATAATATAGGGCTAAAGATTGTGTTTGCACATCTCATGTCGAATTTTTCTTCAGATTTCCTAAATACTTTAGGGGATGAGGACACTGACACACCACTTTAGTATTTAATCATCTCTGAAGTATCAGTTGTGTGTCTGGATGCATGTGCAGATGTCTGTCCAGGAGTTACCTGCGAACTCGACAGTAATGGATTTGCTGGAAATAGCTGGGCGAGGAAGCTCTAGATGGGCCCCACAAAGACTTTCACTGAAGGATGAATTGAGGCTGAGGCTGAACCAAGAGCCTGTAAATGATCCAACATGCAAGCTGAAGATGGGAGACGTGGTGGAGCTTTCTCCAGCCATACCTGATGAGTCGCTAACGGAGTATCGGGAAGAAATCCAGCGTATGTATGACAGAGGGTTAACTATATCAAGCTTAGTGCCTGCTGCTGCTAGTGGCATGGTTGGCTCTAGAAGCTGACCTAGTGTTTGCATGTATGCCAGTTTATCATGTGATGATAATTGTTGTATTATATGAATGTGGCTGTAAATGTTTTTCACTAGGGACTTGCTACTAACTTGATCCAATTATGTTCTGGATGATTGATAGTGTATCTGAAATTTGTTACCCTCCATTTAGCTTTAAGATTTTTGTCAATAATTGGTCCTTGATGTCTTTGATTTAATTGCATTTTTGCATTATATTGGTGTCAGTCGCCGAACTGATGAGCAAAACTCCTTGAGTTATTGGGCACATTGTGAAGGAATGAAAACAAAAGGACAACTTTGTTGATGTGAAATGACACTTGTGCCTTCACTTCAAAGAAATAATGAAAACGATCACCTTTGAAATTTGAGAAGATCCACGTACAATTAAAGCCGCTGCTTGAGGAGGATTATATTGCTAGTCTCTCTCTTCCGGTGGAGGATTTGAATCACCAGCTTCATTTTCTGGCTTGCAATTGCGTTAAGTAATGGCATGTTGTTGAGGTTGCTAGCCAATTCAAGTCTTTAGCATATTTGGAGTGTGCAATTGTTATCAAATTTTGGAAGTCTCGTTCTTCTATGCATATTATGTGAAGGGTGAAGACCAAAGTGCTCATCATCAAATGTACTTTCGCATCGTTTAAGACAAAACCCATTATTCCATGTTACATGTGCATGTCGAAGATTTTGGATTTGTTCTCTGGAAAATAATATATTGGTCATTAAATCAGTTAAAGTATTAATTTAATGATTAATGATTAAAATGTGGTTGAATTATGGTCAGATCGGTTATCAAAAAGAATTTCATTTAACTAGTTAAGATATTGATTTAATGATTTACGATTCAATTAATTAAGTTGAGCTAGATGCTAGATTTTCAATACTTCATTGAAAATGCTTTTTAACTTGAATATTAGGTAATTGTTTTCTTTCTAGCATTATTTCTTGTCTCTGATGATTCTACCACTGTTGTATGTTTTCTAGTGCGGATCAACTTCGCCACAATTTGGCAGTCTGAAATCTCATGATTACTAAGCTCAAAGTTCATTTATATATGAACTTAAATCTAAAATTTTGGGGAGCAGCAATGACACATTCACGTTATATACATATCAGACCTTAGCAGATTAGTTTATATTCTGCTGTTGGAACTTGAAACAGAACGAGAGCTTCAATTGCTAAATATATATACCTTCTAGTCTCTCATATTATTACATAAAACTTACAATAAATCACAACTAAAAACTTACTAGCCAGCACAAGAAGTGAACAAAAAGAAGAGAAGGCAGAGCCATACATAGATCTCTCTGGTTAATTCTCAAACTCAGATCGTTCAACTTCAGAGACGAATTCCAATACTAGCAATGTTCATCTCCGACTCTGATGTCTATCTCCAGAAGAACTCCTGGACTGAGGCTTGCCAGTAAAGAACGAGGATGAGCATAACCAAAACCCCAGCAAGCCCCCAAGAAGAGGTTCCGATTCTGAGGACCCAAGATGGTTCTGGAGATGGAAGCAGAGAAGATGAAGAAGAAGAGCTGGTTCTAATAGCGATGATGAGTCCAGCAAGAACCATAGGCAGAACAAAACCAGAGCTCCATCTTGATTCGTAGAACCTTCCATCACTCTTTGGCTTCACGTTGTACAATGGAGACAAAACCACGGCTGATGCAAGAGCCAACACCATGGCCAACGACCTATGAGAAGAGCCCTGGCTAGAGTATGCATGATAAGAGGTGCTAGCCATTGATGGGCTCCGGAGAAAGAAGCTCGCTGATCAAAATTGTAACCTGAAGCCAGAAATTTATAGTGGAGAAAAGGTGCTAGATTTAATTATGATACACATACTAAAAAATTTGTGTGGGGTAGGATCCTCGTCATTTAGTGGACTAAAATTCAAAGAAGATGCAGTGTTTAATGAGAATGGTCTATATTCTACACTATTTTTTATTCTGTGTTTGAGATGATTATGTTTTAGATTAATTAATTGAAGTAAGCTGGTCAAAAAAAAATTAATTGAAGTTTGAGATAAAATAAATTTTAGTTCTTAAATTTTTTTTTAATTATTAATTTAATTCATGAAATTTTAATTCAGTACAACTTAATTTTTATACTTTATTAAAGAATTGTAGGGATTGAGTTACATTAAATTAAAAAATTACAACGATTAAGTTATTTTAAATTAAAAAATTATAAAAATTAAGTTGTTCAATAATTAAGAAAAAAATAAAAGAATGAAAATTAATATTTTTTTTATTTTGTCATTTTTTTTATTCGATTGATTATGGTTATGGGGAGATGGGCTAAGGAATCCAGGTGGAGTTGGGGTGGCAAAACAGAGACAAACAGCCGTCCAAAAAGTTGAAAGCAGAATCAAAGGGACTGAGGAATCGACAAATTTGACGTAAAGTTGGGAAAACAAGTTGGAAAAAGGAGATTCAGCGGCGCGCAAGTAAGGCATATTTCCTTATTTTGTATCTTTATGATTATGAGTGCCTTCTTCTATACTATTGGGCCATAGAAAATCCAACACTTGTCATCATTTTCTTTTTCTTTTTTCCTCTTTTTCCAGCCGTTGGAGAACACCTTTGAATTGTGACTGTAATGATACCCAATTACTTAATTTGCGGAGAGGAAATATTTTTACGAAAAACAAACATTCACCTTTAGTGTTTGTCAAAATATTCAAAACTCTTCCCGTCCCACAAATATATTTTACAAGCATACTTTTTCGAAAAAAAGGTACAAATTTTTAAAATATTTTTTTTAATATTCTATTTATTAAAAAATATTTAAAAAGGGAATATATGAGAAATGTAATATTAAAAAAATCATTAATAAAACTTTATTTTATCAAAATATCTTATATTTTAAAATATTAATTTAGTATGAATGAAGTATATTTTAACAATAAATTATTGATATTATATATATGATACCTTTTTATTGGTGTACGCTCCAATTAAAGTTAGAAATAAGAGTCGAATTTGACGAGCCGCCTATTTTTATAACAGTTTGGGTTTAAAAAAATATCATTTTTTAAGAAACTGAGTTTTGAAACCTAACCCTAATAGGCTCTAAAAAAAGGGCTCAGTCGGTCCTTCTAAACTCCTTTTCATTTTAACTCTAAAAAAATATTTTTATTTTTAAATTGAATTTAAACTTTTAAATATATGTTTATACTTTAAGATTTGATTTTCTATTATTTATTTTTAAGTTTTTAATATTATAATTTGTATTTTAAAAATAATGAAATGTTACAATTGAAATTTTTAATTTTAAAAAAATTTTAAAAATAAAAAATATTAATAAAGGTTTATGAGCCCATCCTAAACTCTTTAAATAAGAGCTGACTTTAAAAATCAGATAATTTTTTAAAAAATCAAGCTTAAAGGACTTAACTCTTATAAACTTGGCGCATAAAGATTGAGTTCATGTGGGTCAGGTTCATCCATTTCTCACCTCTAGCTCTAGGAATACTTTTGGCACACCGTGTTGCAGAAAAAGAAACACAAATTGATCGTCACTGAATCAGCTTCGCCACCTCTTGGTTTCCAAAACCAAAACTTTAGGTTCGTCATTTTTCTAGTTTTCTTTATCTCTTTTTTAAATATAAAGTAACTTGATATAATCTTGTGACTGATAATATGTTAGAATGAATGTTCTTTTTTAATACCAGGTGTTGGTCCTATAGTACAACAACTTATGCCTGCTTAGTTATATAGTTCTGAATTTGAATACATGTGAATGTAAATTTTTTTAAAAAAATTATTTTTATTTGAGCTCAATAATATTTAAATTTAACCTAGTCAAAAAGTCAATTAAAAAAAAAAAGAATGATTATTTTTTTAAGTCAATATATGAATCAATTTTCTTAAATATTTTTTTAAAAAGACAGATGGAAAGAAATGATAGATCTTATTTCCATGCACAAAACACATGTGATAATGACTAGTGAATTTTTGTCATTGGCTGATAAATTAATTCATATATGTTGCATTATTAGAGAATCAATCAAAATACATGTTTAAAGATAAATGGATTTGACTTCTCTCTGATTTCATCTTAACCATTGAATTCATTAAAATTTAATGTTTCATAAAATTATTATTAAAATATAAAATTTATAAAAATACATAAATAAATTTAAAATATAATTAATTTCATCCAAACTGCAATTCAAGATATAGGATTATAATTAAAAAATAAAAAATTAATTTTATGAAAAATTAAATCTCAATCATTTTAAAATGGATTCAATGGATGAGATGAAAATGAAAAGAGATGGAGAAAAGCTAACTTCAAGATAAACATGTATTTTGAAATAACATGTATTTTAAAAGCAATGTTCAAAATATATGTTTAAAATAAAATCTACGCCTCTACAAAAAAAAAATCACAAACTTTTTGTTAAGCATTATATTAATACTACGTACCCAGCACAACACGTAAATAGCTAAGTCGTTACATCGTCAGATTTACAAGATCTGAAGACCCGTGCAAATTTGTCTCGCCAACAAAAATGGTAGGTACGTGCCTTTCATTTAATCCATAAAAACAAATTTAATCACAAAAAATAAAATGAACATACATGATTCTGAGAATTCTCCAATAGAATGTGCAAGATCTGATCTTTTCTTCTCTTCATTCACTGCTCAAAACCAATTTGAATTTTGATTCAGCCGAGCGAGATTAAAGACGACTTTGAGTTTGCGCAACACGAACGTTATTAATTGTATTCATAAAATGAAGCTCAGAATCAGAATCTGGTTCAAGCTTTTGTGTTTTCCTTTCTCTTGTCTTCAATTTATTAGCAAAAACATGCATCCTGTGAGTCTCATGCTAACCCTAACACTCTCTTCCTACAACACAATAGTGCGATTACACCTCCTAGATTGGTTTCTCCGTTTAGCATCAAACCTAGTACATGTTCTAATCTCAGGTTTTGAACTTCTCTTGGTACTTAACTTCAGGTTATCCAATTTGTCCCCATGCATGATCTCGCTCGACGACGACAAAACCGTCATGCAATTCTGGGTTCCAACAAAACTGAACCCAAACAAGCCAAACCTAACCCTTATCCACGGCTTCGGCGGATCGTCTCGGTGGCAGTTCTGCTGCCAAATCTGGCACCTGTCCCGGAAAGTGAACCTCTTCGTGCCGGACCTGTTGTTCTTCGGCAACTCCAACACCGGCCAGACCGACCGGTCCGACGTCTTCCAAGCTATATGCGTAGCAGAAGGGATGAAGAAATTGGGTGTGTATAAGTTCAGTGTGGCAGGAATTAGTTATGGAGGGTACGTGTCCTATAGAATTGGGGAAATGTACCCTGGGGAAGTGGACAAGGTCGTGATTGTGAGCAGTGGCATATGTTATACAGAAGAACAGAAGATGGAGCATTTGAAGAAGATTGGAAGGAGTCCATTGGAATTGCTTGTGCCAGAGAAACCTCAGGATCTTCGATGTTTGTTGAACTTGTGTTTGCACAGATTTAACTGGCTTACGAGGCTGCCGGATTTTATCCTGCAAGAGGCCATCAAAGTAAAATCAAAGCTTTCTATTCTAGATTCATAATTATTAATTATTTTTTATGATGGACTAATTTGTTTGATTGATGATTTGCACTTATATCGTTATTATAATTAGGTGGTGCTCAAGGACAATAGGAAGGAGAAACAGGAGATTCTAGAGTACTTGCTGAACAGAGAAGCAGATTCAAACCCTGGAATTTTAAGTCAGGTCCAAATCTTTTGATAGTTACACAAATACTAATAATATATTATATACTTAATCAACGTCGAAATTGATGAGTAATTAATCAGTGGTTATTAATGAATGAAGGAGACATTGATAATTTGGGGCGACAAGGACAGAATGTTTCCCATAAAACATGCGTATCAGTTGCAAAGGTAAGCGCGTGTACGATGAGTTTAATGTAGAAGTGAATAGAAGAGTTGATAATTTATTAAGTTGGTGATTTAGGCACTTGGAACCAAAAGCAAAGCTAGCAGTGATCGAGGACGCAGGCCACGCCCTCAACTTCGATTCTCCTTTTGCCACCAATCATTTCATCGTTTCATTCCTCCAAACCTGAGATGTCTTTTTGTTGTATATCTTCACTATACATGTAGTGTATGAATTTCACTCTTCCTTCTGTTCAATCACGCATTCTTGTGTACGTACTTCAAAAATTTCGAATGATACATGCCAGCTCGATCTATTAATTCTATGCGTCGACTTCAAGCTGAGTCTATAGTTTCTAACACTTCTGTATCTCATCCAATATCATGATAACACATTTCATGCCTATCGAGTGCATATGACATATATACAGTACACACATTCCTTACAACTGCAACAAAATTAAAGCATAACTGAGTCGTGCTTGTCGTCATATTTTATATCAAATCGTGGGAATGTTAATTGTGCCAATGTTTATATATTTAACGGAACGAAATTCACCTTAAATTTGTCGTGATTACTTTTCGTTTCTTTTATTTTGAAGAAAATTCATGCGTTAAAGTGCCAAAATTTCTGCCATTCATTAAAACAAGCGAGCCAAATTTGATGGATTTGAATATGTATATTCACTAACTCAATAAGCATCTTAATTATAGTCACTAGATTAATTTCATTAACACTTAAAAATTATTCAGATATATTTTCTTTTAAAACTTTGAGACAATTTGACAGAATATGGGGCAATAGTTAATTAAGATAATTAAAATTTATTGAAGATATTATGATTATCTATTAGGAATGTTTAAATAAGGATATTTATCCATTAAAATTAGGATTTATTATTTTATTTTATTATTATTATATATATCAACATATTTAATATTTGTATTAGATTTATGGTTTAGATTTAAATTTAAATTATTATTATTTTATTATTTTTAGATCTATATAAATAAAGTTAAATTTTTTTATTTGTATTTAACTTTTGAGTGTTATTAAATAAGTGTTTTTGAGAGTTTTAACATCTCTGTTCCTTATCTCTCTCTCCCCTCCTTCTCTTCTCCTTGTTCCTCTCTCCTCTTCCTGTTTTATATCACAATCACTTGTCGAATCCAAGTAAAGATAAAAAGGATAAGAAATTTCTCAAATTTATTTTAAGATAAATTTATTTTAACATATATAAACTCTCCTTTAAAAGAGAGGCTACAGGTGCGATCTTGCTTGTCGTATTAGTTTGTTAGTTGTTACTACTTTTCTTTATAGTTTTTTTTTTTTAAAAACTGAATTTGTTTATAAATTATTAAGTTTCTTTATTTTTTTAAATTATTTCTTGAAATTTGATCATATAGATGTGATTGTTAATGGCAATTCCTTTTCAAGAAATGCAGCAAATGAATTATGGCAATCCCTCATTACGATAAATTTTGGAAAATTAACGCTTAAATTTAAATGCTTAGAAAAAGATTATGTGAGTAATCAATAAAATAAAAAAAATATTATTTAAAAAAGAATAAAATTAAAATTAAAAAGAGGTAAATTTAAGACATCAATTAAGATATTAAGTAAAAATCAAATGAAGCAAAGAATGGAAATATATAAAAATATCAATCAATTAATTAAATTAAAATCCATAATGTTATTTTTATTTCAATAAAAATGTGAATTCGGGTCATTTAATTGATTTATTATTGTTTTATAAGAAAATTAAATAATTAAATCAAAAAATTTGATAAAATTAAATATATGGGGAGAATTAATGACAAATAATATATGTAACAATGCCTCAACTTTTTGCTTTTTTGTTATAAAAAAGCACGAACCCAAAGCAATTTAGTTTAACAAAGTGGGTATAGACGGCCCCGCAAAGAGTTACCGACGTCACTATCGTCTCTCTCGAAAAGTTTTCATCCTTCCTCTCTGCAATGCGGTGATAACCCATCATTTCAGTTTCACCGCTAAACGACGACGTTGAGCGCCACCTGCCATTTTCTCCATCTCCGGCGAATCCTGCTGTACGGCGGGATATTATCGGATTCACCACTTTTGGGGAATCGGGATGCTCACGCCGATTTCCAGCGATGTCCTCTCACGAGCAAGCCCTAGTGTCCCTGTTTTCCCAGCTAGCCTTGTCCTTCGACGGCGCCATTTTGGGTCTTGCCTTGGCGTATGCCGCTGTCCGTTCCGTCCTCAAACTTACTGCTAACTCTGCTGCGCTCGACAAGCTACGCGTCGCCCCTTCTCTCTCCGTTTCTGACCTCCGGTCACTTCTGGACAGTTCCGATGCTGACGGCAATTCCCAAGATGGCAACAAACTAGTTGTTGTCCGTGGCACTGTCGAGGCCAAGTCTGTCGTGGAGAGCGGCTGGAAAAGCTTAATACCTAGCGTATTAGTATCTCGCGAGTCTGGCGATAGCGCTGTGGCTATTCAGAGGACTCAAACGGTAATGTTCTTCTACCACTGTTTACTGGAAGACACTTTTTTTTAGCAACTTTGTAGAGATTGCTAATTGCTTGTTGCCGTAAACATTGTAGAATCCATACTCTGTCGGGGTGAATTCACCGAGAGCTTGAATTCTCCCTCATTTATTGAATTGTGTTTTTAGTGTGCACAACGTAGTGATACATGTCTGGCTGAATTGATTGGTGATATCTCTAGATTGTTATCTCACTGATGAGGCAGAGGCTGAGGTCAATGTGGATTTTACCCTTTCGTCACACGAATGGGTTGGTTTGTGATCCCTTGGCTATATTTTTGTCGGTGTTATGATGGCTGGCAATGCGTGTTGCTATTTCATTTTGGTTCTCTGTTCTCAGAAAGGCCAGGCAATCCTTGGAAGCTAAAACTTCAATAATGAATTTTGTAAATGAATATATTTTATTTGATATTTAATATTTTGATGATGTTCTGTTTTGTCATTAAATTCCACATTGTCGTGTTATCATGCGTTGCTTAGTATCCTTTGTCTGATGCTGACTAACATAAACTTCTTTTAGACTATATACCTACTTGTTTTTTTTTCTTAGGTTGTGTCACATCAACTGTTTGTTTTCTTGTTTGGATGAATAAGGATAAGCAGTCCTGATTTCATTGACGAATGATATTGTCTCATTGTCTATACGAGCATAAACTTGATTTCTTTGAATCTTCCCCTGCAATTGAACGATGAATTAACTCATTTTATTTTATGTTCTTGATTCATGTCATAAAGTGTATATATACTGAATGGAAGGGCTTCTTTGGTTGGACTTCTGATCTTCGAGCCTTATTCGCTAGAAATTTGAGGCAGCAAGAGAGTACATCTTTGAGAACGGTAAAGCATAACTTTGTTGCCTTTGGAGGATCCTATTTGATCTGATGCAACTAATTATTCAATTTAAAATTATCAAATCATTTGGACGTAATAGTTGACTGGTTATTTGAGTTTCTTGAGACCACATATCACCTATACAATTTAGTAGCCTAGTAGGGATAAGAGTCACTGTGGTTAACGATAATGGAGTTTTCATTCTAAGAATTGCGGATGGAGACATTCATAACTCAGATATTCTTTTCTTTTTTATTCCACAATCAATTTGCAGTGTTGATTACTTGTCACGTTGAAATGGAGATATTCATAGTCCAGACACTCTTTTTCCTTTTTTATTCCACAATCAATTTGTGGTGTTAATAACATGTCACAGTGAAATATCCTGTTGCAGAAACTCACACTGTTTAGCTTCCGGTTTCCAGCATAATGTAATTTAGTAGAGAGCCAAACTTGTAGAAAGGATCTAACTGGCAGGTTTAATGGTTAGAAGATGAATACCATCTTAGATAATATAGTATTATTATGGGCAAGTAGACTGAATGGTTCTGAAAAGCCAAGTGGACATAGTAATATAGTTCTTGTAGATGATTGCCCATTTGAGTTTATGATGTTCCTCAGGCAACTTTTATTTTTATCACTGATATAGGCCTTGCGTTTTTATGATTAGCTGAAAGGACTCTGTTGTCTTTTATGGTTTAAATTTCTTTATCCACTATCTCTTTGGCTTTTGGAATCTGATAGCCACTAAAATATTGTGGTTCCATTTTAGGTGCCCTTTGTTCTCATTGATGGCGGACGGCGACCTCATACTGATTATGTTGTTGTCAACTTGGAAGGCTCAAGGCATCCCTTACCTCTTACTACAGTTTATCATAAATTGCAACCCATAAATGCTTCTCCTTACACATTCTTGCAGGCACTTTTTGGACATGAGTATCCAGTGAGTTAATATTCTAAATGTTTTTTTAATGCATAGCATAAAATTTAGTTGTGTTCAACTTCAAGTTCAATACTTTGCCATTCTATGAATTATTATTTTAGCTCTTTCACTTTTGCAAATTGCGACTATGCTTTCATTAGCACATAATATGACAAAGTCATTATGCCATTTCTGTAGGTTGGATTACTGGATGAAGAGAAAATTCTTCCTTTGGGAAAGGATATCAGTGCTGTTGGCATATGCTATTTTAGAAATGGAATTGCCGAAATTAAGTCATACAAAGAGTTGCCATATTTTCTGTAAGACTTTTTACCTTGAATGTACACAGTTATTTTTTGGGTTCTGAAAACATTTCAACCTTTGGCATTGTGGTATTTAATTTTCTTAGTTAGGCTTCATTGTAGAGTAGCCTGTTCTGATTAATTGGTGGTCTTGCTGGGTAAATGCTAACAGAAAATATAAACTTTTTGAATGATGACGGTCTTTGTGATTCATATTCATGACCAATGAGGTAAGCTGGGACTTGGAATATGTCAAAGTATGATTTCAGTTATCCTAGCATTTATTATTTTGTCAACGTGCATTATATATTGTTTTGCATGTATCCACAATCCTTCAACGATTTCTTTTTGGCTGTATCAGTAAGACTAATGCTATATGATGCTTACTTTCTTTGTTCTTATTAGGACTCGTAGTGCACATAACTCAAGAAATTATTGCAGGTTATTCATCATTCTGGCAATGCTACTTAGTGAAAAACAATATCAAGTAATTGACATGTCTTTTGTAGGTCTGAATTGAATAAAGATCAGATGATTGCGGAGCTTACATTTAAAACAAAAGTACTTTTTTGGAGTGGTATCATTCTCAGTTCATTGTCAGTTGGGATTCTTGGTTATGCTTTTGTGAGGTATGCTATTTAGCTTTACCATTTTATTTTACTCTATTTTACCGCAGGGGGTAAAATTTGAATGGGTTTGTAACACATTGTGAATAGTGTTGATGGTAAAAGTAGATCACCATGTTTGGTATAGTAAACTTTGCTTCTCTGACTACCTTGTAGAGAGAGTCTCTCATTAGTTGGCATTTGGTGCTGTTTTCTCCTTAACAACTATGTTACAATTGAAATTTGAACAAAAATTATGATAAGTTTGATGGGTTGATGTTAATGCCCAATCAATTAAGATGTACTGTCGTTTTCAGAAACTGGAACAAGTGGAAACAGTGGAGGCAACAGAGGCAGGATCAGCAGCAAAGGCAAGCCAACTATGATAACGCTGAATTTGAGATTTTAGACGATGAGATAGAAGATGTTCCAGATGGACAATTATGTGTTATCTGTTTGATGAGGAGAAGGCGGTCTGTGTTTATTCCCTGTGGGCATCTTGTGTGTTGTCAAGGGTGTGCCATATCAGTTGAGCGTGAAGTGGCACCAAAGTGTCCTGTTTGTCGGCAGGAAATTCGCAATTCAGTGCGGATATTTGAATCTTGAGTAGACAGTTGCTGCTGCTACTTGATTAACTGCATCCAGAGTCTCGCATCGCATCACAGTTACATGGGTTTGATTGGCAGGAGGGTTGCATTTTCTTTTCAATTTAGATGTTCTAGATTTTGGCTGAATCATTCCTTTTCTAATTGGTCCTGTGAAATTCAAGTGAATTTATTGTATATATTTAATATGACTTTGATAGATTGGTTTGAGTAGCCTCATCTTTCATGGATAATCCTGTGCTGGTAACTGGTAACTACATAGGTTTTGAACCCGTTTGGTATGGTAGTGGTATCGTTTGCGTTGCGTAAACAGAATTCTATGCCCCCCTGGGGAATGAAACCCTAAAGTGTTTCGGCATTGGGATTCCCCCCTTACCGTTCCAGGTATCCTTTCAACGGTCCCCACTTTTGGGTGGATGTATATACTCACATGAATCAAACCGTACAGTTGTAAGTGCCCGCCTTAACAAAAAAAAAAAAAAAAGAACAAGAATTAAGCCCGTCTGTGATATAGCCAGCGTGTGCATTTGGCGAGACTTAAGTTTCTAACTTTTTATTATTTATTTGTTAAACGAGTTTCTAACTTTCTATTAACTGTTCGATGTTTGAAGAGCCGCTAATGATCAGGGAAGATGTTATTTTGTTATTTCGATTTTAAGAGAATAATTGAATTTGCAACTCAGAAGTCAGTACAGGTTTAAATTTGCTGTTCAATATTTGTATCATTCTGGAAAGAATTGGTTAATTGCTTTTGCAGATCACACAACAGGAATGGTAGACCAGATTTTTATAGTGCGAGATCTGATCTAATCTGGATGTACCTTCTCTATGTTTTAACTGGAAAAAGAAAGAAACCAGGCGTTCAACTCTGAAGCGGTGCAATGCACTCATTAAAAACCACCCAGCATGATCAAGAGCGAGAGAATTGAGAATGTGCAATCTCTCTTTATCTTACAAATAATAAGTATTACAATCTAAAGTTTCACCAGAACTACGGTTTGAAGTATGTAGAGAACAAGAATTTTGATGCCGCGATTCGCCGCTGAAATTTGCAAACTTATCCTATTTCCAGTTCAGTTCAGCATGGTGGTGGTGCATCTGAGTGTACAGTAGTGTTCTCTGCTGAAGCCATCCTTCACTCACTTAAAGCCGACCTGTGTCAATGATGAAGCCGATCCACCCTTGTCGTTCTTGTTTAGCTTCCACAAAGTACAGAAAGAAACAGGTTGCCCCTTCCACCATAGTCCCACACTGGTATGGTTCTCTTCTACTTTCATCTCCCAGTTATTATCATACTTCCTCAACAGAGCTCGAGCTCCATCAATCGCGTCCTCGCCAAAATTCTCCCCTACAAACCCTGCTTCTCTCATTCTATCACACCATTTCTCTTTTCCTTCATTCATCTCACGCTGGTTTGTCAATGCTTTTGCGGCCTCTCCTTCCATTAGTCTCCTGTCCTCACTCTCTTTTCCCTTGAATGCCGAGCTTATGGAATCCAAAAACTTCCATAAGAACTCCACTTTTCGCTCAAATCCGGTGGCGAAATTCCCACAACTATTGCAGCAACAGTCCATGTTGTTCTCGCTTAGTACCACCCCCTTGGGCTTCATGTTCCACAGAACCTTGAGAAATTCACTACGTTCATCAGGAGTGCTGTGATTCAGGTGGTGCAGCCTAAATTGTGCACATACAACAAAGGTTTCATCTGGCGAGACATCAAGAATTTGGGCGTTTAGATTCTGTAATGGATGATTGTCTAGCCTGTTTATCTGCAAGTTGATGTTCATAGACTTGGCAAAACCAAGGAGTCTAGAAGAGAAGTTGTCGCCAGGTGGGCCTATTGCAAATGGGGTCTCCATGTTCTGGTCATTTTCTGCTGACGCAGTCACCACAGTAAGGCGAACCAGTGGAGGAGGTCCACCAGGCCGGCGAGTCAAGGCCTCTAAAAATGTTGGCCATTGAAAACCATGAGAGACCCCAATGTCAATGATGTGAAGTGTTTGTAAACTATTGGATTCTTCAGCAAGAATCTGCAGAATGGAAGAATTAGCTATGTTATTAGGAAAGGCAAACCAGGGGCTAACCTCATAGAACTTGAGCAGAGATCTTTGAAAGAACCGTGGGTCTGCAGAAGCAAAAGTAACAGGCCCGGAAGATGCTGTGGTGGAAGAAAAGGAAGTAGAAGAAGATAAATGTTGTGTTAGTGCTCGGAGACCATGAGCAGCTAGCCGGTGGTTGGCATCACCGGTCGGCGAGGCGAGCTCATGGAGAACATACAAGAGGTGCTGCACACGAGTCAGATTCCCTGTAGCCAAGGCTAGAGCACAAGGATTCAGCAACTGCTCTGCCCACCTTCCTTCTTTGTTGTTACCGTTATTACAGTTATTCCCGTTGGCCTTAGCAGAACCCTTCTTGTTCCCTGCAGATTTCTTAACCGTTGTCCCTTCTACAACTGCATCTCCATTGTCAGCTTCATTGGCTGGACGGCACTTGATTTTCTTGGACTTGTGATTCTGAGATGGTTTGAGACATAAATCATCAGAATCATTTCTCTTCTTTGACAGATCAGAAGATGGTGGCTTATTAGAACTGTAAGGCTCAGTGGGTGTTTTGCCGCCACTAATAGCGGCAGACATGGCGGTGCCGGTGGCGGCATCGGGAGATCCAGTGCCAGCATCAACATGGAATTGTTGGCCCATGTCTTGTCCATGACCCCACAAGTTATAATCTTCAACAATGCAACCTGGGTTATATGGATCATCCATCCAAGATGGATAGTAAGAAACAGAACCTTCAAACCAATCCAGAATGTGATCCGATGCTGGGTTTGGTGGCTCCATGGTAACTTTTCTGATATAATCCAAGAAACGGAAAGAAAGATTGAAGGAATGAACAATGAAGAATTTTGAAGGAGCGTGTGGGATCATTGACCCAAGAGGAAGGAGATAGAGATGGGAAGCTAATAGCTGATTTGTTTGAGAAAAATAGTTATAAAATGAAGCATGGGGCAGAGATGTTTCATGAAAGAGACAAGGGAAGGCATTTTCTAATTGTTCGTGTGCTGTTCGTTTGGAGGATGTGATGTTTTATTGAGGATTATTTAGGTTGCATAGGTTAGTAGGAAACTGTGTCTCTTCTTTGTGTTAGGTGGCTACCTTATTCTTTATTAGGATTGGATGGAGGAATTTTTATGTAAGTGTTTTTTTTTTTTTTTGGGTGCCGCTTTGTGGTGGGATTTTTGTTTGAGAGAATGACAATTAAATTTTAAAAGAGAAAATTAAAGAAAGTTAAGTTCTTGATAAATTTTTTAAAAAAAAATTAATTGTAAATATTGATTTAAATAATTATAAATTTAAAAGTTTCAGTAATATGATATTTAAATTTTAAATATGATAATTAGTTTATCATTCAGATTTTTGTTTATAGCTGTTTGAATTGGTAATTATAATTTATTTTACAAAAAATTTTATCATGAATTTAATTTTCATTAATTCATTTTTTTGGAGCTTTTTTTTCATTCTTCCTTTTTATTTTAAATTATTGAATCTCATGAGACGGCAGACAATATTTGACTAATTGAAAAATTCTTGTTTTTGTCTGGTCAGGCTTCTCTACTTCAACTCTTTATGCTCTGTTTTGTTGTTGAAACCAACGGATTCTTTTTGTTTTTCTTACTCATTTTCCCTCCCCTTCTTCTATAATTAGTGAGAAGCTGCATCTTATATATATTAATTGGAATTTTAATTTTAATTTGTTGAAGTTTCTTTTTCCCTTGATATGAACAATCTGCTAGAACACTAATATTAATAAATTAATAAATAAAATAATGTCAGGAATTTTCTTATGAATCCACTTGTTCAACGGGAATAATGTTGTATTTGATCCAATCAATGGAGTTATCTAGTTCAGGTACGTGCAAAACTTGACATAAACACCGAATAAAATTTTATTATAAAGAAATTGAGTCTCTGGATCTTAGAAATTTTAAATTTACTCTTTTATAATCATGCAATCATGTATTTAAAGTGATAAAGAGAGAAAAGAGTATGACCGTGAATAAATTAATTACACGTGGTTCTTTTTGTAATTGTAGAGATATCGTATTGAAAATAAAAATATCTTTAATGCCATATTTATTCCAAATTTCAGTGCCCATAGTTGCTATTATAATTTAGAGAAAATTATTCACAAGGACCAAATTCAGAAGTTATTGATTTTTAGAGATCTCGAGTGTTAAATGCTTGGGTCAACACTGATAAATTTTCAAAATTTAGGTGTTAAATATTTGAACTTGATCTTTAAAAATGAATAATTTTAAAATTTGGTCCTCGGGAGTGATGTTCCCTAAATAATTTTAAATTTTTTCACAATTATAGATTTATTAAAACGTTAAAATAAATCAACCTAATAAGCAGCATAAATTTAGCAGTAATTTTTATTTTTCAAAATAAAATTGTAAATTGCAATCCAAAAAAAATTATTGGTGATTTTAAAAAAATTAACTTAAAATTAATTTTAAAATGCCTTGTAATTGGTATCAAAGGAAAATGTGTATAGGATTCTTCTTCTTCTTCTTTTTGGTCTGCCTAAATTTGGTGGTTAGGGATGATTTAATTCAACATGATTGCAGAGAGGTTGTTTGTACTCTACCAAATTGTTTACAGCCATTTGACCTTGTACTTCCCCCCCTTCTTTTTTTTTTGCCATAAAAATGTGACAAAAATTATCAATACTGAAGAGTGTTAGAAACTGTGTCTGTAGTGGAGCTGGTAAGTCAAGGGGATAATAAAAAGAAAATTTGAGCTGGCTAAATTAATTAAGAAAAGTTATTATTAGTGTGACTTTTTCCCGCAGAATTTTAAAAAACTGAGAAATTATGGGACTAGGCACTAGGCTGCTCTATATTTGTTTATTTTATGAGTGGAGGATTATAAGATGGAATACTCTTACAATTTGAGGCAATGCATTGCAAATTGAGGAGATGTATTGCAACAAGGTATTTGTTTTTTTTTTAAAAAAAAAAACTTATGATCAATTTGACTTTGAATAAAACTTTTTGGACTGTTACAAATTTATAGCTTATTAATAGAACATTTTTTTTAGAAACTAACTTTTTTATTTGACAACGATTATGATGACTTTTGCTAATATTAAAATAATTCGAGCATTTTATTCGATTAAGTCAAGTAAAAATAACTTAATATATTTTAAATAATCTTAAGTATTCAAATTTTCTAGATAAAATCTATTTTATTTGGGTTTCAAAATACTTAAAGATGAGTTTATAGATAGCACAGTAAACATTATATAATTGTCATAAAAACAATTTGAGCATTTTCCGTTAATTTCTTTGAGAAATGAAATAGTTGAATACGTATACTAATATTTCAAATTTAGTATTCTTTTTTTTTTTTTGGTGTGGTGATGATATGAAATCCTCTTCTTGTTTTTTTTGGCCTATAGAAGAGTGGGGAAATTATTTTAGCATCTTCATAAAATATAAAATGTCAAGACACTTCAAGCGCATGATATGATGGAGTTCACAAGAACAGGGGGTAAAGCCAGGATTTTAATTTTTAATTAGAAGAGCCGAGATTACAATATTGTAATTGAAGAAAAGATATATATATATATATATATATAACATAAATATTTCATCATACATATTTATATTAGATTTTTACAAATATAGAACCAAAATAAATATGCCCCTTATTTTGTAAGTTTTGCCCATCAATTCTTCATAACATAAAAATAATTAATTATTATGACTATAATAAACTTTTAAGTAATCTCAATCTTAATATAAATTATTATTAAATTGGTGAAAAGTACATCTTTCATTTTATTGTGAAAACCACAAATCAATAATTTTTTTCTTAGACATCACTCTTTCACTCCTAAAAAAATATGGATTGTAAACTATATTATCTAAGATATGAAAGGGAATAAAAAAACTAGAAAAAATCATTACACAAAGTGCAAAATATATTAAATATATATAAGGTATTGCAAATCACAACACAAATTGCACAATAAAATAATAAACAATGAAAGAGTAAGGCATATGAAGATTCGAGTGGCTTATCTTGACATTGTCCTTTATATTTGCTTACTTGATATACTACCAAGGTCATGAGATTGAGATTGAGGCCAAGGTCATCGATTCAGCAAGAAAGAGATAAAACCAAAGAGAAAGGGAAGACCGAAAGCAAAAGCATAGAGGGATTACTTTATTGATTCATTAATGCAGTCAAGATCGTTGCTTAATTGACAATGTGATAATAAGATTACTTGAATATTTGATAATGGGACTGTAGTAATTCGAATTTTCATACATAGCATAATATGTGACATATATTCCTCAACTCAAATAAAAAAAACTTACATAATATAATATATTATATGAGGAAACTTACCTAATATAATATATTATATAACATATTTTTAGATATTTATTTTTCTACTTTTTATATTTTAGTTTATATTTATTAGAAAGAAAGTAGATCTTATGTTTAATATTAATACAGAGACATTTGTGTGGTTGAAAATATATAACTTTCATGTTTTACTTTAAAAAAAAAGTTAATATATAATTTGAATTCTAAACTATAAGTCTAGGGATAATTTAAACTCTAAACTTTAAAAATATACATTCTAAACCTTAAATAATTAAAATTGGGGTAATTTCATCCCTACCATTAACTTCATCAAATTCATTTGAAAAAAATTACATTTTAAGCCTCAATTCGACAGATGTTTATTGAAAGTTAGCGATAGGGTAAAGTTGCCCCAACTTTAATTGTTTAGAGTTCAGAATGTACCTTTTTAAAAGTTTAAAGTTTAAATCACCCCCTGAACTTATAGTTCAGGGCCCAAATTACATATTAATATTTTTGTATCTTAAAAAATGCATTATAATCAATAATAATTCAACAATAATAGAACAAAAGTATATTTTGCGTATTATATCAAGTTTTAAAAAGATTTCAAATGAGTGTATAAGTTTTTGGGTTGGAATTGATCGATGAAAGTAAAAATTTATAAAACAAAACTAAATTCTTTTATAATAAATAAAGAGACAAAAAAAAGTGTATGAAGAGGAATCTATTCTAAATTTTTTTCTAACAAAGAATGATAATATTTTTTTTCACTGATATTATTATAAGATTTCATTACGCCAAAGAACAAACAGGAAAATATATAAAAGTGCGCTTATAGCAAAAGATTATATCATGCTCCTATTGCTGCTACTAATAGTCTATCAAAACCTCACCCAACAAAAACAAAAATAGTCAACTCCATTTCATTCATACCATCATAATTTCTACCAAAACTGTTTTACTTATTATTACAATTTACAGCCTTCTTTTATATAATTTTATCATCATCATCATCATTATTTACCATTTTTTATTCCTTCTTCTGATCATATCTTGGAAAATTTGTAATATTATCACGAGTTAATATATAATTTAAACCTTAAAGTATAGATTTAGGAGCAATTTAAACCTAAACTTTTAAAAAGTGCATTCTTAACCTAAATAGTTAAAGTTGAGGCAATCTCGCCTTACTGTTACCTTTTAACAAAAATTGGAGCTTAAAGAGCAATGTTTCTCAAATGAATTTGACGGACATTTGTTGAAAATTAATGGTAAGACAAAATTATCTCAACTTTAATTATTTAGGGTTTAGAATATACTTTTAAAAGTTTAGGGTTTAAATCACCCATGAACTTATAATTTAAGGTTTAAATTGTATATTAACTTGAAAAAAAAATTAGAAAGTTAGGGTTCACCTCTCTCTTCCTCATGCCACTGCACAAGATAAATGGCGATCAAACCATAAACAATAACACCAACGATGTCCTTAATGAATTGATTACGGTTATTAAAGCCATTTTATTACACATTAATAAGGATTAGCTCCATCTTAGATTTCATAATAATGTCCATTCTTTCTTTCTTGTTTATGATATATTTTCGTGGCCTTGGTGATTACATTCTGCTTTCTACATTTAGTTTTGTGATTTAATATTTGTTTGTATGATCAAAACAAGAAGATGCGATCAATGAAAAAAGATATTTTAAGTAGCGTTTTGAAATTGTTATTACTCTTCATCAATGTGAATACATCTCTGCAATATAACTACAACTTGTTTCTTATTTAAGCCTGAAAATATTATGTTGTGATTCCTGAGAATACAAGCAGTAGCTTTAATACGAGTAAATATTTACACTAATGAAGTTCAGAAATTATTATTCCTCTTCAATGAAAACATTATCCTTGAAATGTCATGATGAATGATGATTATGTTGTAATTTTTGAGAATACGAGAAATAGTAACTTTAAAGTATATAATATCAGAGATAACATATATTCCAATCTGAATACTGATTTTATTTTCTTAACTTTGATCCATTAGATGAATCTTTTTCCATATATAAAATCATTTGTAGGGACAACCATACTTGTTTTTGGGTGGTGAGACTAGTCAAAATGACGCAAAGGCCAAAAAGAGACAAATTCCAACTTTTAAAAAGAAAAACCAATAGAAACGAAAAATTGCAGCTCAGCTTAACGTTGACATGCACAAATACTACTATCAGCCATATGAGATATGGGATAAGGTCCTTCAAAACCATACACTGAGATCAACCCAAAACTTTATCACCAACATTAATCTGAAAAGTTCCATGCATGAATAATGGAACTAAGCAAAAGTTAAACAATTCATATATATATCAACCATATAAAAGGAGACATTGGATAAGGTTTCCCAAGGCCTGAAACCACATATATTAGAATTAAGCGGGATGAAACTAGCACACAAATTTATTAAGAACAGAAACAGTAATTTGAAAATTCAGTGACAATGAGATTGGCTCGAACTTCGTACAAGAAGAATGGGAGAAACAGAAGAACATTGGAAAACTGAAAAGAAGAAAAATTATCAAGCGATGGAAAACAATTGGCAGTTAAGGAATTAAGCCTATCCTATCCTAGCCAGTGCCTCCAAGAACACCCTTGAGCTTCTTAACTTGAGCATCATCAAGGAAAGTGACCGCTTCCACCAACTTAGAAGGCAATTCATTGCCAAACAAAACATAATCAAGGATTTGAAGGCCAGGGTCAGGGCTACTGAATGAAACAACAGCAGTAGCCTTGTTTTTCCCAGCATTAACCTGAAAGTGCAGCAATCCTTGTGGGAAAACCATGATCTCTCCCTTGTTTAGCTTCTTCAAATAGACAGCGTTAGCTGAGGACACAAACCCAGCAAGGATGTGACCATGAAGCACAACTAGGAGCTCAGAAGCAGCAGGGTGTGTATGAAATGGAATGACACCATTAGGGGCTAAGTCTAGCCTGGCCGCAGATATGCCAAGCCCATTCACACCTGGGAATTGGGCCACAAAGGCTGGGCTCACTGCTGCACTTATGATGTTTGTGGTGTTTCCAGATTTGGCCAAGGCAGTGTACACAAAGTCATCTGCAGTTACATTAGCAGCTGCCTTGCAGGGGTAGCCTGCAGGGCCTTCTGCAGCCATAAGGTCAGCTACACAGAAGTCTGCAGCATTGGAGGTGGAGGATGATGATGATAGGACAAGAGAGAAGAGGAAGATAATGTGAAGCATCTTGATGAGTGTTTGTGTGTGAATTTTTTTGGTATGAAGGGAATGTGGGAGGTGCAATGGCATATATAAGAATTAGATCTTGCAAGTCGGAGCGAAAAGGTATGGCCATGCAGTATGTGATGCCAAATGCCAACGGAAACAAAAGTGCCTTGCCCACGAATTATTATGGCATTAAATGCTGATAGGGTCCCCACCATGCAATATCAAAGAGGGTATTAATTTTTAGTTAGTCAAAAGCCTATTTGATAAAAGTTCATTTATGTTTTGATATATTTTTCCAAAAGTAAGCTTGGTAAATGAAAAGTTGTTTGGATAATATGGGAATAAGCTGAAATTAGCTCCAATCTACATTTCAAAAGTTAAAAGCTAGCGTTTATCGAGTGAACTTTTAGTCAGATTTCAAATAAATTTTCAAATTAGCACAATAAATACTCAAATAACATTTGGGTTCAGATGACATGTCAAGAGTACTTTTCAAATGGGAAAAGCTGTATCTGAAAACAGCCTAAGATAAGTGGACTAAGTTAATAATATAAAAGACATATAAACATGCTACATACGATTTTTCAGTGAGTTCACTGCCAATATAGTTACATGTCTATATAATTAATTGGTTTGGCTTATTTACCTTTTATAAACATCATTGGTAGATCACACTAACATGAACAGATAAGCAAGCATGTCACAATTATATTCTGCTTAATAGTATTGTTACAGACTAGATATGCCAAAAAAATTTTCAAAACCTTTTGAAGAGTAGGAAATGAACTGATGAAGTAATGAATAGTGATTTTGCAATATGGTTCTCAGGCAGGAAAGCCTTAATCGGGTGATAAAATTTGGGTCTGAATATAATGCTGATAAGAGATGTTTAATTAATTTTGTGAGGAATTAGTGCATACTGACACTGCTGGGAAGTTGTTGCTGGTGATTATATCTATATTTTGAGAAGGCCATGCCCAATAAATGAAATACTGCTTTTTCAATCGAGAAATGTTCTACATCTTGCCAGAAAAGGAAAACTTTTTTCCCATTTAATTTTGGGGAAGGAGAAGATATTTTGTGAAGTACTAACATCAGCCAGATGGCAAGAACCGGAGAGTCATTAGGAAGTGGTCCAGTGTCACATGGGAAGAAGAAGAGGAAGCACATAAACAGACATTTTGACAGCTAAATGTCTTGAAGTGCTCTCAAAAGGATCCATGCAAATGTGTGGATAAGAAGAAAGCTTTTCCTGCTGAGATATATTGCAGTGACATCCCACTCAGACTAATCGGAGATTTCATTACAAAAGGATACATGTAAAGGAATATAATTGAAATAGACATACACACACACTAGTATAAAAAACATTTTTAGCCACACAGTTAAAAGTCATTTTTCACAACAAAAGATAGTGTAATAGAAGATTATGTCGTAATAAATTGAGACTTTTCGCCACAGGTCAATCTGAAAACTATGGTAAAAAAATAACATTTTTTGCCATAGTTTTCAAAGTACCTGTGGTGAAAAATGGATTTGTAAAAGAATAAAAATCATTGATGAATCGAGATTCCTTAGATACTAAACCCTCCAATTTAGCCTATTGGTTTTTCAATAAATCACTAATTTTAGAAAATTAAATCCAGTGCATGATATAATCTACTTATCCAATGTAATCAACCGTACAATTAATGAATAAAAATTATGCTTTAATCAAATAATTTATGTTTTGAAATTTAAAAACAATTGACAACATGACAACATTTAAATAGAAATTTCCCAAGATCTAAAGCCATAAATTCAGTTATTTATTTCTAATGCATCCGCAATTTCAATAACAGAACAATTTAATTTTAGTTAATTAAATCTAATGCATGGCAACTAATAATTATTTTTAACTAAATTATAATAAAAAAATAAAAAAATTAATTATAATTAGAAAAATAAAAATGAATTTTAAAAAATGAACAAAAAAATTAAGGTAAAATATGCCAAAAAAAGCTAAAAAATGAAAAAAAAAAAAAAGTAGCCAAACAATAATGATAAAAACTTGGAGCTGAAGGAGGACACGTGAAGGTTGGACACGCGAGCTAAAAGAGGTAGTGGTGACCACGTGAGCTAAAGGCAAGCGAAGAGCTACGGGCAACATGCTTGAGGGTGGAGTTGAAGCTTGGCCAATGAGCTGTGGGTGAAGAAGCCAAGAGGCAATAGCGATGAGAGCAAAGGGAAGAGCTAAGGGCAAAAGGCTATGGAGGTCGAGAGATGGGGGCAAAGAGCTTGAGGATCAAAATGTGGGAGGAGTTGTGGGTAAAAGGAGCTTATGATGAGCTGAAAGAAAATCCTAAAGAGAGCAAAGTTGATGGTGGCGATGATAGACCCAAGGGAGAAGGTGCACAAATTTTTTTACATAACCTAACATCTAAGGGTTTTAAACCCTCAACTTTTCATTTACAGCAACAAGTCCGAGGAGAACTTGTTACTGTAAATCAACTAAATTTTTAATAAATAATTAAGGTGATTAATTATTTTTAAAATTTTAGGTAACTTATAATGAACTTGTCACCATAAGTTATGTAATATTTTTTTAAATTACCTAAAGGATTTACCCCTCAGTTAATTTTTTTTAATAGCTGAGTGGTATTTACAGCAACAAGTCCTAGAGATAAATAATTTATAGTGACAAGTCCTCTTGAGATCTATCACTGTAAATCAAAAGTTGTGGGTTTTTTTTAACTCTCAACTAAATTTTTAAATTTTAAGCTTAGACTTGTCGTCATGTAATAATTTTTTTTAATAATCAAAGATTTACCGCTCAACTAATTTTTTTTTAAACCTTGAAATTATGTTGACAATTCGACCTCGGACTAGTCGCCATAAGTTATGTAATAAATTTTTTAATAGTTGAGAGGTTTACCCCTTAGCTAATTTTTGTTTTAACATCTGAGGGATTTATGCCTCAGCTAAAACTTATTACATAACTTAGTTTAATTTAAAAACATTAAAATTATAATTAATAACTTAATTTAATTAGTCAATTTATTAAGTTCTATTAGATTTAATTAATTTTTTCTAAATTCATACATAATTAAAAAATGTATTTTAATTAATTAGTTTTATTAGTTTATTTAATTTTTTTAATTGTCACTCAGGCATTTATGATGACAGTGCTTTATGGGATTATGGCCATAAATGCTACATTTTTCAACTTATTAACATATTTGCCATTAAGTCTAATATCACTCCAATTATTTAATAAACTGTGAAGAAAAATTTGTGGTTAAAACTTGTGTTTGCATTAGTGATATAATGTGATGCAGATAAATATCATCCAATTTTTCTTTCAGTGGTAGTAAATGGATTGGATTTAAAGGGTAAGTGGTGCTACAGCTTAAAGAATTATAATTCTGTTATTAAGTTCAACCTTCTAATAGATGCCCCCTTTTCCTTTGCATACATATATTGATATTTTGTGGAGAGCTCCCCGGTGACTTGGTGATAACAAGGCTTGAGGTTTTTTGTTAACTATTTTATTATAAAAATTGTACATGTTTCACATATGAGCAAGCCTCTGACGGAATTTAATAATTCATTGGACAATAACTGGTCAAAATGACTCTGATGTAAAATGAATGATTGTTCTGCATTATGCTCACATTTTAGCTGTTGTCCTCCATATTCTGCAGTCACACAGTTTCAAATGTGCGTACAACCATGTTGCTTTTCTATTTCTTTTTATAAGTGAAAAAAAAGGAAAAAAAAAAGAAAAAGAAGATGAAAATAGAAGTTGGGGTCGTATTTCAGTGAGCCCTAAATAGAGAACAAAGTACAGGTGTTCTTGCAAAAAATGGAAGACAGTAATAAAAATATACTCATACACCATCAATATTCCCCTATTACATGAACAAAATTCTCTCTCTCTCTCTTTTTTCTCTTTTCTTTCAGTATAATGGTCCTTGCCTTTGTCCAATGTAAATCCTCTTACGGAGTACCTTTACATCTGAGAATAAACTTGGTGCACATATCGTTCATCTCTTTTTTTGGACTGATCTGATTTGGATGGTCTGGATCGTTACTTTTCTATTAAAAAGGAAGCAAGATGCAAAATAAAAAATAAAAAAAATGCTTTTCAACTATCAATTCTAAAAAAAATTATAATTCAGACAACAAAGTAAAAATAATAAATTAAAAAAGTACAAATTAAATCTAAATGATCTAAATAAAATCTACATTGATCACATCAAGTAAGGAATGTACAAAATCTGAATTACTTTTATATTGGTTGAATATATTTGAAGTTTGTCCAAGATGTTTCATAATAAGAATCAAACCCTAATTTTTTTTTTTTTTGCCAACAAGAATCAAACCCTAGTTGAGAATTCAAAACTTTATTCCTCCAAACTAATTGAACTAGCTTCCTTCCTTGAGTCAGTCAAGGCTTTCCAGGTTTAGGGTTCACTCCTATAAGGCCCCAAGTCATTTGGTCAGTATAGGCTTACTAGAAAAATGCAAAGAGACACCTTCAAGTCTTGAGAACCAAACAAAAGAATCAATCCTCAATTGATGTAGCTAGCTAGATAGAGAAGGACCCCTTTAAAGGCTGCAAATAATTATGCATCGAGATTCAATACAGAGCTTCTTCCCATGGTGGCTTGGCTTTTTAAACCAAAATGAAATATAAATTACACAATAGATGATAAAATCAAGTTTAGACTTTAGAATATCAAATAGCAAGGCAATGGAAGAAGTACATAATACATATAAATTTGCTGTTTTGTGGCCGGAGGGTTTAGCTTTTTCTTATGGTGAACAAGGGTTATATATTCATCTACGCCTGTTACAGGTTCTGGTTTAATCCTCCATCTTCAAAAATACTCAGTATCTCACAGCCGTATATAAGATTTTTCTCAAATTTATGAACGATCATTTGTATTGATTATGTAAAATTCCACACAAACCAATTTTGTTTGGCTCAATGTGGTATACTTACATGAGATGGAGTAAAAATTTGGATCCTCTACATTCATAATAAATGCATACAGTGTATTCGATTCCTTTGTGCCATTTATTTTATCAAATATATGAACACATGAATATAAAGTACTTTCTCCGTTAAAAAATATAACACATTTTCTGAGGAGTTGTATGTTAAAAAATGTAAGACATTTTTAGTCTTTTTGAGATGTAATCATTGTTTTTCTTTTTAAGTGCCTCTATTAATGAATGACTTTATATTTATTATAAGATGTTTAATAGGGGGTAAATATAAAAAGATATGTTTAATTTAAAAGTAAATAACTACTTTATTAAGATGAGATTTAATTAAAAATGTCTTATATTTTTAAATGAAGTGAGTATTTAAAATCTTGAATGAAATAATCTTGACGGTTATCATACACAGTAGTAATAATGTGCCGGGCATGCCATTATTATATATCCATGAAATTTGCCTCTATTATTGATCTTCAAAAATAATTTCTATTGCATTTTACTCAAAAAAGCAATTTTGGATTAGTGCCTACCATGTTGTTTTTGATCTATACTCACGAATGGGTTTGTCTTACAAGATTCAGAGACAGTACCTACCATATTAAACATATTCATTGCTGGCTCACTCATCTAGTCTAATCTATAGATGTGATACTAATTACCTAGCTACCTAAACAAATCATTGTCTTAATGAGACATATCAACCTCGCAAATATTGCAGATTTGCAGTCTTGGTACTTCCACGCCCATGCTCTCATATTTCTATCTGAATATTCCTTTACAATAATATTCGTTTTATTTTTCTCTAGACATTAAATCAGAACATGACAGTACCGACAAGTCTGATTGTGATCAAACCCATTTCATAACAAGTTATGTTTAAAAAACATCATACAAGCCAGGAAAAGCATGCAGACTACAGAAGACCAATTCTTGTCCACATATGATATACATGCATGCATATACATGTGGGTTTATGTGTGGGGACTCCGCATGTATGAATCAAAGCGATTAAACTTTGATGGTTGCATGTAATGTAAATAGACCACCACTACATGTGCAAAAAAATTTTCCAAGTTTGAATCCCGTAAAAAGAGAAAATCCCAGTATCTGAGATATATTTTGAGTGACAATTGTTCTTTGAATTTGTAGACAAGTTAAGAAAAACCCAACATAGACTAGTCTGGTTTTGGTGAAACCCAGTTCGTAATGAATTATGCTAATCAAATCATACAAGTCAGGAAGTGTATATAGACTAGTCAGAAAACAGTCAAAACCCTAAAAAAAAAAAAGGGGAAAAGATCCCAGGTGAGGCATAGAGCTGCTGTGAAGCTGCAGAGAGTCAGTGAGGCAGCAAATGCTTCTTCAGAAGGAAGATAGGTGATGAGGGGGACTAGTATACAGTAATAGTAATGGGAAAGAGATGTGCTCAAAGGAAATGGAAATGAATGAAAGGGGCGAGTTAGGTGTGGCACATTAGTAAAGGAGGGAGAGCATGTGTTATGGGGCAGAGCAACAGAGTGTGTGAACAGTTTTAACCTCAGAGTGCACTTTCCTGACAACTTGCCAGAGAGAAAGACAAGTGCTTTGAATTGCAAGCAAACAAGTCCGAACCTCCCTGTACCCAATAGTCTTTTCCCTGCACTGTCTCTCTACCTCCACTATTCACGCAAAATAAGAGAAGAAGAATAATTAACAAAAAAAAAAAACTCATGCTAGTTTATGATGAAGTTACTAGTAAGTCTATTTTTTAAGTTCTTTTTAAGAGGAAGACCCCTGCTTCCTTTGGAAAAAGATTATCAAGCATGCAATGGCTTTCTTGATTATTTACCACACGATGGGAGTTTAAACTTCCAAGAGAATATTTCTTAATCATCCTTCAATGAGTACCTTTAACTACTAATTATATAATATCAAGGGCTAAAGGAAGTGTGATGTGTCAAGCTTCCTCTTGTGGTAATCATTTAATGGGCAAACATTTGAAAAGGGTTATGATGATGGTACCCAAAGAGGCCAAATTGACTGTAACCCAATATCTACATAGATGATGAAAGTGAGAAAAGTTAAAGTAAAAAGCGAAAGCATCAAATCCGTACCAGAGAAAAAAAATAATAAAGCAGGTTTCAGCTATAGCTCTAAGGCTTTCAATATCCATCAACCAGATCATGCCACACATACTAAGCCAAAAAAGATCTAAAATGACACGAACGAGACTGTCTCTTGTTCAAAAAGTTACCACACATACCCTCGGATTACAAAAGAGATTGCTATGACCACTGGCGTTCTTCAGCTCAGCAGCTTACATTACAGTGTTACACTGCTCATGATAATAATTAACAATTTTACGGTATAACTTTTTATATGATAACATTTTGTTTATATTGCCAAAGGTCAAAATTTATTATTTCAGTGGACAATATTTGGTCAGACGTGTCACAAATTTTACCATAAAATAAGTTCCAAAATAACATGATAATATCAGATGGCACTATTTTCCATAACTGTGATGTCAATACAGCAGAGCCTAAGGTGCATGGACTAACCTGCACTTGAATTATTTTTTTTTATTTTTCTTTGTACATTTGTTTATAGATTTCTGCAAAAGATGTCAGAGACAACAAAGGCAGCTGCAAAGAAAGAAGAAAAAACAGAAGCAGTAGCTGCAGGCGGTGCAGTCATAATAATAAGAACAGACTCCCTCACTCATTCACAGCACATAAAGAAATAAAGAGGAGGTGGCAGTGAAAGCCAGAAGAAGTATATCATCAGAGCCATTGGTATCTATTTATCCATCTCTCTATCTATCATCCATGCACAGAAGAAGATTCTGCCCTTTGGAAAAAAAAAAAAAAACTATCAGCCCCAACTTATAGAACCAATCCTCTATCTTTTTCTGTCTTTGTTTGAAGCCTGTTGAGCTCTTGTTCTTTATTCATCAGTGTGTAGAAGAGAAACTTATATTCCTCTCTTTTGTCTGAATCAAGAATGATGAATACTGCAAGAAATAGGCCTCCTTTCACAGCTTCTCAGTGGCAAGAACTTGAACAACAAGCTCTTGTTTTCAAATACATGGTCTCAGGGACACCGATCCCACCTGATCTCATTTACTCCATCAAAAGAAGCCTAGACTCTTCAATATCTTCAAGGCTTTTTACTCACCATCCGGGTGGTAAGCACGTGAAGAAGAAGCAAGTTCATATTTCTTTTGTTTCAAAGCTTATAGTTCGTTCTATGCTATTTGATATATTACTTTCTGTATGCCTATTATGCAGTGGGATGGGGCTGTTTTGAGATGGGTTTTGGGAGAAAAATTGATCCAGAGCCAGGAAGGTGCAGAAGAACAGATGGTAAGAAGTGGAGATGCTCTAAGGAAGCATATCCAGATTCAAAATACTGTGAAAAACACATGCACAGAGGAAGAAACCGTTCAAGAAAGCCTGTGGAAGTTCCTTCATCAACAAGCAGCATTACCACAAACACCTCGCAAGCAATCTCACCATATAGCCTTAACAGAGGTCTTTCCATGATGAGCAGCAACCCCAATAACAACGCCACATCCTCAATCTCTTCTTCCTCTTTCCCTTTCTCCGAATCATCATCCCAATATCCTTACCAAAATTCTTCTCTTAATCCCTTCTTTTACACCCATTCAACCTCTTCGAGACCTCCTGATTCTGATTTCTCATCTCAAAACAACACTACCCATCAGCTATTTTTGGACTCTGGATCTTATTCTCATGATGAAAAAGACTATAGGTTTGTGTAAAACAAAAAAGTTGGCAACTTTGTTCTTTCTCTTTGGTTAGATGGTGACCTTCTTTTTTATTTTTGATTTTGACTTTATTCTTTCAAGCAGAAATATTCATGTGGACGAAAGGGCATTTTTCCCAGAAGCTTCAGGGTCTGCAAGAAGCTTCCACGACTCATACCACGAATTATCTATGAGCTCCTACAATAAATCCTATTCAAGCTCGCAGCAGTTTCAAAGCCTCAGTGATAATGACAGTAATCCAAGGCAACAAGAAGAGCAACATTGTTTTGTTCTAGGAACCGACTTCAAATCACCAAGACCAAGCAAAAGTGAGAAAGAGACTAGCACTGAAACTGCCCAGAGACCACTTCACCACTTCTTTGGGGATCAGTGGACTCAAAAGAACACAGATTCTTGGCTCGATCTCGCTTCCAACTCCAGAATCCCCACAGGTGATGATCATTATTACTGTGCTAGTTCTTTAAATGCCCCACCTCTTAACTGTTCTATAGAACCAAACCAAAAAAAAAAAAAAAACCAATTTTTACATTCAATACCATCCTTCTAGTTAAATTAATAAAGAAAACCCATCATCAATATAAGATTTTTCTTAAAGTAATTGTATTATTTAGCCTCTTCCTTTTCTTCCTCTACAGATGAATGACGTTTTGGTCATGTGTGATGATAATGGACACGGCCGAGAGAGAGAGAGATAAAGATGAAAGGTCTGGTGGCTAGGGGAGCTTACCTTTGATAAAGCAGCAATGTTTGTTATGGAGGAATGTGGGGGCCCACACTTGGATTTGTGTCTTTACTTTAGGTTGATATCTAAATATACTTTCTTGCTTCCCTCTGAAGAAAACATGTCTCCTATTTGCGCACACTCTGTGTGTGTGTTGATTTTGTTTGACTGAGTTGTGTGGACCGGAGGGAAATTAAAGAAAGGAAGCAACTTCAGTTGTTTGTGTGAAGTTCTGCACTTTGCTTTCCAATTCAAATTGCCTCTGTAACTTTTGCTTATTCTCTATATGTTTATGGACCCAAACACAACATGTGCTATCAATATATATATATATATATATATATATATGTTGTACCTTTACCATAAAATTCTCTGTATCACATCTATATGGACAACTTGACCTCACAGAAGGTTTTGATGCTGCACTTTCAAAACTTGCTATTGCATTGTGCTTTTCAGTGTCCGTCCATTTGAATGAGCAAACCGCATTAATTTACTTTATATTTTTCTTCAATTATAATTTATTCCTGTCTTATTCAAAAATATTATCTAACTTCATATACATACATGCATATATACATATATACATATACATACATATATATACACAGAGAAAAATGTCTCCCACCATCTATTTTCGTGAACATGGTTAATTTTTTTTTTTTTACAGAGTGATTTGTAGAAAATAAATTATTTTTTCTGTTTTTTTTTTTGGCCCATGATAGTGTAATATTTTATCCTTATTATATGAAGCTTTGATAATTGTATCAATGTTTGTTACTTATTAAAATGTAATTGGAAGCAAATTTTCTGTTGCTTAAAATAACGTTGGATCGCTCATTTGATGGAGCCATGAAAATGTGCAAATGAGTTAACCGGCCCAATGGATTGGTTATATATATATATATATATATATGGGTTGAAACTCACCAATTGGATTAAGTGAGTTGGCCCACCGAATTTTTTTTTACCAATTAAATATGTACATTGCTTCAACTATTAACATTCGCTCCTTGTACAACGCGCAAGCAATCTTGATTTGACTTTGAATATTATTAGTTATATATTAAAAAAAATAAGAGAGAATTGCTATATAAAAATTATAATATTTTAGATCTCATAACAGTTCCTGTTCGGTGCTAGGCCACTATCACAGTAAACTTTAAAGGATTTCCATACACCGTTGGTCCCAACCAGAAGGGGGGATATCCGATTTTCATTACAATGGAGGAAACATTTCAAATCTATGCCATTAAACTGAATTAGATGATTTAGAGATACTTTTTAAAAGTACATACTAATTTGAGTTAAAGTATATTTTTAATTCTTTAATTTTAGACAAAATTTTATTTTAATCCCTTTATTTTATAAAATATTTTTTCAATCATTTAATTTTAACATTATTACTTTCATAACAAAAAAAAATTATATTAAATTTTAAATATTGACAAAATATTATCAAATGTTAATATATTAAGTTTAATTTTTTTAAAATAATAATAATTGTCACAAAAATTATTTAAAACTAATAATATTAGGATTAGAAAACTAAAAAGATGCTTTATAAAATTAAAAGATCAAACTAAAATCTCATATAAAATTCAATGATAAAAAATATTCTTTAACCTATTAATTTGTATCATTAAAATTTAAACTAAATAATTCAAATTTGTAGTGGAAGTGCAAACATAGTGAAAAGAAACAAAGTCCCCAGTATTAAATAACATCATTGCAATGTTTGGTACCTTGGTATAAAATAAAACTTTAAAAAAAATTGAGAAATGTACCTATCTCTGTTTTTTAAAATGTATTTTCCATTTCTTTTTCAGAAAAGGACTAGTCTACAACAACACAATGTATAATACATTTTCCTAAAGCCAACTTTCTTTCCAATCAATGTTTTCCCTATTCTCTTTATTTTCTTTTGTTAATTACTTAATTAGGATTGTACAACCCTCCACTTCAATCTTGGGAAAGATTCTAGAGGGCTCACATATGCAGCACAAGTTTGAAATTAAAATGTAGCACCACACATCTAAGGCCCCGTTTGATAGTTTGGAATCATGGAGAAAGAAATGAAATTAGACATGGAATCTATTAACATGTGTGTTTGGTATGCAATAATTATGATTCTTTGAAATCAGGATTCAAGGAAATTTGATGGAATCCAATTCCATCGTATGCATCATGGAATCCAATTCCATGGTTCTTTTTCTCCAATTTGCCCCTTCTCTCTCCTCCAATATAATTTTTTTTAATTTTAAAAAGGACACTTTAGTCTTTTCTTATTTTAAATACTTATATTTTATTAAAATTATATCAGGATTCCATCATTACACCAAACACACTTTTAAATCCAATTCTATTCCAATTCCAATTCCAATTCCGATTCCGATTCCGATTCCGATTCCAATTCCATTAAAAACTCTTCCATCATACCAAACATGGCCTAAATGACCCAGTCTCTAGATCCTCATTCCCAATTACTACCTAAGTCCAAAACTCTCATATATATATATATATATATACATACATATATGTATATATATATATATTCTCACACGCATGCTTTATTTTCTCACACACTACTTTTCCAAACCATTTTTCAGGGAGAACAATTTCTCAGATTATGCTTCTGTATTTCTTCCACAATTACGATCAAAGATAGAAGGCATGAAGGAAAAATGACACGCTACGACTTGTTAGAGACATAATGGCAGTTAATGAATCGTCGAATTAAGGAAATGATACCGAAGGACCAGTAATTGGTGAAGAATATTATAAAATTGGATAAAGTGAAAGGCCATCGAATTAAATACGAAATCAGTTTTTTTTTTTTTTAAAGTCTCAGACGTTTCAATTTCATTTCTCTAATTTCACGAACAACAGTAACCTTATATTCTATAGAATAGGGCAAATTTTGCCTCCGCCACAACTGAATACAATACATCACCAAATCAAACAATTTTTGACCTGGAAGCTATGTCTAAATGCAAATTAACATCTAACTCAACAAACTGTTGAGTTTGGGATTATTTTTCTATAAATTATGTGGCAAGCACAAAATAAAACAAGGTCTGATTTTATATCATGAGGACTAATTTGAAACTCGCATGAAACCAGAGGAGCCAAAAGTTCATTTGAACCAAAGTAAATTCATATACTCCTATTATCCTGTTCACTCACCTGTCCCTAAGCTAGCATGAATTCATACCCAATTCAAAATTATATTTCATTAAGAACATCATGAATCTGAATCAGTACAAGAAAATACATGCATGCCACATCTCTCTCATGATAGCTTTCACAAGATTAATTAAACCTAAGATTCATCACTAAAACAATAATCAGTCAATCTTCTAACACCCAAAAGCCAGTCGGAAACATGATGCTTGTGCTTGACCATCAAAGTAGTACATCTTATAGATGACTCAATCACCCACCAGTCATTTTAATTTTGACTCCAAACACAAGCCACACATTCATCCACCATAGCAGAATTTTACAAAAGGTAAAGCTTCATCAGGGCCGGAAGAATCTCAGGAAGTAGTCATGTCATAGACTGGCACTGAAAATGCGCATTTCCTCGGCATTCACAGTCCATTTCCAGTTAAAGTCACATACAGATACAATAGACCATTCAGACAAAAAATAACACTATTTTTTTCATTTCTTATTTCAACCAAAGTAGTTCAGGAAGTTTGGTTTTGAAATGCTGTATTGCAAAAGGTTTGAGTCCTTACAAGTTATTTATACATACATTATCGCCTCAGAATTCAACAGCAATTCCATCAAGACTTGGTTTCTTAAGAATTATTGTGACATTGCGGGCAAACAAACAATACTACTCCAACTTCATCTGATAAATTTCTCTTAAATCTCCCATTCAGAAAGACAACCAGGCAGAGAGCAATGGACAAAAGGAAACACAAAAGTCAATATTAGAATGCAAATGGTGAATCCTCGCTGGATAAATATAATACTCCATCTCGGCTATCTAATTCAGCACCAATAATCTTGATAGTAGTACTTGGCTTTTTCAGCCAAAATAGAACAGCAGAACATCACGCCCATTACCAAAGCAAGAGTCAGTGAGTTCAATAACCAAATGATCGATCACACCAAATTTTAATCACTATGTATAATAAAGTCATAAAATTAGGTGCAGATACATCAAAATGGGGGAACAAAAAATCAAATTCTGTCATTGCTAGCTAATTCTTCAAACCTTCCTGGCATCATTGTACAGTTAACATGTTAGAGCAAAAATAAAAAACTATAGAACCAAAGAGGAAGAGGGGACTTCTTTAGACTATGAGCCGTGTAATGAAACAAAGGACAGTAAGTATAAATGTAGGAAGGAACGCATGGAAAACGCCAACTATAAATACCAATATACAGAATGATTCGAGACCCGAGCATTCGTTCCTTGATTCGTTTCTTTCAATCCTTGTTTTCTATGATGTTGTTGCCAGACTCTGGAGAATTTCAATCCAGCCCAATGAAAATAATTGCTAAGAACATTTCGCTCCGAAATTTTCAAGCACTAACTTCAAAGGCATCCTTCGTCCTTAAAAGTTGCCTTCTCTTGAAAACTAAGAAACCAATCACACCAATCTGCATGAGTCCCGCAATACCCGCAAATAGAAGACCGATCTTCTTCCCTCCGTTCATCCGCTGCGATGTTCGCCGCAGGGGAGGCCTATGGTGGGAGCGATTGGGGTTCCCCGCTGAGTTTGCGACCTTCGGTCCTGGGTCCGCATGAGAAAGATTATGGGGCGACTGAGAATGGGAAGGCGGCGGCCGATATTGGTGAGGCGGCGGCGTTAAAGGGGGCGAAGTTGGCCGTCGAAATGGCAGGAGCGTGAATGGAGGTTGCCGTGTCGGAGGTGGCGACTTTAAAGGGGGCAAAGGCGGCGGAGGCAAAGGTGGCGGCTTTAAACTGGACCAAGGATGCGGGGGCCGGGGCAACGGCGGCGGTGAAGGTGACGACCGAGGAGGAGGACGTGGCGATACTGATGTAGAGGGGGCCTGGGACTCGGCAATAACAGAATAAATACTGAAGGTGATGCTGAAAATTATCAAACCCAAGGTCGACAATGTTGAATCCATGGAACAACAAAAAAGGGATTCCCTTTTCAAGGACGATGAATGTCAAAATCAGGGTTTTCAGGGACTTGCCGCATCTAGGTGTATCCACCCTTTCTTCCTTCTTCGTATTTAGCTCCGAATTGAAGATCCTGGCCTCCCAACAGAACTGCCATAGAAACAGAATCCAAGCATACGATCGCTTCGAATCAGGACATTCCCAGCGACAGCTTCCTACTCTGCATAAAGAATTCGAAGAACTGGATCGTATGGGTTTGTCCCCAAACCTCCGGTCAGTTGCTTTTCCGAAGAAGGGGAAGAAAAAACCCACAACCCCAATATTCGAAATCAGGTGGCTAGGGTTTTGTTCTCACGCCCCAGAAAAATGAGGGACCTGAAGAACAAAGAAACGGGTCAAAGAAGGAGGCTGCAAAACAGTGCAAGGTTGAATCAATCCCAACTCAACCACCATAAATGAAGGTCCTTCATGAGAAAGGTGAAAGGGTCAAAGGGAAAATGATCAAGAGAAGCGATAGGTGGAGTAGGATAATAACGGAGGCATTGAATTTGATGTGCAGAGGAAGGACAAACGGGATTGAATTTTGCGCGGAAATTGGCAGCTTTCTCAGAAAATGGAAGATGCACAGCGAGAGAGGGAGGGAGGGTAGGGGATGAGACAGAAAGTCTGCGGGAGATTGAACCGGTTTGGGCTAATTTAGGCGAGTGATGAGCTAGCAACAGCGAATCTTACGCCTGTCATGACTCACTCATGACTTTACACAGACGGAGAAAAACGGGGAATAGAGAGACTAGAGAGAGGGAGGAGGGAGGGAGAGAGAGAAGGTGAGGAGAGGGAGTGATGACATGGCAGCCATGGTGGGCCCAATTCTTACTGAGATGCTGTTCGATTGTATGGGCCCATCTTGGTATAATGGTCTTGGGTGGGTATGAGATAGAGAAGGCCTGGGGTTGAGTACATTGGATCCTTTGAATATTGTATATTAAATTAAGGGTGTTTATAAGATGAGACAGAACCGAAACACTCTCGTCCCATGTCTCGTCCCGAAAAAATAATTAAGACTAAATTTTAGTCCTATGTCCCGTCCCATATCCCGTCCCAAAAAAACGATCAGAACTGAATTTTAGTCTTATGTCCCTTCCCGTTTCGTTAAGAGTCGGGATGGAACAGGGATAAGATCGGGACGTCCCGTCGTCCCGATAAATGCAATAATATCAAAAAAAGATTTGGATAATAACGTTCATTAAAATTTTAAATCATATAATTTATTAAGTTTAAAATCAAAACAATACAAGTACATAAATAATAATAATTTAAAATTAATTATTGAATTGTATTAATCACAACTACACATTATAATAACAAATACAAGTGATCTTTATGCTATAAGATTAGCAATAATAGGCAAGTCAAACATAACATCAAATCATTGTTCTTCTATTTTAGTGAAGATGTACTAAGCTAATTACTCTTCTAAAAATAAAGCAAGAAATACGTTATAAATAAAAGTTATTAAATAGATAAGTATAAGAATAAATTATATTAATATAATTAATATATAATAAAGAAAGATACCTCCATGTTTACTCCATGCCACTAAAATTATTAATATAAAAAAACTTTAGTTTTAAATAAGAATTGCAAGTATTAAATTATAATTGATATAATTAATATAAGTATAAATTATATTAATATAATTAATATATTTAAAATAAAAAATAATATATATAATATTCGGAACGAGACGAGACATCCTGATGGTAATCCCATGTCCCATCCCGTCCCGGACCCCTTTCCCGTCTCGTCCCGATTATTTTTAGGTCGAGACAAGACACGTCCTAATATGATCGAGACAATACCGGACCAATCGAGATGGGTTCAGACTGAATAATTTAATAATTAAATTACTGATGCTGATACTGTATATTAAATTAAAGGATAAGCTTCATTTTTACCTTTAAAACATGTTAGTAGGAGCATCTAATGACTTAAAGTCATTATTATAATAATATTATCTTTTAAGTAATTAAAACATAATAATTTTGCCCCGACATTAAATCTTAGTAAACACTTGTTAGTTGAAACTCACTTTCTGAAACACGTGGCAATGACTTGACCTATTACATCTACATCGTCTATTCTACTACAATTTCCATTCTTGTTCTTCTTCTCCCTCTTCACCCCTTCCATTTTTGTCTCTCTCTTCCCTTTCCTGTCTTCTCTTCTCATCCGTTCACTTTCTCCTAGAGAAAGGCAGCCATATGGAAATTAGAACAAGGAATAGCAAATGAAAGAGCAAGAAAGTGAAAAAGCTAGGATCAGTCGGGGGATTAATGTAACAAATCAAGTCACCTACCACATGAAGAAGAAGAAGAATCCAGTCACCAATGCTGAATACTTACAAAAAAACCAACCCTAGCCACTTTCACTTTCTTGTAAAACAAAAAAGAAAGAAACAAACAAAACGACAACAGCGTTGATAAGGGCATAGGCGACAGCGAGAGGATCGAGTTGGAATAGACCTCACCTGGCAGAATCACATCCCTCAACAAAAGAGAAGGCAACGGTGAGGCAAAGTTAGAGCGAAGTGTCTTTGCTCAACGCTAATAAGCAAAGGACGGGACGAAGCTACCTTTCCCAAATAAGGTTGTCGTGATCAGCAAAAACTCTGATCAGCTTAACAAAAAGGAAGGAAGCATTGTGAGAGTCATGCAAGAGCCTACGGATGAAAGGAATGGAGGAGGAGAAGGCGGTGGCACGTGATACTCTATGTGGAATAAACTGCGAAACAAAGAGGTAGAGGGAGAGGCTTATAAATGATTTCATTCGACCCTTCCTTGCTCGTCCAAGCTGCCTCCTTCTTATCCTTATAAACTCTATTTGAGTGATACATATGCAAAGCCATTATCTTCATCGCTATCTGCTAGAGTTTTGCCAATCTTGTCAGTGAGCATGGAGATAAGGAGAAGGGTCAAACAAAAGAGGGGTTAGATCACGTGGCTGGGTTAAACTTTTTCCTCTCGCTAACTTGACAGTCAACATCTAAGACTTAACATTGGCGGTAAAATTGCTCCATTTAATTGGACAACATTACTATGATAAGGATTTTAAGCCATTGGATGTTTCTATCAAAATACTTTAATGAAAAGAATGAACCTTTATCTTAAACTAAATTCTTGAAATATTAGTTGGCATTGAAAAATTATAAATTTTTAAGGGTAACTTTAACTTTAAATGTCAGAGAGAGCATTTACTAAAGTATTAAACTACACATTGACTGTTTACAAATAAATGACTTCTTGACATTTTTATAAATATATGGATAGAAGGTAGTAATTTTAAAAATAATAAAATTCTATTTAAAATTAATTATAATTACATTTAAATTAGGAAATATCTAATAATCTGAAAATAATAATAATTTTCCTTTTTTTTTAAAAAAAGTTAACGTTTTTACCAGCACTAATTGGGTTCAATGAAATGGAACTTACTAATATTACTTTACCTTCATTTAGGACCTCACTTGAACCGGTAGCATACGAATTGATTCTTAATAAAAGAAAACATCGGAATGTCAAAAATAGATTTGATTCAAGAAAAAGTGAAAAACCCAGTGAACACCATATTTTAGGTGGAGTAAGTTTAAAAAAAAAAATGTTTCTCACAAAACCATACCACCTAAACTTTTGAGATAGATAACCAATTTATAAAAATGGGAAAATTAGATTAGTTATTTGTAAATAAAATATACTCCATATTTGTTTCCTAAAATAATGTTATGATCCAGCCCAATCATCAAGAGGCTAGTACGTCCAAGACAAATATGGGCTTAAAACAGAGTAACACGCGTCCGAGTATTATTATGCATGAGGAGCCTGTGCATCGTAGCTCAAGGATGAGAAAGAGTACGTGGAAGGTGAGAGAGAATGCAGCTACTTAAGGAAGAGGTAGGAGCAGTAGAGAGGCATTGAAGATTGTGGATCATTTATCTCTCTCTGACGTTATTTCTCTCTCTTTTCTGTTATTTCCCTTCTGAATATTCTCTCTATCATTTCAGTTATTTTCTCCTTTAGAATGTGTATTGTTGTGACTGTGATTAGCTAAATAATACCATAGCAAAAATTGTGTATTCCATTATGTTAGAATTCTTGTTCATTCATAACAATTTGGTGCTCTCGTTGCCTCCTGTCGTTCAGTTATGACAGATGGTACGCGTCTCAAGGAACAGGCGGCTGAGCTAAAATGTTTGTCTGATTGTCTTGACAAACGTGATCAGCATGATCAGGAACACAATGCTTTTACAGATTCTCACTTGGACAAGATGGAGTCTTCCATACGTTCTTTCTCTGTACAGATGGAGGCGTTTGGTCATCGTTTCGACCAGTTTATAGAATCTCGACGAGTTGTTCTTGGGGGTAGCAGTTCATCGTCTGGCCAACCTCTATCACATCCACCTCTTCAGCCACTTCAGTTGCGTCAAGTGAAGCTTGATTTTCCACGCTTTGACGGTTCTGAGCCTCTTAACTGTATCTTTCGTGCTGAGCAATTTTTTCATTATTATGACACATCAATGAGTATCATTTAATTTCTTCAGTGCATTTTGATGGGCCAGTTATTCCTTGGTTCCAGATGTTACAGAAGTCACATCAAATCCATACCTAGGTAGAATTAATGCAAGCTTTAGAGGATCATTTTGGTCCCTCTAAGTTTAACTGTGTTCGTGCTAAGCTTTTCAAGTTGGTATAGACTGATACTTTTACAGTTTATTATCAAGATTTTATGGCGTTGGCTAATTTGTAGAGGGTTTAGATGATACCGCTCTCTTGGACTGTTTTATTAGTGGCCTTAAATCTAAGTTGCCACGTGAGGTTTTGGCTAAAGAACCTCTTACGTTGTTACATGCTACTGCTCTGGCATGATTATATGCCGATAAGGGTATTGACACTACTCAACCGACTAGACCACGTTGGAATGCCCCTGTTTTTAGTGTTACTTCTTCAAAATCTACCCCTGTTATGTCACTACCAGTAGTGTCTTCTTCTAGCTCCGCGAGTATGGGATTTATTTCGAAATTGGCGACCACACCATTATTATCAATGCCCCCTACTAAGCTTCAGCGCCCTATCCGTCATATTTCTCCAGCTGAAATGCAACTTTGACGTGAAAAAGGGCTCTGTTACAATTGTGATGAGAAGTTTTCCTAGAATCATAAGTGTCCAAATCGACAGTTGCTTATGATGATCACTAATCTGGATGAGGTCGAGGATCATGTACAGCTCAAGATTCTACCTGAATCACCTGTTCTTCAGAGTAATGTTGAAGCTGATGTGACAGTTTCTCTCTATCTAAGGTGTTGTGAATGGAAAGTAAATTCAAATTTTATTGGATGGTGGGGCTTCCGATAATTTCATTCACCCTCATATTGCACATCATCTTAAACTTCCAATTGAATCTCTTCTTGGACCTTTATGGGTTCAGATTGGAGATGGATTTAAGATGTCTGGTGATGGGTACATACATAATATTCTCCCTACGATTCATGGCCACTCTTTGAATTTAGATGTTTATGTGCTAGCTATCACAGGTTCGGACATGGTTATTAGGTCTCAATGGTTGACATCGTTAGGTGAACACTTAGTAAATTATTCTTCTGCTATATTGAAATTTTACATGGGTGGCAAATTTGTCATTTTTCAAAGCCATCATAGTCAAGCCCAACAACAAATTCAATTACATCAACTTCGTCGTCTTTCTACTACAAAAGCGATGATCAAAATTTATCTTTTGCAATGTGAAGTTGTATCTGAGCCTACAAAACTTTTAGGTATACTTCCAGAAGACTAGCCATCGAATTTATTAGCTTTGTTACACAAATTCAATGACGTTTTCCAGCATCTGAAAGGATTACCACATCCTCAAAATCATGATCATGCTATTCGGTCACAGCCTGGGACACTACCTATTAAGGTGCGATTGTATCGTTATCCAGTGGCGTAGAAAACAGAGATAGAATGGCAGGTCAAAGAGATGCTTCAGGAAGGGTTAATACAACGCAGTTAAAGTCCATTTTCTGCGCTAGTAATTTTGGTTCGCAAGAAGGATGGAACTTGGCATTTTTATACTGATTATCGTGCTCTTAATGCTGTCGCGATCAAAGACACTTACCCTATGCCAATGGTGGACGAACTCCATGGTTCCCAGTTTTACTCAAAGATTGATCTTCGTGCCGGTTATCATCAAATATTAGTGAAACCTGAAGATCAATATAAGACTGCTTTTCATACTCATCATGGCTTGTACGAGTAGGTAGTAATGCCTTTTGGCTTGACCGATGCTCCGGCATCATTTCAGGCATTGATGAACGACGTATTTCGGCCATATCTCAGAAAATTCATTTTAGTATTTGTTGATGACATATTAATCTATAGTGACAGTTGGGCTCACCATATGAACCACCTTGCTATTGCTTTAGATTTGTTGGCCCAGAATCATTTGTTTGCCAAGCTTTCTAAGTGTGTATTTGGTCAATCTAGAGTGGAGTATTTGGGTCACTACGTGTCTGTAAAAAGGGTGGAAATGGATCACAGAAAGGTCGAGGCAGTGTTAGTGTGGCCCATACCTACTAATTTCTTGCAATTAAGAACATTTTTAGGTTTAACGGGCTACTACAGACATTTTATTTGTAACTATGCTCAGTTAGCAAGCCCACTCACACACTTGTTACAACGAGATGCTTTTCATTGGAGTATTGAGGCTCGAGGTGCTTTTCACTGGAGTATTGAAGCTCAAGATGCTTTTGATTCTCTTAAATAGGCCATCATGTCTACACCAGTGTTAGCATTACCTAATTTTACTCGGCCATTTATATTGGAAACAGATGCATCAGGTTTGGGCGTCGGAGCTATTCTAAGTCAAGACGGGCATCCCATAGCCTTCTTTTCTAAAAAGTTGTCACCATGTATGAAAGCAAAATTAGCTTATGCTCGTGAGCTTTATGCTATTTTAGAAGCTGTCATAAAATTTTGCCATTATTTATATGGCAACAGATTTATAATTCAAACTAATCGTCAGAGTTTATGGCACCTTACGTCTTAGAGTATACTGACTCCGGAACAACAAGAATGCCTTCCTAAGCTACTGGGGTATGATTTTAAAATAGAATTTCGGAGGGGTAAATCAAATATTGCAGTTGATCCACTATCTCGATTCACTTTGCAAGCAATGTCTATTGTTCAATCTGAGTCAGAACAACTTATACTGGACCAACTTTGACAAGAGCCTGATATTCAAACACAAATTCAAAGGTGTCTTGATAACGCTAGTGTTATGGTGGGGTATGCTATTCGAAATGGTATCTTGTTTTATAAGGACAGAGTAGTGATTCCAGTCTTGGCTACAAATATTACAAAGATGATTTTATAGGAATTTCATTCCTCACCTATAGGTGGACACGTGGGCATCCTCAAAACCTTGTCCAGAATAGCTCTATATTTTACATGGCCTAATATGAAATGTGATGTGCAAAGGTATATATCACAATGTATTGTTTGTCAACAAAAGAAATCATCTAATTTGAAATCTGTTGGTCTGTTGTGGCCTTTACCAATTCTTTCTAATGTGTGGGACAAGGTGGCTATGGATTTTATTATTGGTCTACCTACGATGAAGGGTTATTCAGTTATTATGGTGGTTATTGATAGATTGACAAAATATGCCCACTTTGTTTCTTTAAGGGAAAATTACACAGCCATTCAGGTTGCTAAAGCATTTGTGCAGCGTATTGTGAAATTACACAGTATTCCTAAGGCAATAGTGTCAGACCGAGACCATGTTTTTACTAGTTCATTCTAGCAGCATCTTTTTCGATTGCAGGGAACACAATTGAGGATGAGTTCATCTTATCACCCACAATCTGATGGCCAATCCGAAGTATTGAATAGATGCTTAGAAATGTATTTGTGGTGTTTTGCTATGGATAATCCACGATCATGGTTTAAGTTCTTACCATGGGTTGAATTTTCATATAATACTGCTTTTCATACGGCTATAAGTATGTCACCATTTAAAACTCTATATGATCAGGACCCACCATCCTTGCTCAAGGTTGAAGTTGATGATGGAACACCTTGGATGTGCAATGTCAGTTGGTTATGCATGATACTCTGTTATCACAACTGAAAAACAATTTAACTCGTGCTCAGACAACGATGATCAAGCATGCTAATCGATACTGCCGGGACATGGAATTTGTAGAAGGTGATTTGGTTTGGGTTAAGTTGAAACCATATCGACAAGCCTCCCTTATATCCAATTATTCAGCCAAACTTAGTCCCCGATGGTTTGGGCCATTTTCAGTTGTGCAGCGTATAGGTTCAGTAGCGTATAAGCTTGATCTGCCATCTTATGTACAGATTCACCCTGTCTTTCATGTGTCTTCGCTTAAAAAGTTTGAACGTGAGCCTTTACCTCCCTTCATACCATTGCTTCTCATATCATCAGAACAGGGTCCGCTGATATCTCCTGTAGAGGTCATCCCGATGTTCGAAGGATCAAGGTTCGAGACTCTTGGGTTACACAAATGTTGATCCGTTAGGATGGCCGACAAGAACTTACATGGGAACCATTTGATCAATTGCTGAAAGATTATCCTTCTTTTGACCTTGCAAACAAGGTCTCTTTTAATGGGGAGGGCAATGTTATGATCCAGCCCGATCATCAAGAGGCTAGTACGTCTAAGACAGATATGGGCTTAAAACAGAGTAACACACGTCCGAACATTATTATGCATGAGGAGGCTGTACGTTGTAGCTCAAGGATGAGAAAGAGTACGGGGAAGGTGAGAGAGAATGCAACTACTTAAGGAAGAGGTGGGAGCAGTAAAGAGGCATTGAAGATTGTGAATCATTTATCTCTCTCTGACATTATTTCTCTCTCTTTTCTGTTATTTCCCTTCTGAATATTCTCTCTATCATTTCAGTTATTTTCTCCTTTATAATGTGTACTGCTATGACTATGATTAGCTAAATAATACCATAGCAGAAATAGCGTATTCCATTACGTTAGAATTCTTGTTCATTCATAACAAATATCTTCTCCAAATTACCTCTATCAATGAAAACTCCCTTCAAACAAGTGCAATCAATAGAGATAATTCAAAAACTACATAAATTTGGAAGACAATATATTAAGATCTTATGTTTCAAATTAAAACAATTCCCTTAACTAGCTCCCATATTCAGGGCAGGATCCTCAATTAGGCAACTTATCTCAAGCATTGCCAATCAGATTTTTCAATGAAAATATGACTACATTTTTTTCGACTCTCTCAGATGTATGTAACATGAACTCCTTAGTTACATAATTGGATCATAATTTTATCAATAAATCAGATAGCAAATACTAAAATCAAAATTTAGCCAAAACTAATGTCATGATGCTGGCCAAAAGCAAAAGCAAATGAATATTTCGAATCCATATTTGATATAAAAAAAATATACAGAAGCTACATGATGTCAAATGCTGTGATCCTAATTTTCGTGTCCAAAAGAACACGTAATTACACTTCCTCGTAAGCCAATCAGTAACCGCAAATGCTTCCAGACCTGAGAAACAATAACTATTAGATAAGATCCATGAGAACAAGACAGATGCTCGTACAGATGAATAGTCCAATAAGGACTTGTGAAAATAGATGAGGATCTATCCCATTTCATTAATGATAAAGAATATAAGAATGATCGTTGAGGGTTTTAACCAACTTTCTTCCAGAAAGGTGCAGTCATCAATTCTACTTTTGTAACATCCCATTCTAGGAAAGACCATGCTGTTAGGATTGAAGTTTGGAACATAGGGTTTTAAGTGCTATGTGTAAAATGATACTCAGGGGAATGAAAAGGGTGTGTGTGTGCGTGCGTGCGTGCGTGTGTGTGTATCACGTATTGACAGTTTGGTGAACATGAATAGTTATTAGAACAATTAAACACATTTTTGCAGTAGATTGTTTAATTGAAATATTCATAAAAAAGGGACGAGAATGAGTATTGAAAGCAAAAGAAGATTACCAGTGTCCAGGCAGTTAAACAAACCACCATAGAGACCAAGAACCGGTGGATTAATTAAAATCTTGTTGAGAAACCAACTGATTGAGAATTAGCTGATTGAGAAACCAACTGCTCTGAGCTAAATGAAGGCCTCATCAGTTGGTGGGCACCGACAGGGTTAGCAAGGCCCTGTCTACTCACATCTTTAGTACTGTTCATACTTGGTTCAGAGTGTGAGGATTCCATCAATGTACGTACCTGATGAGATGTTGGGCAAGAAGGACAAACAAAAATTATTTGTGCTCAGTCACAAGCATTTAAATCAAATGTATGCATGGATTGGATTCTTAATTTCTTACCATATCTAGACGCCTCTTGTGAAGATCATTTGATAGCTGTAAGGTTGAAGCACAGCAAGTTAAAATTCAGGTTACAAAAAAAATATTTTGTAATGGACGTGCTCCCAATAGCCAATATACCCAAACCTTGAGTAAAAAACAAAGGAGGGAGGAGTATTTTATCAAAAATAAACAATTTTGAAACAGGCATATTAAATTAAATTGTTTTATAAATGCTTGGCGCCAAATAGTAATCAAGTATCCATTTAAAAATAACTATACATCAAACTTGCATTATAAAGGAATTGATATTAATCTCCATTTCCTTTCTTTACGTGAGTGTGTGTGGGGAAGAGAAAATCATTTGTTGCTTACAAGTTTGCTCTGATGCTTCTTTTCTTCACTCGAATATCCTGGAATTGTTAAATCCCAATTTTTCTCTGCAAAGTAATTTCGGAAACCAAGCAAATCAACAAAGTTCTGAAATCAAAACATATCCTCAAAAATTATTTGATTCTGAATGATAAAACTATTCAGGCCAAGAAAATGATAGAACTATCGGGAGAAGAGTTAGGAACGATTTTATTAAATACTAACAAGCTCCATCAAGCAAAAATTTGGACTTAAGAGTGAGCAAAACACAAACTCGTCATTCCAAGTGCTGAAATTTTAATTGGGATAATGAGCGATACAGATTGAACTCTTGATAACTCCATAACAAAGGCTCTAACACCATGCGAAAACCCACTCCCCACCCAAAAAAAAAAAAAATGCCAAGACTATTAGATGAGTTGGAGATTCATTTATCACCAGCAGCATACGATCAAATGTTTCTCACTCATGATATTATAGAAATCCTTGATCTGTGCATCATACAATCTAAAAAACATGTTCATTGCATCATTACACGAAACAACATTAAAATGAAATTCATAAAGTGACTTAATAAAAGAAAGTAATGTAGTGTGTAGAAGTGTTGGCCATTTTGAAAAAAAGGGCAAAAAGAATTTAAAAAAAAAAAAAACAGGCACAATTCATTTCCATTCATGATGGATCTTCTAATCAACTTCTTCATTGGCATTTTCCTGAAAATCGTACTTTTAATCATTTAAGTTAACTTTTTCTTGATGATGATGATGATGATGATAGTCACCAGAGGACTATGGAGTACACAATTAAAGTGGTCTATTCAGGGCAATAACATCCACTACATGCTTTCCCCTTGTAGTATACACATTTATCAGTCCATAGATCAAGGGGGTACTACAAAGTCAGAATGGACCATCAATATGTCTATTGCAGTTTAAAAAAATGCAGTAACCAAACTATTAGTGATGGATTTCTATATAAGAAAGTCTATGAAAGTAGGAAGAAGAATGTCAATAGAGAAGGTGAGCAGCATATTCAGGGTGTTTACATATTGAGGATAGAGGGCTGAGGTGGAGGTCATGCAGCAGATAAGAAGGATTTCAAGTAGTTAGGAATGGAGAAAAATAAGGAAGGCTGGGAAGCATGCAAATTTTGAGAATCATGGTGGAAGCCTAAGCTCTGAGAAGCTAGGATTGTTTTCTTTCTTTCCATGCTGGAGTTACTTAAGAAGATGGATGCACTGCAGAGTTGATGATAGAAAATGCTGGTACTGGTACTCGTCAGTCAGCTGTGAATGCTATGGATGAAAGATGATAACATGGGTACAACAAGGCAAGCATAGGACAGATCCATGTCAAAAACAATTTTTTAGCACATTAAGTTGAAGTGAAATTCATGAGTTGTCTCTAAAAGTCAAGGTGGTAACGAAACAGAGGAGAAGGAAAGTACTCAGAAAGAAGTAAAAAGAACATGAGTTACCGAACTAGACTTACTTTAGACAGCTAAGTTTCAAATGAGTACATTTAACTTTCTCCCTTTCTCTCAGCAGTAAATAGACGAAGGCAATAAAGAAATAAGTCAATATCTATCAACGGAAGGGTAAAACTGCATATCAATTAAAAACAAAAGGGCAGAAATCAATCAATCACCAATTACATGTCCCTTCAAATCTCTTCACTTTTGAGAAGAAAAATAAAGAAAACCAAATAATTATCTATCCTCTAACCCTCTGTAGCTTTAATGAGAAAAGACTCGCCAGGACATGATAGGCTTAAACTTGTTAACTTGAGTTTAAGCTTACCAGCTCCACAGACAGCAACAAGTTGCTTCATCAGTCGTAATAGCCATAGGTTGAAGAAACATGCAACCATGAGACAGCCCTAGAGATTCAACCTAGTAATAGGTAAACCCAAACATAGACACCTGACACCATAGTGCAAGCTTAGACAATGTATGGCCTCACACTATTGGAAAGAAAAATCTGAAAGCGGCAATTATGGCAATCTTTCTTCTGTGAATGTTTCCAGAGACGCCAAAAAATTGCTCCCAACTATGCAAACAGAAGTCTTAAAAAATTGCTTGAAAAAGAAGAAAGACAGAGAATTAATAACCAGACAAGCATCCCTCAGTTAAGCCACCGTAAATTTCATAGACCACTGTCTTATGATGAAAAATATTTGGGGGGGAGGGGGAAGCAAGCAGAGAAAAATTCCTCTCACCTTGAATTTTTCATCAAGAATGCAGACTTAACAATGCATAAAGAAAAAATTATAAGGGCATTAAAGCAAAGAATTTCACTTGAATTCACTAAGATTGGGATCGTGTAAAAACTTATCTTTTCAAACCAATCAATCATGCTGATGGTAAAATTTGTGCAAGTAAATCAAACTAACAAGAATTAAAACATGCAATGGTTGTTTTTCCTTGGAGGTGAGGGTGGAAAAATAAATTAGATATAGTCAGTCACAACAGACCTAGATGTAGCAATAAGTCCTTGGACTCCAAAGTTGATGATTTTCTATGTTTAGCTAAAATGCAACCATGTGTTGTGGCCTGCAAATAAGAATGAAAGAAGTTACAGTTGAAGAACAGAACAATCTTAACTAAAACAGACAAACCATCAAGCCATAGACGTCAGTGAATGCAAAATGGAAACGTACAATGAAAAGCTTTTAAATAGAAAAATTGTTCAATTATTTTATAAAGAAATCCAATAGGGGGCAACAATGAATAAGGAAATTACAAACTTTGCTACATATTCAGTACAGTTCATTCACAAAGCAAATACTGAAACGAAGATCATCCAGCACCCTGGGAAGCACAAGTGCCAAAGTAGTAAAAAATTTAACAAATTTAATCTTCAAGTGGACTGTAAAAGTATTTCTATCATGAAAACTCTGATGTAGAAAGTATTGAATAAAAGAAATAAAACTTGTGATTTGCATGCTATTACTAGATTGAAGCCAATCAAAGAAAAAATATCATCAATACCATTTATCCAAGACTCAATTCAAAAGATGAGCATTGAAGAAGTCTCTATATCCACAAAAGTTAAAAAGAAATAGAAGCCAAGACTCTAAGTGGTTCTGAACCCATGATATGCTCCTGGAAATTGTAACCCCCCCCCCCAAAAAAAAAAAAGAAACAACAACAACAACAACAAAAACAAAAAGTCTCCCTACTTCAGAAAGGACCTTAGTGATGATCTTAAAACAACAGACATCAGGCTAATGTTAATAGGTATAAAAGCACACACCTTGATAGTTGATCCTTCTATTAAATCAACTATTGATGACATGTTATATTCAATATAGTGGAAATTCGATAAGTAACCAAGCATGATTATTCCACAAGAAGTAAGAACATTATATCAAAATTAAAATCTGTATCAAGGAGAGAGAGAGGAGGAAAAAGACATGTTAGAATGCTTACAGAATCAATGAACTCATCAGCGAGCTCTAAAAGAATATCAATAACTTCAGGATCCAGCTTGCCCTGTGGATCCACCTGCAGATGAATAGACTATTAGTATTGCATTACAATTAAAAATATAATTAATAAAAAGAACTTGTAGGGAAAATGACAAGGAGCGAGGACGACCTGAGCAACTAAATCCTGTATCTTTCTCTTCCCAAGCAGTTGGTTTGTTGCTTCTGTTCCTTGACTTGAACTTCCCCCTGGTGTAGTTGCGCCAGATGCTGTAGCATCGGGCTGTGATCCTGTTAGACTAAGTGACTTTTGGCCTGCAGGTCCTGGCATCCTTGGAGACTGCTGCTGCTGCTGATGAATAGGTGTTTGTAGCTGAGAATGTTGTTGCGATTGCTGTTGTATTAGTTGCTGCTGCTGCTGCTGGGGCTGCTGTTGCTGTTGTTGTTGGTGCAGCTGAGGCTGCCCCACTGATTGCTGCTGCTGCTGTACCAACTGCGATAAGTGCTGTGGATTCAAACCCATAGAGTTTTGTGGCAGTTGGGTTGATGAAGCTAGCTGCTGCTGCAACAACAATTGTTGTCTTTGGTGTTGGAGACGCAAAGAAGGAGAGCCAGGGCCGGAAATCGCTGGCATTTGCTTAAACCACTGTTGCTGAGTTAAAGAATTGTGCATCATTGTTGGCTGTCCATTCTGAGATAACCCGGGTAATTGAGAATTCATAAATGCAAGGGATGACGTTCTGGATAAACCCTGAACCTGTAGTTAACAACTCACACATTGTTATGTATGTAGCAGCAGCAACACTAAAAAACAACCTTATCCCACTAGGTAAGGTCGGCTACATATGTTCACATTGCTATATGTGCATTACCAAGAAATTATTGAAGATTACGTTATGAAATTTGTTTGAAAGTTGAGCTATATTAAACTTTTGTAAATCATATTTTTAATATACAAAATAGAACTAAGAAATTCCTTTGCTTTTTTTCTTGAAATACACACATACCCTTTCTATATCAACATTCTTATATATTGCTCCTTACAATTTCAAGAAACACCCCAATTCTCCCCCTCACAAATATACAGGGAATAGGAAAACAAAATAAAAGATACTTTCAATTCAACATATATACCATTTCTTAAAATCATGGGTACTAATACAAAAGCATCATGAGCAAGGATGATACGAAGATTAATCAAATTATTCAATGATGTTGATCACAGTTAGACAGTAGCATGAACATTTAAAGCAAAGGTATATTAAATTTTGAAAATTGAAATATACAGCAAAATTTTAATTGCATGGACATTTATAAGCTGAATCAAGTAAGAATAATATGACATTATGATCCAATAAAGACAAAAATAAAACATACTGAAGCATAACTATTCCTACTTCACCAAAATTACACTGAAGTGCATAAAATAAGAATATATTATACCTGTGATGCGCTGAGTGAACTTTGCTGTGATAGTTGCTGCCTAATTTGACCCTGGTTCATTCGCTGCTGCTGCTGCTGCTGCTGAGCATAAGCAACGGCTCCATTAGCTCTTAGTTGTGGGTTGAGATTAAGTGAACCCATTATGCCCATCTGTTGCATTCCTTGGAGAGGTTGGCCGGCAGAATTACCTGGCTGAAATTGTGACCCTTGGACTAATCCACTCTTTTGCCTCGGCTACAATCAAGTTCATACTTATTTTATAATGAAAGAAAACTATTCATAGTAGAAGGCAAGAAATGCAAGATACTAGATAAATAAAACACCATGTGCAAACAAAATAAAAGCATAATTGAAGAAAATGGTATACCAATGCCACGTATAGGGCCTTATTTTTTAAAATTACATCATTTTCACATTTATTTCATCTACTTCAAATGTTGTCTTCTGCCTATGACTCCATCCCCTATGATGGGATCAACCATGAACTACAACCAAGAAATACTTCTGATGTCACTTAACCACTGTCATTTGGTTTTCATACCCATAAAAGAATAACCAGTCACTCATTGAAATCTCGCTTAAGATCCCCAGGTTAAACATATGTTCCAACAAAAATCATCGGAATCTATGTATGAAACTTTGCCTCCCAAAAAAAAGAAAAGCAATTGAAAGATGCAAATTTGGCAGCAGCAGTTTATAGCATTTTAAGGAATCATTCAAATAAAGCGACGCATCAATTAGCATAAAGAATTCAGTATACCGAGCCCAATAAATTAAATTGAGCAGCAGCACCCGGCAACATGGGGAGGTGCCCGCTCTGTCCTATTAACGCTGACCGCGCCAAATTTGAACCTCCTATTTGTTGCTGCTGCTGCTGCTGTTGTGGCTGCTGTTGCTGCTGATTCTGGAGCTGTGTTGGAGCAGAACCACCAAAATTCATCTGCCCGTATAAACCCGCTTGCTGTCTCATAACACCAAACTGTTGCTGCTGCTGAACTTGACTCAACCTGGCCATTGAAGGTGATCTCTGAAGACTTTGGTGGATTTGATAATTCGACATTGGATTGGCATTCGCATTTTGAGACTGCTGCATCAGAGGCTGTGACTGTTGCTGCTGCTGCAGTTGTTGCTGTTGCTGCAGGGATTTCTGTTGATAATCTAACCCAGAAGCAGCAGGACTAAGCTGCTGTTGCAACTGCTGCTGCTGAAGCAGCTGTGATTGCTGCTGTTGCTGCTGAGGGTTAGAGATTTGGGAGAGGGGAGGGAGGGGAGGGGAAGAAATATGAGGGAGATGGTCAATTGAGGGAGATTGGGAAAGATTAGAAGGTGATTGAATTTGTGGGTTTGAAGAAGGATTTTGAGCAACGGTGGTTGGGTCCATCGGGTTTGAGGAGGACTGAAGGGGTTTAGGGGATGATGACGATGCACTATCTGCCATTATTGCTTTTGACGTGGTCTCTTCCCTCCAATTGTGAATGAGGAGGAGGAGACAGACGTGGTGGTCGCAGGCAGGTCAACCCAATTCCTCCCCAGGCATGGCGAAATTGGGCACCAAGACAGAGAAAAACGGAAGAGCTTGGAAGGAGCGAAACGAAGGGGGCGAAGAGGGAGAGACAAAGCGCTCAGAAGTCAGAACCTAAGAGGAGGTCGAATCTGGATCGTACACGTCAGCAGAAAGTTACCCTGTATCGGCTTCCGTCGGATTGAGAAACACAGTTTCAGAGAAGGATTTCTTCCGCTTTCTCCTTTCAGCCGCATACAGGAGGAGGAGTTGTGTGTGTGTGGGTGTGTGTGTATATATATCTTGGTGGCCTGAGGAGGAGTTGGACTTTAAATATGTAGAATTTTAGCAATAAATAAAATTGTCTTCCGATTGAAAAAAAAAAAAAAAGAATATATAAGACAACACTAAAAAGGAAAATATCAGGCGAACTGTTGCATGAAATTTAAAGTTATATTGTTTATAAAAATTATATTTTATATTGATATATATATATATATATATATATTAATGATCTTACATATTGTTTAGCTAAAGGGAGGAGGCTCCCCTTGTCCCATTAAAACAAGGGGTGGCTCTTTTCCCTTTCAAAACCTTCCTCCTAAAAATTTTAGGTTGTATTTAATTTGAGGGGAGGAAAAAAAAAAGAAGAAGAGGGATAGATTCTCTCAATTTGAAAAGATAAAATTTTCTCTCCCTCCAACCAAACAGCCCCTAAATTGAGCGGCTTCCTTCCCCTCTTCTCACCTCTTTACTTTTCCTCTTCCATCTATTAAAATCCCTCTCATCCCTTTCTCTCCAACCAAGTATAAAAAATTTAATTAGTTTTAAAATTAAAAAAAATTATTATATTATATTTGCATGAATGAGCAAATGAGTAAAATTGATCATTAAATTTAGGACTACATAAAGAACTAGATAGAGCTGAACTTCAGCCTAATTTAAAGTCTAGTCTCTTTCATGAAAAGGATTAGATTTGGTAATTCATATTTTGATCTAATCTAGTCATAACTTAAAAATTAACAAGATCGAACTTGGTTCATAAGATTGGAATATTGTTCCTATTAATTCAATACTCACTTAGCTTTTTTTTCTCTCTTTTTTTATGAGAGGCAATAATCTGTTTTTATCTAATAAACTTAATTAAGATAATAAAAATATTTATAATCATAATAAATTCATAATAATTTTTAAAAATAAGAAAAAATATTTTAGTTAAAGTTCAAGTAGTCCAAATTATTAAATTATTAATTTGAGCATGCAACTGTGTGAGGAACCAAACTTATTAAGTTATTATTACTCTTAACTTATTATTATAAATAATTGGTAAATTAATTATAATCATATTAAATAAATTAATGGGATCAGACTGAACCAAGTGGTCCAAATATTCAATCTCTTATCCAGTCCAACTTCAAAAATAGCTTGGTCTTTTTAGTCCTGAAGGACCAATTTTTAATAGGACTAGACCTTCTCAAGTCAGATTAGGTCAAATAGGACTAAAAGACTTCTGCACAGCTCTACTTAAACTATAGGTCCAGAAACTTTTAAGACCCTAAACTCATCTTTTATGTAATTTTTTTAACTTTTAAAATACAATTTGAATCCTATCATTAACAAGAATCATCATTAATTAATCAGAAAATGATAAAAAGGATGTCAAAATTGCAAAAAAAAAAAAAGGACTCAAAAACTATAGTAAATGACCCAAAAATTATCAACAAAGATCGAGAAATTTTTTATGTCTTTTTCTATTATTTTTTAGTCAACTAATGATTAAAATTACATTTGTTAATGGTAAAGATATGTTTTCGATGTTTTTGGCAACACAGATGTATTAGAAGAGTGTGTCCTCAAAAGGTGCATTGTTCCTAACTTATAAAATCAAATGGTGAATTACTAGAATCCTTTATCATAACTTCCTTGAGTACAAGCAATTAAAAGTGAAGGGGATAAAGAAACAATGATGGAGAAATGTAAACATTCCATTTTATTTGGGCTTCTAGAGATAATTTTTTTAAAAAATAATAATATAAATAAATAAAATTAAAAAGGGGAAATAAATTTTAATAAAATATAAAATAATAATTTCCTTTTTTTGGTTGACTTCCAAATCCCTATGATGTAATGACTTAGGAAATTAAATAAAATATAATTTATGTATAGATATTTTAAATAAATTTTATAAATTTTTGAAGTAAATTTGACAAGGTGGATCAGCAGCTTAATGGTAATTACTTATTAGAGTGTAGCTAGTGGTTCGGGTTTTGAATCCTCTCTTGATCTTAGTAGAACCTTTTCTTTTTTATTTTAACCATATAAAAGTACTGTTATGCCCCTTGTCTACAAAAATAAAGGGAATCAAAAACCATAAGGTACGCATCATCTCCATTATCTTCCCTGTCTTTTCTTCGATTTCTTCAAAACCTGGAAAGGGAGAGCTCCGATCAAACCTCTGCTCCTCGATCTTCCTTCTCTATTTCAACCGTTGCTAGCATAGGTGTGCGTGGGACTTTCGGTCACTGGTGCTGGAGCTTCAGAGCACGATTTCTCCTTTCCCCTGCTTCATGCTACAAATCACCCTCTTGCTCGTGGCTCAGCCATTTGTCCGCCACTGTGGTGGTTCTTTGAGTGCTTTGGGAAGCTAAGTTGCTGGAACTGGAGGTCTATCTGGCAAGGTCAGAATTTTTCTCCTTTATCTGCCTCACGTGGGTGCATTAGATCTTTCTTCTTTCTCCTTTGTTTGCGTTGCCCAGTTCTTCTTCCTCTACAATATTCACATTGCTATTGCTATCTTAGTTCTGTGCTGCTGTTGATATAAGTAGTGATATGTTCTATTTCTTCCCCTCTTCATTATTTTTTTGTGTGTGTGTTTACATGGCTGATGTGATAAATTTTCCTTTATTCTTGTTCTTCTGTATGTGTTTAGGTAAGGAGAGGATTTGAATCAAAATAAAGATAGTTACGTTGGGTTGAGTTTTTCTTGAATTTAAGTTAATTGTTATTGTAGAATTTGATTGGCAAAATATGATAAAACCAAAAGTTATATTAGATATTGTTGGGATTTAAATAGAAAACTTTAAAATTAAAATATGTCAAGAATAGGGGTTAAGGAACTTCTACGTATGTTTATGGTTGATGGTTATTTAATTTGTACATTGAGAATTACGATAGTTAACTTATAAGTTATAATTGAGAATTTAGGTTGCACACTAAATGTTTAATGAAATGACAGACAAATTTTTGAACTATTTTAACAATCAAGAGTGTTGAAGACATCATTGTTTACAGTATAAAAAAAGTAAGTTGTTTTCTATGGTGAAATTTGGAAAAAAAACCAGGAAGCTGACTTATTGGTGTATAAGTTAGTATTTGAACATACTAGGTGAAATTATGAAATTTGTTGGATTAGTTTTGGGTCTTAAAGCATATGGGAACTAGAAAGAAATTTGTTATACTTGATTACATTTATGATATTGAATTAAGGGTATTATAACATCAGTTGTGAGTGTGTAGGATAAGAAGTTGTATTGTTTTGAATAAAGTGTACTTTATGATGAATTATTGAAGAGCCTTAATAATAAATCACTCATTGATTACTAAGGGAAGGAGGTATGATTGAGATAAATATATCATTGTAGGTGGGAGAAAGGAATAAATAGAAAATAATTTTTAAATATGGTTGGTGGGTTAAGGACACATAAGGATTGAGAGGACTTTAATATGTTTTAGATTATATATTGAGTCCATGAATGTCAGCTAGAGATATATGAATTAGAGCTTTTAATAAATAAAGTTGCTTGTTCTTCTAGTTTAGATAATAGAGTAGCTAAAGGGAAATGGAGAGGTGTCTAGGAAGAACATATTATTATTTTAGAAGTTTATCAGGTAAGTGGATAGCGTTCTAACTAATTTATCAATTAATTTTTTTAAAATTTTATATTTTTATAGAGATTATTTTAATAATAATTATGTTCTTTAGTGGATACTTTGTTAATTAAATTTCTTTATTTTAAGTTATAAGACAATGGTGAAGAATATTTACATCATGGCATATGAATGTTTTACCATTATGAGATATACGTTCAAGATTGATAAAAATCATTTTCATCAGCGTGGGCAATTTTTGATTATTCAATAAATGCAAGCATGAACATTGGATATGAAATTTTATTCTGGCAAGTTTAATTTCAAGAATTAAGATTATATTTTAATAATGATGATTTTCTCGCATATTTGAAAATAAATTTAGAGGAATTTTATACAGAACAGTGGTTGCTAGCGGCAATCCCGTTAGCCCTTAGCGCGCATGGTCAATGACTAGCTAATTTAATCTTCATGAGCTCTATTCTCACGCTTGTTATTTATGGGTTTAATACCTATGTTTGTTTTCGTGGTTTCGAGCAGCATTTGATTAGTATTATCCTTGTGGACTTTGTGTCCACATTTGTTTTCATGGCTCGAGCTATGTTTGATTACTTATCCTTATAGACTATGTGTCCACGTTTATTTTCATAGTATGAGCTGCGTTTGGTTATTTACCCTCATGAACTGTGTGTCTATGTTTGTGAATTGTTTTAATAAATCCCCAGAAAATATGAAGTTTTGATTAATTGATGATTCTATACTCTAATGGTTTTTAATTAGTGAATGTTATTATTTTTATTTATTTAATAATTTAATCTATTTAACTCATCAAGATTAAATGTTAGAGTTGTTTCACTATTAAAGATTTAAAAGATTTAAAGGCTTATAATATTGAGGTTGTATAGAAATTTTTATTCCAAATTTATTAATTTTATTGTATCCAATTGTTTTCTCTTTAATTTTTATAATTGTTGTAAACTATTCATTTTAATTTTGCAAATGTTATGGTTAGGACGTTATTTATTGAAAAGTATTTGGTTTGGTCTTAGATAGTGTTATTGACATTGTACGTCCTGCTGAACCTTGAGAGATTTTTTTTTTCATTGATTTAGGTGGAGATTCATGTTGTGAATATTCCCTTTTAATGTAGTTATGAAATTCATATATTATGTTTTAAAAAGAAATATACTTAGATGCTCTACATTGACTATAAGCAAGGTCCTGATTCCCTTTGTTATGTTGTTCATCTGTTGTTGAGGAGTAGACCTCCATATTGCTAGATGTATACTATAAAATTTATGTCTTAGAGATTTCAGGAAATCTTACTTATAGGGAACTGTTGTTTAAAATTTATACGAAAGTTTGATTTAGGTGAAAAGTAAAATTAGATACATATAATCATGCTGATAGTGTGTTAGACATATTAATTCAAAACTTTCCTTAATTGAGGCTTTAGGAATGTGCATTTGTGCCCATATGTCATGTTGGTCACTCCTATATTTTGGGGCATGACATATGATTAGGCTTTAATCTAAGTTTTCAATTGGAGAAGGTCAAATGAAAATTCAAAGCTCAACATTTATGCCTTGATTTAAAATGATAAAAGTTAAATATAATTAATTAAGGTTTTGATTTGATAGGATTCAATTATTAATGGTAGCAATCCTAATTTTATCTATAAAAAGGAAGAGGAAGGTGGTAGATCGGATAGGGGGAAAAATAGAGAAAGAAAAATGGAGAGAGGAGACATGAAGATTGAAAGAGGTTGCGGCAAGAAAATGTGAGAGGAGGAGAGTCAAAGTAAAAAGAGTTTGAGAAGATAAAGAAGAGATTTTACTTGATAAAGGTAGAGAACTATTTTCTCTCATCTCTTTGCATGATAATATAAAGTTAGAAAAGAGAAAGAGTGCCCAATGGAGGATGAAGCTTTATTATCTTTCTTCTTCTTAATCTGGACATATTCTTATTGTCGCACTCGAAAATGTGACATAGAAGGCGCACGAGAGTGGAGGTTTCAACCTTCGGGGCAAAAACTGACATAATGAGAGTCACCTCCAAAATTTTAAGGAAAAGTCTTGTAAAACCATTTAAAGGAGAATAAAGATGGTTTGCAAAATTAGAAAATAAGTTAGGGAGTCGATTGAATATGAAAAAGGTGTTAGGCACCTCACAACACCTGTTTGTGAGAATGGTTACTTGAAATTTATTGTGCTAAATTAATATAGTTTTACAATTATTTTAATTATCTCTTTCTTATTCACATGTTTAGTATAAAAAATGATAATAATTATGTGAAAAATATTTATTTATTTATAAGGGAGGACTTGACTCAAAATCAGACTCTGAGGCCTATGTACCTTACGATGGAAATCAAAGTCTACATAATTTAAGATTATAAGTTCGTTGGTAAAAATATTTTTTGAAGAGAAATTAATTAGAAATAATTCATCATTTTGCAAATAAAACAATTTTCTGAAATTTTGATATGTGTGTTTTAAATTGTAAAAAAGTAATTTAATTTTAATTATTTTCTCCATTTTTTGAATTTTGAGATAAGAAAAAGGAAAAGAGTTTAAAAATTATTTTTTTTATTTTTTATGATTGAAAATTTAACCGCTATATCTGCAGAGCTTTATTGGCTCATATAATAATGTAATTATTTTAAATATTTGCAGAGATTTTAAAATCTCATATGATAAAAGAGTTTAGTAACTAAGTTTATTTATTTATGTTTTTAAGTGTTAGTAATAATTTTCTTAAGTGTGTGTGTATATATATATATGTTTTTAAAGAATCTTAATCGTCATACCTGCAAAGTTTTATTGACTTATATGATAATATAATTATTTTAAATATTTATAGAAATTCAAAATCCTCACACAATAAAAGATTAAATAATATGTATTTAAATATATTTTAATGTATAATTATACAACATATATTTTTAAATGTAGAAATATTAATTGTTATACTTACGAAGCTTTATTAACCTACATGGTAAGGTGATTATTCTAGAGGTCTATAAGGATTTAAAAATCTCAAATGACCAAAAGATTTAATGATTATTATTAAAAAAATTTATTATTTGTTTACAAAAATTATTTATTTATTTATTATATAAATTAAGAATCGTGATATTTGTGAGGATTCATTTTTTCACACGATAATGCACTTAATTTAATTTTTTACAAAAATTTTTAAAATCTCACATAAGAATTAAATATTTTATTAATTTAAATTATAAAGAAGAGAGTTAATTTTAATGGTGGGCTATTGAAACTCAATTTTAATATATACAGGTTAGAATTTTATACTTGCAAAATTTTATTGATTTACACGATATGAGATCATTCTAGATGCATGAAGAAATTTTTAAAATCTCACACGACGAGTAAATAATTAAAAAGAAATCCTCTCTTATTTATTTCATTTTCTTTTTTCTTTTTTAATTGGATTTCAATTGCAATAAAAATCAAACTCTCTCCCCTCAACCTTTTATAAGATAGGCCCATCATAATAATTGAAATCATACTCACAATCATAATAGAAAGTGTCATAAGATATATATGAGTGCAACAATATTATAGACAATTAAAGGATCCTTAGGTTGATACAAAGACAAAAACCATGCCCTTACATATGAATATGCTCTTTCATGCTAAGAGAATTTATTTTAAATCCAATTCAACACCTAGTCTAACAATCACAACAATTTCCTTCCCTGTTTAAGACAAAGTTATGGCAAGAATATATCCAAAATCAGTTCCAACAAATTATGACTGCAAACATAAAATGTTATTGTGAGTCCCTCTTTTTAAACAAATACCACATCAATTTCTTCACTGTCCTTGGCCAAAACATGATAAAATATGCCAACAATCAATTTGAACTAATTAGTACAACAGGCAATATCTTTATTTGAAATCTCTTTTCTTTTAAGAACAAACCCAGCAATTTCTTCACTGTTTTAGAGCCAAAAAATGTGACAGTATAATGCCCAAACCAGATCAAACATTTAGGCCAGCAAATCAGATTTTCATTTGGGGTTTCCACCTACATGCAATACATATTAAAGGTTTGCTGAAAAAGACTAACAACATCAACTTGACTTGAATTACATGGAGAACCACAACAATATTGATAACAGGCATTAACCAGGACTCGAATCAAGTACCATCAAACAATATCAGTAACTTTATTTAAGAGAAAACCAGGATGGGAATATGTGTTTAAATTAGATCAAGTCATAGAGGATAGCAAGCATAAATTTTATTCAACATCCCCTTTTAATAACAATCATCACACGTTTTTAACAATTTAGGTGACAGAATTAATCAAACATCAAGGACATTCAATATATATTAAAAATTTGATGAACGCGATTAATTACAGCAACTCTTAACTTTGAAGAACTCCACCAATGATCACACTTGTAACGGGAATAAGCCAAGACCAAACCCAATCAAACGATTTCATCATTTTTTTTGGCCAAAATAGTGACTAGGAAAATCTAGAAATTCCTCTTATCAATCAACAACAGTTTTCGCATAGGCATTTTGTCATACACCTTATAGGTGTGCTAACAGATCTATACAAAAACACGCTTCTCTTGAATCCTTAATACCCAAATATCCATACAGATCAATCCACACCCTCAGCTAAGAAAAATTTTATGATATTGCTAATGTAGACATCGCTCTCATGGGCGAAGAGAGTAAAATTTTCAGCTAAACCATATGTCTATGGTTCAGTTTTGTGCGTCCTAAACTAATCCAAAGTCTAGAAGTAGAAGGAAGCTGTCTAGAAATCAAAATTTATATTAAATCAAAGCCCAAAATTAGCTTCAAACTTGTCAAAAGAGATAAGTGTCTTCCGGTCTACCTCTTCAGCTGCGTCGTGCTTTGCTTCTGTGAATGCCAAATTGCTCCTAGCTAGCTCTTAATCTCTAATCGCTTCTCCCTCTGAATGCCTCAATCTCTCAATATGCTCTACACTCATTCTTTGTTCTCTCTTTAGGCCTCGTTTGGTATGATGGAATAGCTTTTGATGGAATTGGAATTGGAATTGGAATAGAATTGAATTATAAAAGTATGTTTGGTATGTCAGAAAAATTAGATGGAATCCTTGCATTACTTTTGTTTGGTATGCAAGACATGGAAATGGAATTATACTTAAAAGACAAAAATACCCTTATATAAAAATTAAAATAAAACATAATAAAAACTTAATTGTGTATCAATTTTCTTATGTATTTTATATATTAATGAAATATTATATAAATTATAGATTATATCTGTAACTATTATTCACTAGCTTGGGCCAAACAAAAAGTTTTATCATTTGAGGGAACATTTTTTTGAAAAAAAAATTGGCAATGGTTCCCATCCCTTCTACTTTAAAATAAATACACTAACATGTAGATTTAGAAGAAAAATGTCAAACAAATCAATTATGCTTCTTATACCAAAAAAATATTATAAATATATAAATTATATACAAATATTATATATAATACTATCTTATATATATATATATATATATATAACATTTTATATATAATGAGCAAAAATATCATTCACCCTTTTATACTCCCTTTTTCTTTTTTTTGCTAGCATATGAGGGTTTTATTTTTTTTTTTTGAGGGCAAATTTGTCTTTCTAAAATTTGTATGAGGGCAAAAGTGTCTTAAATATTACAATTCTATAGAATTGCTCCCAATTTCATAGATTTACATAAGAAATTCAAATTAGCTTTTTTTCATAAAATTAGGATTCTCAAGAATTGTAATTCATATCTACCAAACATCACTTTATTCAGATTCCTATCCCAATTCCATTTCCATCTTCACAATTCAAACCTACCAAACATGGCCTTAGATCTGTTTCCCTCTCTAGAAATCTCCCTCAATCTCTCTCTCGACTTTGCCTTTCCCGTCGAACTCTGCTCTTTGTTTCAAAATTTTTCATCCTTTCAGACTCTTAGTCCTCTCTCCTACACTCGGTCCCTATCCTTTCTCCCTATTTTCGTCCTCCAAGTAGAAGCCAAATACCTGGTCTTCGTCCTCCATATCTTTGCGTGAGACTTGGTTTATCACTGAAGCTAGGGATTGCCGTGCATGTCTCCTCCTCTCTCGTTCATGCCAGACTTTTGCCAAGGGAAGCTTTTTTCTGCCTTGCTTTTCATCTTCGTCTCTCACTTTTTCTGTGTGTTTTCGGCTAGCGTTTGTGCGTGCTCTGCTCTGCGCCGAAGGAACACCCTTTAGGGCTACTCTTTCTGTCTCTCTCTTTTCCTCTGCTGGTCGAAAGTCTGCTCTCTCGTGCGTCTGTTCTCTCTCTCATTTTTGCTCTGCATTTTTGTGTGCGCCATCTGCTTGTGTGAAGCTTTCTTTCTGCGTGTGGCTGGCTGTTCTGCACTGAAGAAGAATCCTTTAGGGTTGTGGTGAAGTGCTATGCGTTTCACCCAGCCCAATATATTTATTATATATTTTTTTTAATTTTTTTGTTAATTGATTTTAAAAATTAGATTAAGGGATTTAAAAATTTGATTTTGAATTAAACTGAAATATTTAAAAAAAAAAAAGAAAAACAACAAGATTTAAAGAAAGAAATTTAAAAAAATTAAACTCTCAAAAAATTTATTCTTATGAACTTTAAATTGTTGAGATAATTTGGGAGAGATTCTTTAAAGATTTAAGCAATTTTTTTTAAAAATTTTGTTAAATTATTATTTTTTAAAATATAATTCTAAAAAGGATTAAATTTTATTTTTTTATGAACAAAAAAAATCTTAACCAATAAAAAATTATTTAGGTTAAAATAAAATTTAAAAATATTAATTCAATTTTTTATATTTTATCTATATTATTAAAAGCTCATTTTTTCTTTCATTGAATTTATTATTATTTTAATTAAAAATGTTCAGATGAAATACAGTGTTCACACTTTTGAATCACAATCTCTAGTATTTTGGGAATTCATAGAAATGCCATCCACACATATGATTTTGCTTCATTTTATTTTTATTTTTCATAATTTATTACTTGTCATTGAGACACCTAAAAAAGCCAAACCTCTTATAATTATGGTTCCCATGCGAACCTCAACATTAACGGCTAAAAGGAATCAAACATGAACAGAATGTGGTCATTCATTTTATTTTATTTACTTTTGGTGTATTTTGTTTTTTTATTTTCGCCATTTTATTTTCTTCTACTTTGTTTTCAATGTAATCATTTATTTCATTCCCTAACAACATGATATCCTCTTTGCACATATGTATATGGCAAAGCCTTTTTTTCCTCTTCCTTTTCTTTTCTTCGGTATCCACTTTATACACATGTATTCAAAGGAAAAAGAATATAGAAGCACACATGCAGTTTGCTTGTTTTTAAACACACATGCACATATATGCTCAAGCACATGTATTAGCTAGTTATTTCTTTTGCTTGTGAGATGAAGATGATTGAAATAATCATCTAAGTTGCAACAAGTGATAAAGCTTTAAAGGTTTGATTCTTTACTTTTCTTTTTGTAAACCACTTATATTATTGTGCTCTTGTGTAGCACAAGCTATACCACTATAATTTGAGACTCTCTGTATATTTTCTAGTCATACAATGTGAGACTTTTAGAGTGTCTATAGGTAACTAGTCAATTGGCATGCCGTATGTAGCAATAAGCTCACACAAGCAAACTAATCGTTATGCTAAATTGTTTTGTTGAGAAATCCATTTTTTTAAAAAGGCTTTCTTTGTTATGAATAAACAAATTGAAAAATAATTTATATGTCGTGTGAGATTTTAAAATTTTTATAAGTATAAAATAAATTAATTTTTGTGTGAAGTTTTTAGAATCTCTATAGGAATTTTAGTCTATTTTTTGTCATAATCCTTTTTCAAATAGGGGAAGAAGTCTCTTGTAAATTAAATGATACAAACCCAATAAAAATGACTTTAAAAAGTTAAAAAATCATTTTTAAAAAAAAATACTAACAAACTGACATGCATTTTTATTCTCGAATTATATGGATTTTAATCCTTATAAAGGGTACATAGGCCCTAGATCATTTTAGGACAAGTCCAACTTGTAAATTTTAATTCTTTTCTTCATTTCATTTCTTTTTTTTGTTTTTTATTTTATTTAGGGTATTTAAATTTTATTTAAGGTCATATTAATTTTGTTTAGTCAACTTAGGGTAACTATTATTACAAACTAGTGATGTAAGGTGACTAACACCTTCTCCATGCATAATCAACCCCTAAACTCTATTCTAGGTATTGTAGACCATTTTGTTTTTTAAAAGTTTTCAAAATTAATCTTTTAAAATTTTGGTGACAGACTCCTATATTTATTGATTTCCTACTTAGGGAGATCACGATTTGAGTGCGACAAGAAACATGCTAGACTTGTATGATGAAAGCAAATATGATATTGATAATTGTAAAGAAGAAATTATTAGAAATAAGAGATGGAAAACTAAAAGAAAAAGTGATGACACATTGTTACAACTATTTTGCTAGGAACTGACGCTCCACTAGATATTGGATGAAGAACTCATTGCTTGCTATTAGATGTGTGGCACACTAAGAGCGATATGTAAACTCTATTGAAGGTAAAAGGAGTCATGCTTGGCAAAATAAAGGATGATGTAGGATTAAGGTTTTTGCATTGGGCTTGTATATTTTGAGCTGTTCAAAAAGATTATCTAAAAAGATATATGTAGAGTTGTATGTAAAGTTAAGAGTTTGAAGCCTTGAAGAGTTGAAGAGACATTTGTGTGTGTGTGGCTTCCTCCTTTTATAAGCACTAAGGGATAGTTTCTTCATGGTTCATGCTCTACTTTTTTAGGGCTACCAACTAAATTTTTTTTCCCAAAACTTCCTCCATTTCTGCTTTATCGAAATGGTGTGTTGCTTAGCTAAGTCTTCCCACAACTTCCTCCCTTTTAGAAAACTTGGGTGAACTTGTGCTAAAATTATCATTTTTAACCCAAATAGTTAGGCTTAAGGCAACAATTAGATTTTATCCCAAACAAGTTCAAATTACATCATTGTCAAAAGCTGGAGAAGATATTGCATAAAAGCTAAATTTAAGGTCTCAACTACTTTTGAACTTATAATTTAAAGGTCAATTTGCTCATTTACAATATATATTATATCAACAGGGGTTTAGTTTAGTGGAAAGAGCTAGTCTTTTGCTATGTAATAATTCTAAGTGTGAAACTCCTATGGGAAACGGTGCGTACCTTTTAATGCTTGATCATGATTCAAATATAAAATAAAAAACTTCTGGACTTTAATCTAGAAAAAAAATCCTTCCAAAGAAACCTTGCTTCCTAAATAAATTGCATTCTGTCAAGTTTTTTATATCAAGTGAGGCAGTTTGTTATATGGTTAAAGGATAATTTCACCTTTAGACTATAGGTCCATAAGTGTCTAGGATCATGCATCATCTTTGATGTAATGTTTTTCTTTAATTTTTAAAATCAATGCAATGTTGCTCCTATCTTATTGTTAATAAAAAAATTAACTTTCAATGTTAACTAAATAGAAAATTACATGAACGGATCTCAAAAATTATAAAAAAAAGACTAGAAAATTATATACAATGATCCAAAGATCTATAGAAAAGAATCAACAAAATTCTTAGTCATTTTCTATAATTTTTGAAGTCATTTTTATAATTTTTTTGATCAATTAACGGTCAAAGTTAACATTTGTTACTAATAATGAGAATATTATATCATTTTTAAAAATTTTAAAAAAATATTGTACCAAAAACAAGCTTAGGATCTTAGACATTTTTGTACCTATAGTTTAAAGATAAATTTACCATTTAACCCTTTTGTTAAATTATGGAATTTAAGAAACATGTCATCATATTTTAAAAAATTGATATATCAATTAACTAATCAATCAAATTACTTTTGCAAAATACACACACACATAAAACTTTAAGTACTCATATTTTTTTGCAATTATTAATTTAGTTTTTAAATTTTGACTTGAAACAATTTAATTCCTATAATTTTTCATTTGAAACAATTTTGTACTTAGGCTTGGCTTTGAATGGAGAGAAAAGAGGGGGGAAAAATAAGGAGAGAAAATTAGAAGGAAAATTTTCAAAAATAATAAATTTCTTTGCTATTTAAAAGAATTTTCTCTCCTAATTTTCTTTTTTTTTTTTTATTTTTCCTCCCCATTCAAATACAGAAATTGAATAGTTACAAACTAAATTTTAAGAATTAAATCTATAAAAAAATTTCATAAAATAAAATTTATATTTCTTAATTAGAATATTTTATTCAAATAAACACTTTATAAATAATGGGTATATTGAACTTAGTTCTTCAAAACTCAAAAAATACAAAAGAAATGTAACATACCGATGTAAACCAAGTTGCCAAACTTGATGACTCTAGTTTGCGCATCAAGTAAGACATGTTTAAAATGTTGTTGGTTGTAGGGTTATGTAAACCAAGTCCAGAGTCATTTTTAACCCAACTTATATTTAGATAAAACAGTCGATTTTTGTTCAAAGTTGTGTGTGTGCGCGCGTGTGTTTGTTAGTTGCATGTCTTGCTATTCAGTATCATTGGACACATTTTCTCATGAATGTACAAAATATTAAAAAAAATGAAGCACTTTATTTCGTGACTAGCTAGACACACGCATTCAGACAGATAAATAGATAGATATGCTTTGATACTGCTATGCTTTGAGAATTCCTGCAGCTGGTTATCTTCTCACTAACAATGGTTATTTCAAAAGGAGGTGCCGGCCTTTTTTAACTGCGAAGTATTTCTGGTTTTGTTGGCTTCATCTTCTTTCATGGCTCAAGATTTCTTTTGGAAGAATGGCACATAAGGCCTCCCAGATAATTAAAAAAAAAAAAAATAGCACATAAGGCTCAATATATTCTAAATTTATTCTGAAAGCCTAGAAACTTTCGATGCAAATATGTTTTCAGGTGAAAATACTCATTTCCTTATCGTTTGAAAAAAAAAGACATTGTACACAGGACATTGTATTATAATATATAGACCTTTTCCTGGTATATACAAATTTTATGTCGATCATACACTTGGAAAATTTGTCCATTATTGTTCGACTAAATCACAAAGACAATGTATAGTGAACAAATATTGTGTTGTTAATATATAAATCTTGTCATATTATATACAGACATTCTGTTGTTTATACACATGGAAAACTTATATATTATTCAACTAAATCACACAAATTATATATAATGAATGCACATTGTGTTGTTAATATATGAACATCATCATGTTATATGCAGATATTTTGTTATATATATACTTGAGAAACTTGTGCATTTTAAACGAGGGATAAATGAGTTTTTTCACGAAAAAACATATTTGCATCTAAAGCTTTTGGGCCTCTAAAATAGATTTAGAATATATTAAGATTTAGGTGCAAATTTCTTTGATTTGAGGGTCTTAGGTGCCATTTTCCCATTTTTTTTGTGTTTGGCCAGGCATTATTTCACATAACTATGAAGATGGTGGTTTTTTATTATAATGAAATGGATAGTGTCATGATATTCAGTTGGAATCTAGGCTGCTTATCTATTCTATCATCCAAGTTTGGCTTTAAGCTTCCTCTTGACGAGACTTTTTCGACTACAAGAACACAATTGGGTTTAATTCAACTGACGAACACTGCATTTCATTGGTTTTATAGCCTTTTTTTTTCCTTGGAGAACTCCTTGGCCTTATTTGGTACGTATACCTTAATTATAGGGATTGAAATTAGTAATGGGAATGATAGTAAAAATGAGACTTTAAAATCATGTTTGATATGAGAAAATACTTATTTTTATTTTATTTTACAATTAAGTATAAATTATGAAAAGACTATAACACCCCTTAAACTTTTTTTTTTATAAAAAAGTAATAACCTTCACCTTCACCCTCTCTCGATGAGCAACCATGCTCCACTCTCCACCCACTTTGCTATGAGATCCAGAGGCTAATGGCCATGAGATAGGAAAAGGTGAAGGAGAAGGCTGTGAGATCAGAGAGGACAGAGAACGCATCGAAGACAAAGGTAGAGATGAGGGTGCGAGATGAGACGTGTGCGACAGACCTAAGCAAATTGAAGAAGATGATAGATCAAACAACATCTGGACACTCGAACTAGTAAAGGAAGGATATGAAATGCATGAGAGGTAAGGCTTAGGGTATTTTGATCCTTACAAAAATCAATCTCAAGATTGATTTTGCAATATTAAGGGATGGTGGTACTGAATAATTCCACCTATGTAGGATTGGAATTGAAATTAAAATTTTTATTTTCACATACCAAACACAAAAGCTTGAAATTAGTCAGTCCCAATCCCAATTCTAATCCCACTCCCTCATCCCTCCATACCAAACATGATGCTTATTCTCCTGTCCGTACCTTAATAGGTACCGTTATGCATGGAGCCCGGTTGAAGAAGATCATAGACGTGTAACCTTTTGGTAAATGATAACATGAGGTTGATAAATAACCAAGCCAGCTCGCATGACAGATGCAAATCCCTTCATAACTACGAAATGTAAAATACTAACCTGTAAAGAAACAAGTACATATATATAAAGGGAAAAAAATAAATACACAGAAATACTGTACACTATTTGGCCCTAAGGTGAAGTATTACACATTGGCTTTGATTGTTCCCCAGCAGAATTCGCCTACAAGAAGGAACTGCTCATGGGATTGGCAAAGAAGTGGCTGCGGCAAATCAACTTTTCTTTATTGGATTTGCTTCCAAACAGATTCTGAAGCAAGAAGGGGGTCCCATCAGGTCTATTTTGTTGCATCTTCCTTACGATAATGTGTTTATCCAGAACCATCATTTCCAGAAGAGTTCTACAGCTCTGTGAGACATCATAAGCAAAAATCAAATCCAATTCCTAGATCAAAATTGCTGTTTCTGAATAAAGAATGAAAAACTTTTGGTTAACAATATCAAAACAAAGTTCCAAAAAAATTTAACTTGGAGGTAGACCTGTGGATTCAGCACTTGCATCTGATGTATAATTGCATCCTACAACAGATTTAAAAAAAAAAAAAAAAAGGCATCAGTTGGTTTGCAAGACTTCATCCTTTTTTTGGTTGATTCATATTAAACGTCATTTTCAGGGTGCACCCAAATTAAGCTACACATGTCATTATGCAACCACTATCATTCGCAGCTTCATTATGAATTATCAAGAAACTCATTCAAAAACATTGAGAAAGAGAATTGACTATTACCTCCAATATCCCTGGGTTTTGCATCACAATTCCAAGAACACGACGTCTAAGTCCCTTGAAGACAACTTGGTTTACTGTCCCATCTCCATTTATCCATGGCAATATTGGCACACGCGATTCACCAGAAGAAAATTCCGCTGTTTCTCTCTCATAACCGACTCTGGACAAAACAGTTTGGTCTTGCATAAAGCCTTTATCCTTATTGCAAGTTTGATTTTCAGAATCCACATCCCCGCAAGGAAGATTAAGAATCGTCACTTTGTGCACTTGATCAGTGCTGTTGTTTCTCTTCCTCAGCAAACTAGCATGGTTACCATCTTGTTTCTCTGGTTCATAAAGCTTGCGTGTAGAATCAATTTTCTCAATGGTCTTTGTTGAGGAAGGTAGTTGAACAGCTTGATGAAAACCAGACACACGGGTCAGAGAGTACTTGCAGCGGTATAAAGCATCAACAACTCGAACAGAAGCATAAGCATTGACCTGCCCAAAAAAGAGAATATCAACAATTGCACATCTATGAAACTACTGACGTACACAAGGTTAACAGATTAGAACCTCCTTCAAAATGAAATTAAGCCTTATGCCAAATTTTATTCCAACACGGGTTACTTAAATTTTATTTCTTACATGGAACTACAAAAGAATACTAAATCAGACTGAAGTGAGCTCTTGGATTTGCCATTGCTCTTTCCGGATCTTTCATCTTACTTAACACCAGAGAGGAAGTGACCATTCCTTCTCAACAACTGCAAATTTATATAATCATAATAGGTGTTTAAGGATCGAAAGATATAAAAACTCTTGATAACTCAAGTTAGTGAATTTACAATTTAAAAATTGAATATCTATGCCAGGTGTTCTAGGATTTATGATTAAAATCATGAAAACAGAAATAGAGAAGTGCAGGACAATGTTGTAGTGATTAAAAAAAGAGAAGACCAACAGACACCAGGATTCAGGTCATGAATAAAAATTCCCAGAAAGACAGCTGGAAGACTAAAGTTAATGGCCAAAGATATACCACTAAGCGGGGTGAATGCAAATAAATCCATAAATACGCTTGTTAGTACATTTCTAAAAAAATGACAACTACTAGAGCAGTTCATAAAATTCATAGGTCCCCAGGCCACTAAAATATTCAATAGGGAAGGGAGAAGTAACCTTTAAGGCTTGTCCAAATGCTTCAAGAACATCAACAATAATTCCATCTACATGTACCCCTGAAAAGAAAAACAAGAAAATATTTCAAAGTAATTTAAATAGTTCTATTTTTTTTTTTGGTGGATTTTGAGACAATCATATGCTTGGTTAAATCCCAGACTACCTATACCTGGCAAATTTATAATTCGAGAAACTTCTTCCATGCTCAAACCTTGGTCACCAACCTTCTGGATGGCAGCATAAACATTCCTGAAGACCCCAGCAGAGATTGCAGGGGTCTGTTCTTGATCAGAAGGAACCATTAATCGCCTAGCGTAGCCTGACATAGCTTCCCAAGATGATTCATTATCATTTTCTCCTATGGATACAGTGTCACATGAGTTGACGATTTCCAGCATATGTTCAGGAGGAGGATAATTACAACTTTGTTCTTTGTTTAGTTGAAAAATCCCCTCAAAAGGTTGTTCAAAGTTAAGATTATCTTTATCCTTGAACAAGTCTATAGTATCTGCTCCTGAAATTGCTGCACAGTGTGCAGATATCACAATACCAGGGAAACCTTTTTCTCGACGTGAAATGACTTCACCTTCTACCCCAAATATGGATTTCTGTTTCTTAGCTTTATCACCATATGAAGACTCACAAACATCTGCCTTACGTTTTGTATTTCTCAAGTCCTCAGCCTCTCCAACACCATTATCTGGTAGGCACGGTGAAATAGAAAGTTCCCCTGATGAAACTAAAGCAAACAAATGAAAAATGTCTCCACACTGCAGATCTTCTGCAAGATTTACCCCTACATTGGTGAGGTCTTTAGCTCTTTCATGCAGCCATGTAGAAAATTTAACAGCTCTCTTTCCAGTGTTAAACGGAAATGGTGACTTGGAAATGCCATGTAAAAAGTGTTGTGATAGCTCAAAAGGTTGAGTTCCATTTCCTCCAATCTGTCAAATAAAATTATACGTAGAGTTTAGAAAGCAAAGGCCAAAAGACAAAATATAAATGTGGCAACTAGGTAGTCAAGAAAATGTCTTCACATATAATGATGTCTTGCTCTATTTCAATGGAATTTGCCTGTGTTAAGTAATTGCCAAATAATAGTCTGATTAACTTGTAGTTCCCCTAAGAACTACTATAAACTCAATTTTCAGCCAGTTCCCCATGGAAGAACTGAGGCACCTCAGGATATCTTTCTTGAATCATGCTGTCACACAAGGTTTTTGAACAAAACTCAAATAGGCGAGAAGTGTAAGCACTGCAAGGTGAGAACCGGGACATAGTAAACTTGAGTCTCAAATCTAATGTCGGTTATCATAATTATTATCATTAATTTTATTTTTTAAGTTATTTCCAAACTTGGTTATTTCCTTATTTATCTCCTAATTAGGATTAGTAGGGATTTATTTTTCAAACTAGCTGATTAAGTGGGATATGATGGATTGTCTACCATCATTGCACCATATCTATATCTCACGACACCAATGGAATAAGAGAACAATAAACAGAATGCATCACTGTCTTGTTTTATTTCCAAATCGTTGCACCATAAACAGAATGCATCATATTATAACTGAGTGTGATCTGGCCTCTAAATTTCAAACCGCACCTTACCTCACCATTCTATCCCTCCAGCCACCAGAATAATGGATAATCAAACAAACTCAAAGCACCTATCCCTCTTACACTTCTCAGGTAGGTGTTATTATCTTGCTCAGAAACTAACACTTAACATTTATGAAACCTTGCTACTGTATTATTCAATGCTGTGAAATAAAACTCGCTTTTCCTCAAAGATTTCAACAGCCCTTGATACATTTCAAATGCATGGAAACATGGAATTTGAAAGCTGTAGCATTACAAATCATCATTAGCCTCCCTATTCCTTGACTCACAACATAAAACTACAAAATTTGCACTGGGCTATTTGCTCCTTCTACAGCGGAACACCAATCTCAAGTAATTTTTTACTGCACCCTTACTTCAACTAATATGTTCACCTTCACATGCATGTCTCAACCGTATTACTTTTTACGTCACACTGCTATATGTCTTGTCTTCCAACTCAACAATAGATATATAAAGCTACAGTTTACCTTCTATATGATAGAGCTTTATTAAAGAGCATTCTAAAGAACTGTTTCAAATGTAGATGAAATTTTACACAATGAAGTGCTGAAAAAGTAAATAACAGCCATAATCTATGGAGAAATGCATTTATATATTTACCATACCTCATAGTATATGATTTGCAAATATTAATTTTACACTCATGTTAAATTTAACAGTATGAAGTATCATCAATTCAACCCAAGCATATGAACATATCACAAAACAAATAAAACTATCTGAGGTTGAGAATCATTTACCATAACTTTCTTCTCCCTAAGGTAGTTAAAAGCAGCAAACAGATCATGCACGGAGTAACGCCGGAGAATATCAGCCAACAGGTTTGATGCCTGTGGGTTTGTTGAGGTGCTTAAGAAAACAAGCTTAAATAGCTCCACCGCATTTGAAACAGCCAATGATTCATGCACTTGTTGGTTAACATTAGCCCTAAAATTTAAAAACCTAATAAATTTTTTATCAAGACGACGGCGATGCGATCTCTGGGTAGGAAATGCAAGGTTCTTCTCATGAGAGTGGATAAGCTCACTAGGAATGACTGGTGGAGTTACTTCATTTTCCTGAAAATCCTGGCAGAAAAATGATTTCTATAGTCAAATATGCTCAATAATAGCCCAAGATTTAGAAAGTAAAAAAGCATTCAATAATATCTCCATTTAATGAAACGAAAGAGCAAAAAAGTAATAGGCCAAGCTCGATTTTAATAAAACACTTTCTATTATTGTCAGAAGTGTTAGAGAAGTACCTGTCCTTCAGCATGCGTATTTGCAACTGACCACCCTTCATTTTGAGATCTATCTTTCTTAGAGGAGGCTTCCAACTCAGCAATCTTCTTGCATCTAAGAACCTCATCCAAGGCTATCTTGACGCTTCTGTTCTCAAAGTCATCCCAAGCTTCTCCATTTAAACTAGTTGCTTGAGTTTCAACGTTTTGGCTAAAATTATTAACAACTTCCTTAGATGGACATCGTACAAGCTGTCTGCAATCATCATTCTTCAATGACATGTTCTGAGTCTCTTCCAGCTGTTTTGCATAGCGTTCAGCAAGCAAGTTACAAAGTCTCATCACAGCTTTCCTGAATCTTAAGTTACGATTCAAAGAAATCATTCTTTTCTGACAGGTTCTAGGAGGTGCTGGAAGATCGGGAAGTGTGGCCCAATTAGTGCGATGATATTTTGGACCAAGAGCAGCACGGTTTTTAACATATTGAATCACCAACAGCCTAAAATAAGATCAAGCGTGAGATAGTCAGACAAGGCCATATTTACAGCCACAAGGGCATAAAGTAAAAGAAGATAATTGCTACTGTCACTGAAAGAGCAGGACGCTCTTCTACACCATTAGGTTTTACAGGGATTTTATTACTACTGCCTTGAGCTTTCCTTTTATTTTCAGATTCGCAGATTTCTTATCCTCCAATTAGCTTTAAATTCTTCAATTTCTAAAAAATCTATTCATTTATTCGGAAAAATAATAAAAAATAGAGCAAACATTTAATAGAACAATCTAGTTGACATAAAAAATCTAATAAGTAAAATAAAAAATATCATACTCATGAACTTCATTATTGATTGACAAATTAAAAATATTTGCAACAGTCGGCTGTATTACTTGTTGGGTAGTTGGTATGAATATACGCATGATCCATCTTCAAATAGGCCATAATGTAACACCTATTTCAGAAGTATAATTTTTTCTTGGGTTTACTATTCATCAGCCTTTCCAAATAATTGCTTACCTATCAGTTTCATCCGACCATAAGAATCTCCTTTGCCGTCTTGGCTTCATTTTTGACAAGACACACTGGCTAACAAGGGAATGACAATTTTCAGTGTTCTCAGTTTCATGATGATCATCCTCCTGAAATTCTTGCATATGAGTTGCATGCTCCCCCAAATCAATACACATGGCTTCTTCTTCTTCTGTGCAAATCCCCCCGATATCAATTGCTGAATCTATTCTTGCATCCTTTGCCGGCCTCGGCTCTGGAGAACCTATTTTTCGGCGGCAAGATGACCTTCCTTTTTGACCTATTGAAAGATTCTCATTCCCTAAATCCTCATTTGCTTGATTTTTATACTGATTGAGACCATAGCGACGCTTGCTGGAGCACATACTGAGTACCTGCAAGTGACATTTAAAGAGAGAGAGGCAGAGAAATGTCAATGAAAATATGAAAGCAATAGTCACACACTGTTTCAAACATACTAAATGAGGGGGTGGAGAGGGAGGGGTTAGGGGAGAGTGATGTGACCGCGAGATATGGTCGGACTTATAAGACGAGATCAAGGGGGCAGTTGGGTGTAGAAAGGAAATACCCATTAGATCAGGATTAATATCCTGGGGGTCCAGAAAAGAAGGATTAAGCCATGATGTTTTGGTAGGGTGGCTTAGATTTAGTCTTGATATTGAAGTCACCTTTTTGCTTGCTTTATTTTGCTGTATTATTTTTGTTGGCACTCAAGGATGTTTGTGGAGAGTTAGACAGAAGTGAGGAGAGTACTGGTCTCTCGAACACCAGTGGGAGGCCTTTTCTTGTTGCTGTGTTCTTTCATTTGGTTTGTAATTTCAGTTGTAAGGAATAGGGTTTTGGCTTGAATCAGTGAGTTTCTCTTTTGTAACACTGATTCAATTCATATGCATTAATATCAAAACCTCAAAATTTCCCTCATTTATTTCTCTTTGCATTAAAAGCTTGGTTCTAATAGTTACTTTAGAGCAGAGCTCTATCAGAGAGAAAGAAGCACCATTGAAAGTATAATATACAAATTTTAATTAACCTTTTGAATAAAATATGATATTATATCGGGAGAACAAGAGTACAAAAAGGGAGCATAAGATATCCTCCCCAGGTTGCCCTTCTAGCATGTTTGATGAATCTTGGGTGTGCCCTGAAATCAGGATATGATGTGGGCATCACTAAATGCAAGCAAGCAATGAAAAGTTGGAAGTTCCTCCTCACTGGTTATTGTGGATAACTTAAGTGTCCATTGCTTGTCACAGCAAATACAAACGCGGATACCACTGACAGTAACCAGATATAAGAATAAAGAAGTTCTTGAATCTCAAAGAGTCACAAATCCTTGACAACTGACACTACCCTGAAATAGTGAGTCATGAAAGGCCATTTTTCCCCCAAAAAATGAGATCCTAAGGCTTGAATTGATCAATATTTGGCCACATGTTAAAGTCAATTTTCAGTCAGTACATTTGCCATCTGATGCAATTCCTTCAAAAAGGGGTCTTACATTTGATCATATCACAATAATTGGATGCAAAAGCATTTGGAACTCAACATTTTTCATTGATTCCATCAATTTGTATAAAGCATCAAATATATTGCAATATTCTTTTGAATGTGAGCAATAGCCATTACCACTTATTAACAGCTTCTAAATGACTGAGGTTGGAATTTTTTAAGGATTAGTTTATGTAACACAATTTATTGTAGGTTAGCAGAATTTCACATTGAGAAAGCTTTCAGCATTAATAAATGAAATTGAAGTCATCCCTAAGTTTCTATGTGATTAAGGAATAACCACTGTAGTGAATATTTAATTTTGCATATCAGGATCAAGAGTGTAATTAAGAATTATCCAGGCAAATTTGAGTGTATCAAGAGTGTAATTACTTGCCATCATCCTGGGCAGTGAAGCCTCCCTTTGGCCTTGTCTTCTCAAGCAAACACTTTGGACTTTGGAGATGTAGGGAGGAACAGAAATTCATTTTAGAAGTCTAGAGGAAAAACAATAGGGATAGAATTTTAAATGTTACATAGTTATCTGCTAAAGTGTAACAGAACAGTTTCCTGCATGATCCAATAATGGCAGGCAGAGGGAATTTGACTCAGTAAGCGAGACCCATCATATTCTCATAAGAGGGTTGGGAGTCATAATGAATGCACATGCATCAACTTGGAATCTACTGGTCATCACAATGACAATTCCTAAGGATTTACAATCACTTTTATGGTGACAGACACAAGGAAACAGGATGGAACATTCAAAAGGAATATCCAGCACCTCTGTGCCAAAAAAAAAAAATCAAATTAAAAAAAAAAAAGAATCAGAGTCCACTCATCTCAAATGATTTGTGGATTCAAGTTACCTTCCATGATTTAACCATTATGTTGTATGCTTACTGTCAAGAGAGGGATCTGTGGGGGAACAAAGGGCACTCTTCTCTTAAAAAGAACGCAGTATGTCTTAAACTAAATCTCTTCCTGATTAATTTCAGGTGCAACTCAGCAGAATAGCCCAAGCGTGTTTCCATGTATTGGGCCAAAAGCCCAAGGTTGCATTAGGTTACTCAGGTGGAGACCTAAATCTCAAAACAATAGTATGATCCCAAAGTCAAGCTGGGAAAGTCCACTTTAATTGGCATGCTATTTACCTAGTGGGTTAAGGCTTCTTCTTGTTGTTGTTTAGCGCCACAGAGAAGCACAATGACTGAATCACATATAGCTACTGATAGAAAATTTGCCCAGTGTTAAAAAGTAAATCATAAATCATGTCAGCAGCTTAAAACAAACTAACCTGTTCCAAGGTGAGATTTAGATCCTTAGCAATCTTCTCACAGTCCTTGTATGAAATTTTTCCACTTGAATCATTCTTCATTACACACTTTAAAAGCTCCGCACGTTGTTCAGATGTCATAAGTTGAGTAGAGGCCCATGAACGAAAGCGAAAAACCTAACAAATGGAAACAGAGGATTCACAGTCTATCAGCCTATCAGTTCCATCAAGGCAATAACTAAGTTCTTTATGTGTGGGCAATCAATTATTTTCAAAAAGGGGCAGAAGATAATTTTCAAAAAAAAAAAAAAACAATCATGAAATGCTAAGTTGTAAAAAAACAAAATACCTATTATCCGTTCACAAGAAAAAGTACTAGCTAATACCTAAAACCAGTACCTAAACTTTATCCATTTTTGAATTGGAGAAATATATATTAGGCCACCAAGATGAATAAAAGCAAAATAAAAAAAAATATAAATAAAAATTTCGACAGAAAGCAATGACAATTACTACCATACCCTCATTAATACGTAAACAAGCTTCAGATTTTAATTTATTGTCCAGGAATTAATTCATCATAATAAGTCTCAATTGTTCATTGGAGACTAGGAGATTACCTCAGGAACCACAGATCCAGGGAAAGCAAATGAGGCAGCTTTCTGATCCGCAGCGGCATAGCAATACTCCAATGTTTGCCAATATTCATCAACTGCATTTCTATTTGACAAAACAAAATCATGCCTGATTCTTGGTCGAAGATCAACAGAAATGAAACTGATAGATGATGCATCATTTGAAAGGGGCTCCTCGAATGTAAGGCTTAAGCTCCATCATGTGAGTAAAAGAAGCACATGGTGTCATGACTCCATCTCTAGATTGTAAATCAGTCGCAATCCGAATCAACTATAAAAATAGATCCTCTATCAGGCATAATTCAGCAAATTAACAATTTCAGTCTTAATCTCCATATTTAACCTTCTATCTCATTGCATTTTGCTTACAGTTCCCTCTTTTAATGTTTCTCTTTTGCAACACCCTTTTCAGACTTCTCATTTCATTAGAAGGGAAAGGGGGAACTCCCTTATGTAACAAAATTGACATGTTTTTCTGTGCATTGTATGAAGTCAAAAGAACGCACAACACTATTCAAGTCTCATGAATAGTGCAGTTTTTTGTTTATAAAAATAATAATCATCAAAATAAACAGAAAAAGATTACAGCTTTCGCTCCATTGCAGTAAACCTAAACTAAATTCAAACATTTCAATAGAAGTGCAACCAAGAGAGGATTAGAAAAGAAATCAAATCACTAAATTTATAAACACCTTAAATATAAGTTTCAAGATGCAGAGAGCAGGAATATGGAATGAGTCAGCATATTATGCTATTGATTGCTCCACTGCTAACAACACTCTTTGACCTTATCTCAATTTCTGAGGATAGCAGGTCAATGGAATATATTATTTTTAAAGAAAGTATTTAGCAATGGCTGAACCTCAAGTGACTTCTAATCAATACCTTTAACCGGCGTAAAATGTCAATAACTAATGATAGCCTTCCAGTTGCATGAGTGTCCATTAGACTCCTATACTCCTCTGCAGAAAGATCACAAAGACGTAGACTCATCTTACACTTCTCAATCATTTCTTCATATTTTTGTGTGGACCCAACCACTTGTAAGAATAGCTCGAGTGGAATCTCTTTAATTGCAGCTTCCAGAGAAAATAACTTGCAGCTGCCACGAGGATTATTTAGCTCATTGAACCATTCTTCAGGTGATGAAGCATCATCATGGCTTGATGACCTATTTAGATAATCCCATAGAAATCTGTGAAGCAACTTTGCCCTAACCATTTTTGCCAACACGAATCCATTAGCACGCATGGCTTCTGCTTTACCAGGTCGTTCATCAGGGAATATCGAACTTTGAGTTTTCTGAAGATCCTCCATTACAGGTATCGATTCGTCGTCCTTTCTCTGGGAAGTGCCTTGACTACGAATATACCCATCAAATGATCTCGCTCTATCTTGAATTTTCTCAAATAATTCAGGAGATAGATTTATGGATGGATGCACAACCACTACCCAATGCTTTTGCCCAGAATATTTAGTAATAACTGGAACGTATACCGTGATCAATTTGCAGAGCCCTTGTTCCTGAAGTTTCTTCAATATTCGATCAATAGTCTTCCGATCCATTTTGGCACACTTGTCCTTCTCAAGGCTATTAAGCCACCTGTGCATTTCAGGTCTCAAAATAAACTTTTCATCCTGCCAAAGAAAAAAAAACAATGCTTCTAAATAATCTGATGCAATAAACTCCTAAAAGCATTTATTACAGTAGAAAATCACAAGGACCTCTAATCTTTCAAGTATCCTTTTTGCCCTTTTAGTGCTGTTCACAGTGAAAGAAAAACTTTGATTTGGTCCAGAGAAAAATAATTTTGAAACGTCAGGAGGTGGAGCTCTTGTTGATGCCACATCCCCCTCAGCTGTAGCACAGACTAAATCACATGTGCTGTTAGAAACATCAGGAGGTGGAGTTCTTGTTGATGCCACATCCCCCTCAGCTGCAGCACTGACTAAATCACGTGCACTGTTAGAAACATCAGGAGGTGGGGTTCTTGTTGATGCTACATCCCACTCATCTGCAGCACAGACTAGATCATGTGTGGTGTTAAAAACTGTACATCTTGGACCCAACCCTTGCAAATTTAACGGAGTTGCAAAATCATTAGGCTCAATATTTCCAGTAGATCCACATGAAAGTTTGGTATTAGTTGCTGGATCTTCCAATTGCCCCGGGCCAGCTGGATCTCCATTGGATATTGGATCAACATTTTCAGAAATTATAATTGCAGAACTGTCAGGCACCTTCTGGACTACAGCTGTATCTTCATCAGGCTTGTGAACAAGCATAGCTTCTGGTTTGGGATTGAAATTCCTCGATGTCCAAACTCTAATTGTCTTTGATTTTTGACATTGTTCCTCCTGCACTTTCATTCCAAATCTATAGCACATATTTAGGAGTCGGCTGTGGTTTTTCTTTAGGTCAATTCCAAGCCTCTCACTGATCTGTTTACAAGAACTATCAAAAGAAATTAAAAGTGGAAGGCAGAACTTCGCACAAACAGGGATGCACATAGCTCCATTGAAAGAGAGAGAACATTTTAATTAAAGAAACAGTGAATCACAAGCAGTTGCTCAAATATGAAGTTTGCAAACTCACACAAGACAACTAGTAGGTGAGATCCAAAAAGAAAAGAAACAGTAGGTTTAAATACATGCTTTTCTTTAATTCTCTTTTGTTGTTACAGAAATTATTTGTAATCAGAAAGTACCTACCTAATGAACTAAAAAAGAAGTTTTATTAAACTGCTATAAGATTAGCAATGTTATATAGTAGTAAATATTGAAATTTAAAGGGACAACAAGAACATAAAATTAAGGTAACAAAGATGAGAATGTTGAGGTGGATGTGTGAGCATACAAGAAAAGATAAGATTAATAATAATCACATACAAGGAAGAGTTGGCGTGACATCTATTAAGGAGAAAATAGTAGAGTCTCATTTTAAGAAAACTTAAACATATACAAAGAACATCATTGGAGATGCTAGTGAGAAGGGTAGAATAGTCTTTAAGTCCTATGAATAGAGGTAGAAGAAAACCAAACAGAACATTCAACGAAGTTATTGGACAGGACCTTTTGGTTAATAATATATCCAAAGATTTGGCTATTAATAGAGCACAGTCACGTCATATAATCCATATAGCCAACCTCACCTAGTGGGGTAAAACTTGTTATTGTTGCTGCTACCAGCATGTTGCTATTTAACACGTGGACACACAATTGAAGGGGGAAGTATATATCAAGCTATTAGCAATATTCATTTTTTTCATTGCATTTTATCCCCATTTTAATTCATTAATGTCCATACTTCAGAGAATGTTGACTCTAATTTTCTTAGTTTTGAGAAAACAAAATGCCTTAGTAAGGGTTTGCACAATTTTTGTTCATGTGTTATCACCCCCCGCATCTTTTCATATATCCTAGCAATAAAGAGGAAAAAAGAATCAAATGCACACCTCTTTTAAACTGATGCCATCTGATCCTGAAGCATCAATCAAGTTAAAAATTTGATGCTCTATAGGCAGTTCCACAAACTGTTCCATGACTTGGCATTTCTTCCCGGAGTTCAAGTTTTTATCTTCGTTTTCAGATCCAGTAGTTTTTGAATCAAGCAGCCGCAAGCATGCCTCAACCTGTGAGCAAGTAACACCTACAGTCAGACCACCAAACCAGAGTAATACAAGCTACAGAAAAAAAAGACTTTAAGATACTGTAAGAAAAATATGAAAAATATCAAAGCACTAGACAGAACACTGCTTGACATTAGGAATACTAAAATAAGAGCCTTTAGAACTGAATAGGCCTTTGGTTACCCATACAACGAATATTCCATCTAAGTGAGTATTAGTAATTACTTCCATGTTATTTGGAAGGATATTGTTAAAATACATAATAGCATAATCACTAGATTATGTTTGGTAATTGGGAGTTGGAAATACATCTTATGTTTGGTACTTGGAAATTCAAAAGAGACAAAAAGAAATGTGGATAAATAATACATAATAACAGTGTCACACTCTCCCTGTTTCCCTTCCTGAGTGTGTTATGCAAGATGAGTCATTTCATTTATAATAATTGAGAGAACAGAATTGCAGCTGGAAGCTAGAATACAGGTAGAGAGTGAGAGAGAACCAAAATAATGAGGCAAAAATTGTCAGGCTCAAAACATTCAAAATCATTCCCTCAAACTCTGATTTATATTTAATCTAAGAGAGAGGGAATAATCCAAAAGATCCCCCAATATTACCATAAATAGCACCCGAAAATAATTTAATATCTTCTGGTTAATTTCCCGGACAGCTCACTGCTCACCCAATCTTCCGTTATCATGTACTCCCTCCGGTCCTATTTATAAGACACCTTCTAAAAGTAATTTTTAATCCAAAATATAGGACACCTTGCAATAATTAAACCACCTTTTTCAATTTTACCCCTTCTTGATTAACATAAAAGTATTTAATATAGTTGTATCATCATTTAAAGCCAAGGGTAAAAATGAAAATACATCTCACTTTTTTATGATATCAAGAAAAAAATTAACTTTTCTTAAGATGCATGAAATGATTGAAAGTGTCCTATAATAAGGACCAGAGAGAGTATATTCTTTGATCAGTCACCACTACACTGTTCCTTTCTCCTCCAATGAATAGAAATTCAGGAACATAAAACTAATGGGACATTTGATCATAATAATGCAACAGCTAACCTTGCCATTTACTTTGGCATCAAACTGCTCCACAATATTATCTGCTTTCAACCTGTGCAAAATCTTTTCACAAAAAACCAACACAATGCAATTAGTGGCGAAATTTATCTAAAAAATAAAAATAAGATAAAAAGCACCAATAAGGCATGCAGATTAAAATTTACAGATCCCTAAAAGTATAACAAAATCTAAAGTTGGAGAAGATATAACTAGAATATACTTCTCGCCAAGCCCTATGCTTTGAAGGAGTTCCACAATAACCAAGATCCCTCTTAATATCAGACACAACGAGAACCTGCAACAGAAAGATTATCCGCAAACAAAAACATCAAAATCTATGAATGATTCTTTAGATGACAGTTGTTATAACAAAAAAAAGTTTAGAGCAACCTTGCCATTGGCTTTCACTAGTTTGCCACAGATAGTTTTCATTTGAGGTGCATAGTCCTTTATGAGGACGTCCATCTCTCCACTAGAATTTCCATTAGTATCATCTTGGTTTTTCAATTTCTGCCCCGCTGTGGTGATTTCATACCTTTGATGAGAGCCAAGTTGTTTTGCATAGCGATGCAAGTATACTAAATTGGTAGATACACACGGCAAATTTTTCAACTCCCCATCAGCACAGGTTTCTTTCTTTCTTTCAAGAGCAGACTGCTTCACAATCAACCCTTGACACTCGAGACTCCTTAATACATAATGTAAGTTATTTCCTTCAATACGCAGCTGTTTACTAAGTTGACTTTGGGTGATTCCATGTGATCTGCAAGTTTTCATTTATACAGAAAAATATACAAATAAAAAATGGGGAGAAAGGTGGCTAAAGATTAAAAGCGACAAAGCACTTATGAGAACCAACGAGAATGAGTCAATGGAAATAAATTACAACTGACAAATCTCAACCAACAAAACTCTGAAATCTACCTCCAGGAATTTAATCCTCTTATGTCTTTCAGATGGAACTCAACTCCAAACGGCAACAAATTCAAATTAACAATAATCTGGCAGAGCGCGAGTCTAACCAGAGGACTAAAATTCAGGAAAACAAAAGGGTAAGAAAATGTACAAAACTCTCAGCTATTCAACAGGCTAACTCTCCCAATAAAATCGCATGTCCCTTGCCTCATCCTAACCTCAAAGCCACAATATATACTTCTCTCCCACTCTCATTCTCACGTCTCAAACTCGACTACCCATAAATCAGTCACATGCTTGGCCCATTAGTTATGAGCCCATCACTTTCCCTACCCCTTTCTGCTGCAATGACTTGAAGCTTCAACAAGAAAGACAAGGAAGGAAACAAGCATATAACAACACAACATTACTGCCAATCTGTATACATACCAAGGAAAAGCCAAAACACAATCCTAACCCATGATGAACCTAAGGCCTATGTAACACTATTGGGAATATATTTAGTTTTCTCAAGCCCTTTCCGCCAGTGAACTCCACATGAATGCAAGATTCCACCTTCTGATCAATGGTGAATTGCACACATATATCAAGTGCTAACTTGATCTTCTCCATTATAAAGGAATATCAACCCAGCAGTTTTTGTGGATTAGCACCATTTTAGGAGAAAAAATTATTCATTCATTACCATAAACATCATAATACCGAGGAAAGATCAATCATGCAAGTATTACTACTTCCCCTCCTTAATGACCCATTTTTTAAGCACAAAGAAAAACCAACTTGAGGAGCAATCAGCCATCTTTAACAAATGTATAAGCCTAGACACGCACACATACAACCCTAAAATAAAAAAAAAGAACATTGCTTAATATGAAAGTCATTATGTTAAAGCGTAATGAACCTGGCATTGGCAAGCAGCTCAAGGATGCGCATTTGATTTGGAACCAGAGAATTCGATTCGTAAAGACCAAGAAAGTTGTCTATGAGATTCCGTTTAGGGACAATCTTTAAATTAAGCTTCTCGGCATCTTCAATTGACTGTATTGAAGGGTCACCGGGATTATAAGCCTCATTCTGAACCTCAAACCGCAGGGTTGGAATGCGCAGTAGGTTGGCCCATATGGCTTTTTTAACACCAGGAGAAAGGTCAAGGTTCGAGGCTGAAAGAACCGGTTGAAGTCTGGGCCAAAGCGCGGCAACTGGTAATCCATTTTGAAGCTGCGAGCAAATTTCTTCAAGTGCAGCGTTAATAACCGAGTCCATGTAAATATCAGCGCGGGCAAGTTACGCAGAATTGGGGAGGGGAAGGGGAAGAAAGGATGAAAGTTACGCTGACGCGTTAAAAGGTACTATTTATACAACTTTTATTTAATACTAGAAAAAATAAAAAATAAAAATAATTAAAAGCAAATCTTCTTTAAAATTCTAATTCTAAATATACTCACATTAAAAAAATTATTAAAATAAAGTAAGAGCGGTGGCAACTTTTTTGTGAGAAAACATCATTTGAAGCTGGAAATTTTTATATTAAAAGAATCATCTTAAAAATATAAAATTTCACCTTATATTTTATAAGAAAATACTTAATTAGTTTTAAAATTTTATAAATATATAAACAAATATTTATTTTAATTCTGATAAATAATTATACGTAATTAATAATGACTCATTTAAAATTAATAGTTGACTAAGAACTTATTTAAATTTTAATTGAATATAATTAATTATAATTAATATAAATAATTTTAATTATAATTAATTATGTTATAATGTAATATGTTTAGATATTATTTTTTAAAAATTAATTTTAATAGAATTAAAAATATTTAAATAATTTAATTGAAGCCAATTTTAATTATATAAATTATCATAAATGATATTATTTTTTAAAATTAAATTATTAATAAAGTTGTATGTAATATTATTAAATTTGTTAAATTTTGTTTAAGAAGTAAAATACATTATTTAACTTATATATCTAACTAATTATAGATATTTAAATTATATTAATATTAACAATTTAATTTATACAACTTTATCCATTCATCAATTTCTAGCATGTCGGAAACATAATAGATTACTAATTATTAGTCACTTTTTTATTAGTTAAGCTAGCAATAATACTGCCTAAAGGAACCAAAGAGCTTTAAATCTCATGAGAAATTAGGAGGACAACACACACATTGAGAAGGAGCACAGGCATTCAACAATTGGAGGTGCACGATGATGTGGTTTAAGGGTATATTTGAAATGGTAGAAAATTTTGATAGATGATAACTATTACAATGGTGTAATTGAATTTGAGAAGCTCCTCTCCCTAGCTTATACTGAAACTTGTTTAGCAATGAATTAATTGATTATGGGTAATGTGGGTGTTTGGGTATTTTTTATCCAAACCATGATTTTACCTAAAATAATTGATTATGTTTTATATCCAAACAAATTTAATTATATAAATATTAGTCTTATATAATGTAGGGTGCATTCAAATGTTAACAATTAATCATAGAATTAAAAACAACTCATTAAATTAATAAATTTTATAAAAATTTAGAGGTGATTAAATCTTTATTTAGAAAATATTATTTTCAAATATATATGAAAAGAATAAAGTGAAATTTGAAATTTTCAAAATTACCCAGGTCCATAGGTTCTGATGATATTTTCTCTATTTTTATGGAAAAAGATCTATCAATGAAAGGGGTTACACAAATTTTTTCATTAAAAAAAAGAAAAGAAAAAAGGATGACAACTTTATTTCTAGGTTTTCCCAGATGCCATGAGACAAAACTGTCTCCGGGTGTGGCACAATCGCAGTTCACAACCCCCACGTGGCCACCGAACTGACCAAAAGAACGAAAGGTGAGTGCTGATTATTCATGTTTCCTATTGTTGAGGCGGAAATCTGATCTTTTTTAATTTTTCGAGTTTTAAATGAGAAGCTGTTTTCGATGCAGAGCGTTTCACCTTTCAGTTTGTGGTGGATGGAGTTTTCTTTCCGGAGCTTAATGAGGTCTTGACCAGGGAGCTCGTAGAGGATGGATATTCTGGAGTTGAAGTTAGGGTTAAGCTGATGAGGACGGAGATCATAATCAGGACGACTCGCAGTCAGAATGTTCTTGTTCTTGGTAAAACTTTGTTATCGGCAAATTGAATCATAACTTGTAACTTTGATTTAGCTGTGTTGGGTATGCAGTAATCAGTGCTCAGAGTGTAATTCGGCAAACTATATGCTTTTTATTTTATTATTTTTTGCCAACAAACTAGATACTGTCTTATTAGATTATGTTATTCTGGAATTGAAGGGCGTATAGTTGTGAATTAACTTTTTTTTATCAGTAGCTTTCCATGTGTATTTTTTAAATACCAACTTTTTGGGTTAAGATCTTGCTTTGAAATTGGATTTTGTGCTAATTTTTATTAAAAAAAATCTAGTTTTAGCATTGTCTATTATCTCTTACCTAAGATTTTATGGGTTAAGAGGATCTTCCATCAATGCTTATATAGACTAACTTGGGGTTTTGTTAGTCCTTGAGAACTGTTATAGTTCTTGGGGTTCGGGAACTCCTGCATCTCATTCTTTCCCTTCCTTTGAGGATGCTGTTGATGACCTGATGAAACCATCTAGATGTGCAGGAACTGAAATTTAATCTTATCCGATCGACTACAGGTAAAAGATCTTGCTTTCAAAATGGATTCTGTGCTAAGTTTTATCAAAAACAGTATAGTTTTAGCATTGTCTATTATTATCCCTTGCCCAAGATTTTATGGGTTAAGAGGATCTCCCATCAATGCTTATATAGACTAAATGGGGGTTTTGTTAGTCCTTGAGAACTATTATAGTTCTTGGGGTTCGGGAACTCCTACATCTTACTCTCTCCCATCCTTAGTGGATGCTGTTGATGATCTGATGAAACCAAACCATCTAGATGTGCAGGAACTGAAGAGTGTGTTTGATTGTGGAGCTTTGGAGTGATCCCTCTCCTCATCTGGGTGAAAGTTTTTGGACGGGAGGGGAGTGTAGCAAGCCACCTAATGAAACAGCCACAACCTTCCCTATCGCACCCTCCGTCACCAAACACATCTTGTTATTATTGCTGAGATTGAACAACAATGAAACCCACCTTGTTATCATCATTCGTCACCTAACTAGGTCTCCGCCCTTGCAGCAACGGCTATTTGGGGGGTCTCATATTGCAATAAATCGATCGACTCCAAGGCAAGCCTACTCCTTTATTTCTTTGTTTTGTTTGCTTAATAATATAAAATAAATATGTAATCAATATCAATATATACTCCCTCCGTTCAAAGATGAAAGATATTTTTAATCAAATCGTACTTTCAATAAAGTAGTTACTTATCTTTAAACTAACCATATCTTTCTATATTTACCCTTATTTAATAAAATGTTTCACCCTGAAAAAATATTAAGCAATCTATTCAATAAAAGCACTTTTAGAATGAGGAGAAGTGATTACACCTTAAAAGATTCAAAATGCCTTACATCTTTGGAAATTCAACCCCTCAAAAAATGTGTTACATTTTTTAAAGGAGGGAGTAATAATTAATATAAAATTTATTAATAATGCACTACATTTAAAAATTATAATTTAATTTAATCAAGGTGGAGAAATATTTTATATGGGGAACAATTTTAAAAAATAAACCAATGTATAGGGATATAATAGTGAATTGATTATTATCTCCCCTTTGTTCCCCTCTCAAACCAAACAAGACATCATTAAAATTCCCTCCCCTCCCCTCCTTTCCTTCCCCTTCTTCTCCTTCAAACCAAACACAGTCAATCATATCCGATTGCTTTAAGTAGCTCAACACAAAAACTGAAGAATGATTTGTGCATTTACCATGTATAATTGCTCTCTATTTTCTGTTTTTTAATTGCTTCGTAACTATGTCAGGTGCCAATCATTGTTATGCTTATTAAAAAAACGCTATTAGAGATTTGTTTACCTCCGGAATTTCCTGATTAGCTCTCCTAGGATATTTACTGCTGCAAAATTCTTTGTGAAATGAATCTACTTCAGTACTTCCTCTGATCACATCATCTGTTCTTCTTCCAGGGCTTGCTATGGTGTCTTGAGGTTTGTCATGGAAAGTGGTGCCAAAGATCATGAGGTAGCTTATTGATACGATCCAAGATGCGCTTATGCAATCCTGCACTTGCCTCCTTATTTCGTGTTGTCGCTATAAACATTTTTACCGCGTGGGATAAGTTAAAGTTAATTTCTGGAATAACTTGTCTTTATGCCAACTTCACTAGGTTTTTGCAAGCGGCAAGCTCAGGGCACTACGTGCTAAATTTATGTAATTCAAGGACAGGTACATGATACACGCTAAAACCACCGAAATTACAGTTTTGGTGGAAGCCTGTAATAAGTCACTTACACAGTTTCCAACATGAAACCAGACATGATAATCATCTGGTCAGCCTGTAATAGAATAAATTGACCCTGTTGGAAGGCATGTGCTTTTGAGACAGATGAGCATATATTTTCATTTGGCACTGGTTCAAAATTCAATTTCAATTAGAGTATGGGACTGATTGCAGTTCCATGAACTAAGCACTATTACGACTGAATGTTGTGATTGACCTCTTTAAGCTGCAATTGTTGCAGGGTGTTCTTGGGATCAAGGAAGAATGCTTCATTGGGATCCCAAGGGTAAGCAAGGGCCAATAAAACCACTGCCTGATTTGGTTACCATCCATTTCCATTCCATCCGCCAGAGGAGGAAGTGGATCAGGCCTCTATCACAGCCTGTTAACATAAAAATTGATGTGGTCTAGACAATCACCGCCACTTTTTCATCATTTTTGCTATTGATTTTGTAATTTAAAGAGTAGAGATCTGGTCGTTAAAGGCTGATAGCTATGCTATATGGTTCTGGTTCTGTTTTGGGAAAATAGCAATGGAGGACCTCTGGATGAATTTTATATTAATTAAGGATTAGTTGTGTAAATTCAAATGGAAGAAGGCCTCAATGAGCTGTTGTTAATTTAAAATAAGTTAAAAACTTGAATAGATATTTGTTGATAAAAGTCTAATTCAAATTAATAAGTATCCATTCGAATTTTGATAATAAATGATTTTTGATTAGTATAAATTTTCCTTAAGGAGTCCTTCATTGATATTTTTTTCTTATGGTTTTTTTTTTTTTTTGGGTTGGTTTTACTCTTCTTGTCTGTGCAATTGTGATTAAGTGTTTCATGTTGAGCTTATGTATCACTCCCTCTTATTCAAAATATAAAGTATAAGCAACTTAGTGCTTTCTTCGTCTAAAAATGTAAGATATTTTTTAAAAAGTTGAATATTTAAAAATGTAAGGTGTTTTTAGTCTTTCGAGGTTTAGTCATTGTTGTTTTTTTAAATGTCTTTATTGATAGTAACTTTATATTTATTATAGGGCATTTAATAGGGGTGAATATAAAAAGATAAAGTTAGTGTGAAAGTAGATAATTATTTTATTGGGAGTGAAATTTGATTAAAAATATTTTATATTTTTTAATGGAGGAAATATATGTTAAAAAAATTTTACTTTACCCATTATACTTTTCAGTTTAGATATTTGTGTAAACATATTCTTTACTTATCATAAAGTGTATTTGTAATTGGGATTAAGGGTAAAAAGTAAAATTAATGTATATACTTTGATAGGAATGAGAATTTTATTGATTTGTAAGTTTTTTTTTTCAAAAATTGTTTACATTTTGTAGTAGCCTTGATTCCAACCCTAGTGGTTTGTTTGTGTGATAACCCTTATAAAATAAATTAATATATATATATATATATATATGGGTGTTTATATTAAATCCTTAGACAATTATGCCAATAGAGAAAGCTAATGTAGTGGTAGTTAGGCTGGATTACTTCCATTTAGTTCCAAGTTTGAACCGCAGTGAGCCTATGGAATTTTTTTTTCTTTTCCCTTGCTGATTTTTCTTATAAAATTACCAAATTACCCTTATTATAATCAGATCTTTTTAAACTCTTCCTTCGTTCTTCGGCGAGAATTCTGGAGAAAAAGAGAGAGAGAAAGTCGGTGGAGAGAGTAAGAGGGATCTTAGGTCTAGAAATTTCACTTCCTCCGTATACAGCAGTCACTGGCGTTGGTGACTACGGAGGTTTCGTCCGCCGTTGCTAGTTGGTTAAGTGTGTGAGTATGTGGCTTCCTTCTTCCATACCGTGACATCGTCTGGTGTGCATGCGGGCTTGAGCTGTAACATGCTTTCTCCTCTGTTCTTGGTGCTATAAAAGAGCACGCTAAACCTTCTCCTTCTTCCTCCTTGAACCGTTGCTGCTTCTTTTCAATTTCAGTTGTTATTGTCGTCGGTATGCTTGCTTCTACTCTATCTGTTGTTGGTCAGTCAACTCTGATCTTTGCACTCTGTTTTTCTTTATTTATTTCAGATTATCGAGCTTCTTCTCCCTTCTTTATCCAGGTGCATGTGTGAGTATTTAGATCTCCCTTCCCTTTACTATCACTAGTGATTATTGCTAGAGAGAGTTGGAGACTTGTGCTGTACTGATTGCTCCGGCTGTCTTTCATGTTCTTTGTCTCTGTTTTTCCTCTTTGTTTTTTGCTCTGGTTCTATCTATGTCGTCACCTTTGAGTAATAGCTAGGACAAGAAACCAAGTTGCCAGAGCTGTGGCAGTGCTGTAATGAGTTTGGATTATTGTTGCTGATTCATTTGCTGTGTTTCCTTGCGAGTAGTGTCCCGTTTTCTATTTCCCTGTTTTGCTACAAGCTTCATTTTTCTTCCTCTTTCTCCTTTGTTGTCCGTTGCCGTCTCGGTTGAGGAGGTGAGAAATTTTAAACTCTCCTATTGTTAATCTGTTGTGCCGTGAGAGTAAGAGATAAGGACATGAGTGCTGTGCGTATACGTGAAATGCAAAAAGTAGAGTTTGTGCGTGCTACTGTTATAGTTTGGTATGTGTAATCATGGCAACCTCACATTATTCTATTATTTCTCATGCTATTACATAGGGAGAAGTAAGACTAAAATTTGAGCTAGAAATTCATCTAACTTGGTAATAATATATGATATATGTGAGTTGAGGATTAGGGTTTCAAAATTTATCCCTTTTGTGACTGTGCGTACATGCATAAAAAGAAAAAGAGAGGAGAAATTTCTATTTAAATAAATATTATGGTTGTGCAAGGAAGCAAGATGATATTGTAGATTGAGATTCCACTTGAAAATGATGGAATTGGTGATATTGTAAGGTTTCAATGAAACTGAAAATTTAGGAAGGAAAATATCAACATTAACTTAAGCAATTATGTATGTATGTTGTTTGGTAAAATACCTAGGACAAATTTTATTTATTTATTTATATTCTAATAGGGTATAAAGAAGAAAGGAACCTTGACCAGAATTAAAAGAAAGGATATCTTTAAAAATTTGAAGCTCTGATGAATAAGTGAATAGCATCCCATTTAATATTTTTATTTTTAATAGCCTCTTCCTGAAATATTTTATTCTTATGAATTATATTAATTTTAAAAATTATGAAATATTAATGAAAGACAAACGAGTTATGTTATGTGTATTTATTGATTCTTACAAAGATATTTCCAAGTTTGATGGAAGTATTCTTGTATGGTTGTTGAACTTTGAAATTTATTGGATACTCAATTAATGTAAATTTATGATTTTGACAAATGTTGAGATTTGAAACAATTCATGTGAGTTTGGCAGTAAGAATGATAATTTATTTCAATAATAATTATTTTCTAGCATGTTTGAAGTGTGATTTAAGGAGAACTCAAAACAGAACACTGCTGCTAACAACAGTTTCGTTAGCCCGTAGCGCGCTGTGGTTAAACACTAGCTAGTTTGTTTCGTGAGCTTATTCTCACATTTGATATTCGTGGGCTTTATACCCACGTTTGATTCAATGGCTTAAGCCACGTTTTGTTACTTAACCTTATGGACTGAGTGTCCACGTTTGTTTCGTAGCTTCGGCTGCGTTTGGTTACTTACCCTCGTGGACTGGTGTATCCACGTTTGTTCTCATGGCATAAGCCACGTTTGGTTATTTATCCTTATGGACTGTGTGTCCTCGTTTGTAACCTGTTATGTTGAGTTCTCAAAATCTTAAATATTAATTAATATGCGTTTTCGAAATTTACATGATTTTGGCTAGTAATTTGTAGCACTTGAGTTATATGTGAGCAGATTATTTTCATTAAGCATGATAACATAAATTGTTTTCAATTCACTCTTATTTTATAAATATGGTAATGATGTACATGTTTATAAATTTTTGTACAATTACTTTTAACCAGCTGACACCATTATTAGAGATTGTTCATTAAAATTCTGAGAATTTTACCATGGGAATGTTATTCACTGAAAAAAAATATTTTGGTCTCAATTTGTTAGCTAACGACGATTCCACCATCGACCTCAAAAGGGCAACTAGCTACAGTGGGTGAATATTTTGATTGGTATTGTTGCTTGAATGTAAATATATAATTTGTATGTCTTTTTGATTTGAAAGAAAGAGTAGATGCTCTACATAGGTTGTTGATAAACCTTATTTTTGGTTTGTATATTGGTTACTAGTTGAAAGGAGCTACGCTCCTGATTTCCACTATTATCTGTAAAAAAAATTTGTTGTAGAATTTTCAGGAGATCCTAGTTACAAGGGAGGTTTTATCGAAATTTTTATAAAAACTTTGACACTTTCTTATAATAATGAGTTTAAAGGAATTATCTAATTCTCATGTAATTTGATAAATTTTCTTTCTTTTCTTTTGAAAAATGGAGTAAATTTTTATTCTAAGACTTACGGAATGTGTGAGTGGTTCACACCCGTACCGATCACCCTCTAATTTTTGGGATGTGACAGTTTGAAACCTTTGCCAGCGTATCATTGTTAAGGATGAAGGGCAAAAGATAATAAATGCTCATAATTTTTTATATTAATGATAATCAATCATGAATTAATATCATCAATAAATGTATGTGTAGTTGCGCAAGTCATTTTAAAGTTCATATCAAGCATGAGTTTCATCCATTTAAAATCTTAATATCATGAATTAATAAGCATGTATATTTTTTATCTTTTAATTTTATATAAAATTTTAATTTAATCCTTTAATTTTGTAAAGTATTTTTTTAGTCCTTAAACTCTAACATCATTAATTTCAAATGATTATATTTTGTGTCAATCATTATTATTTTAAAAAAATTAAATTCATTATGTCAATATTTAAAAACGTTTTGCCAATATTTGAAAGTTTAATGTAAAAATTTGTTAGAATAAAATTAATAGTGTTAAGGTTAAAGAATTAAAAAGATACTTTATAAAGTTAAAAAATTAAAATAAAATGTTACATAAAGATAAAGAACTAAATATACTTCAATCATATTGTTGATAGTTTTGGAAGTTATTAATGGTTTTTTTTTTAAAAATTATAACGAGATTTTTTCTCATCAGCGTGTTTTTATACGGAGGTAAAAACAAAATCAAATTATGTCAAATTTATATGCTCAAGTTGTAATTCTAAAAAGTATGAATACTCATTATTATTCGTGTTGTTTAAAATCTTATATAATTATTCTTTTATTGGGAAAAAAAATGAATATGAAGAATGATGTATTTTTAGATGCTAAACGAAAGTTTTAATGTTTAAAACATTTGTCCATGAATTTTTTGTATCTAAATCAACTAGCAGATTGGATAATTGGCTATTGAAGATTGAAGGATATAACTTCACAAAATTCTAATCACAAACATTCAAAAGGCAACGGCATGTTTTTTGCCCCCTCCCTCTGAACGTAAATGAATATTTATTTCAAATCCAAAAGTTGAGATTTAAAAAAATTATTGCTCAAGGTTAAAAAAATTTAAAAACAATTATTGCCAAACTTTTTGTTATCTCAATTATCCAAAAGTTGAGTTGCAAAGGATTTTATTTTTTATTTTTTTTATCACAGTTCTTCTTGTTTTTTTATAAGTTGACCAGAGTTATTCAGACAGAATCGGACAAGCGTTATTGTAAATTCTATGACTACAAATTGACTCAATTAAAAGTAACGATCAATATTTCAAAGGTGATTTCATTTAAAAAAATTACAGTAATTTTAAACTCAACTATAAGCTGACTAACATTATAGAGTTATAAAGATGGGTTGGAAGAAAGAAAAAGAAATATAAAAATGGTATGTAATTGAGACATTATTTTCTATTAAGTTTGTTAGTTTTTTTGACCAAGAAAGTATGTTACTTTTTTGTCAAACCGTGTTCTTTTTACACACTGACGCTTATACATTAGCTGTCTAATAACAGCTTAATTCATCCTTTTTTTTTTTAATTTCATTATAAAATAGTAACATAGATCATGCCTAACAAACTAATTGGAATAAACTCAAAAAATTTTAAAATTAAACTTTAGATTTATAAGATTTTATTTATTTTGGATTTATTTGGACAATTTGAATAAATTTGAGCCAAACTCAAACGCCAACGGGCTTAATCCAAATATCCAAATTTCTTTTTTTTGGTTATTTTATAAAATAATGTAAAAATAAAATAAAAAGTTGAAATTATATAGAAATAAAATAAAATAATACCTAACAATTTGAGTATTCAATTCAACCGAATAAGCCCAAAAGTTTAAAAGCTCGAGGAGTTAAAGTCGAGTTTAATTATATCAATTTTTTGATATATTAAGGTATTTTAAACTTGATCCGAATAAGCTTAATCTAAATAAGTACAACCCTCGCAAATTACATGCTCTATATCATATTTCACTTACACCATTTATCTAGTTTTCCAGCATTGACGTCTCACACCATCTCCTATTTGGTTTAATGCCATTGCAAATGTGCAATGATAATCATTATTGTATTAATATTAGGAGAGTAGTTAGTTTTTTAGGTGGACTTATAATAACAACTATTACACATCATTATCAAAATAATGGTAATACTCATTCATATCTCTAACCCAATGAATCTTCATTGTACTCCATTGTCATCTTTTTATTCCAAAATGGTATTAAAATTGCATTGCATTCAATTGTACTGCATTATATTTTTCCAAAAGAATGAAGAATTGAACCAGTTTAGCTTTCAATTAAACACTTTTTTTTTGGGTTTTAATTCACAACTTTAGCCGCCAACTTTTTTACAAGTAGAGGATGTGAAATTTGGAATAAATTCCTGTCACCTAATTTAATTTAATTTTTTTGACAACCTAATTTAATTTAATTTTTTATCTCTATTTTGAATTTTCATGGAAAAATCATCTGGTTCGAGCACGAGGACTCTCCCTGCGTTTCTCGAGAAAATAAACAATAAAAAAGTTCACAAGAGGGCACATCCGGAATCCACGTCCACTATTAACCAAATTTTAGAGCGTACGTCGAATCCGGAACTGTTGGGTAGTAAACACAGCGTACAGAAAAAGCAAACCCAAGCACTTCTTCGCAATTACCCACAGAATTGAGAAAAATACAAAACAAGATTTCAAATAGGAAAAAAAAATATATCTTTTATTTCGAATTCTCTTCCGTATGTGAGAAGTTTCTTTCACAAATTCATCTCTCGAAAAGCTTGCTTCGTCAATCACTCACAGACACTGCACTCAATCGGTTACTTTTACAGTTGCAGCTACTCGGTGGACTCGTTTATCAGTCACTCTCTCTGCCTTTATGGTGAGTCGCAATTCCAATTCACGCGTTGGGAACAGTTTTTGTTTGTTATTGTCAAGCTTAGAATGCATTTCTTCCCGGGTATTTTGTTTGCATTTGTAATTTGACATAAAGAGTTTTGTAGTATGGACGTGGAGGAAGTTTCAAGTTTCGTGGTGTTAGTGGTACGTTAGAATTGTGGGGCTTCTATATTGTAGCGAAATTGTTGAATTATACGCATGTTCTTATTCAAATTTTCATTTTAATTATGCTGCATGCGGTGTAAATGAGTATTCCATTTATTCAAGGAAAAAGATGTTAACTTTATCTTTTTTGGTTCTCTCTGGACTTCCCAGTTTGTATACTGGAGGTGCATGTGAACTTTCCATGGAAACGTTGGTTGGAATTGAGGATAATGACGAGGGGAAGCTTGAAGACAGTGGCGTAGATAGAAGTAGCTCTGCTTTGTCTTCACCAAAGCAGATTGCCAACCCAGTTGTGTACAAGCTCGTGCGGGTATTTTAAACTATTTCATTTTAAATTTTTGAATGAGAATTGGAAGTACTATCTATATGCTACAGGAGGCAATTTAACTGGTGCCTGCTGTACTGAATTTCTTAATTAGTGCTATTGGCCTATTGCAGTTTAAAGGTTATATTAAATCTGACATACTTGAACAGAACCACATGGGCAAGTTTTTTGTGATGAATACTATTGCGTTAGATGGTGAAAAACTAAGTATGCTGTTTTCCTTACATATATTTCGACCTCTATTGATACACACAGCGATTAACAGGGACCTTCAGGGCCTTGCCTAGGCAAATTTATATGGGAAAGTGCATGAGGCTACAGCATATATGTAGATAAAGTTTGATAAATCTGGACCTTTTATCTTCTAATCTGTAGAATTTTTGGTGCCTATGCTGTTGAACAGCTTGAAGGCTGTAGAACCATATCTTAAGTATGCATACTGTCGTGTTTGTAAGCTGAGTGAGCTCAGGCATTCATGTTGATGAATTGTAACCTTTTGTCTCATAATCCATAAAATCTTTTGTGAACATTTTCGTCTGAGTTTTGGGGAGCCTGTATGAACATTATGGTAATTTTTTTCCCAAAAAAAAAAAAATGGTGACACTGTGGCACTTGACTGTCTAGGGCATCTACAGCATTTGACCTATTGGTGTTTGTGAGTCTTTGTTGCCTATGTTGTTGGAAAGATTGAAGGTATTAGAACTGTAGCTGGCTGTCTGCATGTATAATTGTATATGTGTAACTTTGATTGATGAATATAAATATATTCTAACATGGATTGTTAAAGTTGCACTTTGAGATTTTAAATTGTGGTGAGTCTAGTGAATCCAATCTTGTCAAAACATCTTTTTGCAAATACTCATTCTGAACCTGAAATCCAAGACAAGGAAAATTAAGCCATCCATGTAATTGTTACTGAAATAAGAGAATGAACAAAGTGGCTGGTTTAATGTGTCCGTGAGCGCTACAGTGATGTCAGAATAGGACCTTCTGAAGGAAGTGGAGGAGGAAAAGGAATGGAAAGTGAGTTTTAAAACTATGTTTTGCATGTAAAATAAAGTAGATGGAATTCTTGTATTTGATATTCATAATTACAGGATTAAAAGAACAAGATACCTTTCAAAATGAAAAGAAAAGAAAAAAAAAACCATCAGATCTGTTGAACCTGAAACCAGTGCCACTGCTGAACCCTAGAGCAATGAGATACCACTTTTTTGCCACCAAAAATCAGAACCACCATTGTCCTCCATCGCCAACCAAGATTGAAATCAAATGAGCAAAATGTTGAAAATGGATGATGACAGTTTGTTAGAAGTTTCTGTTTGCTAATTAGATATTCTAGGATATTTGCAAGTTGCTAGTTCATTTTATTCTGGTTCATGTTCCTTCTCTGGATTTCATGTTGTCTTTGACTCTGCCTGAATAATAATCATTTTGATATCTAATGTCTAGTGACTTTGCTAAAATAACTATCACTTGAATGTTAATGTCTGGCATGATCATTAGGTTGAAGGTGATGGGAGGTTAGTTCCTGCAACAGATGATGAATTAATTGAGGTGGAGGATTTCCTTGAGTATGACCAGATTGAAATGGGTGTTGATGTGGACACTGCGCTCCATGAAGGATGTTCATCAATTGAAAGGTCTTCCTCTGAGAAGCTTCAATTGGAGTGCTCAGAAGGTATGCGCCTTTTCTTTATAACATATCTGAAAGTTTTAAATGCAGTGTCGAAGCAATTACAATATTTATTCATGCAAACTGAAGATTATGTCTGTCAAAGACCAGGGATTGAAGCATTGCTTATATCTGTCAATTGTTAGGATTATCTTTTTAAGACTATAATTTCCCAACTATTATTTGTTGTTTTAATAACTTATTACCTGTTTGGATTAGAGTTTTAAAGCATGATTTTGAATAAATGTGATTTTTTAAATTGATTTTGATATTTAAAAAAAAAGAGTTAGGTTGATCATGATTTTTGTTTCAAAAATTTTTTCTATTAGTTATTTTGAGAGAATTGCTTGTTTGGATATTGTTTATCAAAGTTACTTTTGAATGCGTAATTATCAAAAAGGTATCAACTTTTATTAGCTTCTCCAATTTACCCTTATAATTTCATTTCATTAGTTATGAAATATAATTTATTAAATGTCGTGAATATTGTATTGATTTTTTAACTTTTGATTTTAATATTAAAAAAATAAAAAAAAATCTTTTTCAGTTAAAGTATGCATCTTGAATAAAAGGACGTCATGACATAGATAAAAATGCACTAAGGTAAATAATTAAATAATAATTATTAGCAAAATTAGTAATATAACATGTCTAACAAAATGTTTAATGGAGAGTACAAATAAAAAAGGAGCAACTATTCTCAAGGGCGAAACAGGGAAGGACATTATTGGCAAACTTTCAACAGGATTTCTTCACCATAGAAGCAAGCAAAGTTGCTTCCAGTTTAATTGGGGTTTAGAGAGGAAACATGATTTTGGAAAAACTGCAAACGTGATGAGTGCCCAAGTGGCATGGGGAACGTTATCCAAAAAAACTAACTGTTGGGATGGAAGAACTAACCCACTTAAATGCCCTATTGAGCATCCCATATTTCTCAATGCAGGACTTGGTATCCTTACTATCAAGTCTGCATCAAAACGCAAAACCAAACACAGCCCGACCCCCCTGCCAAACAGGGGGAATCATGTTTTGTGGTTTCAAGCATGCTTTTAGAGCTCCAGATGGTAAACTGAACAGGCTCTTAAATCAAGATAATCCTCTGTTCATTTATTGTTTGGTTGGATTTGTTTTCTTCATGGGTAAAGTTGGAAGAGCTATGTTGCAATTTATGTTTCAGTTCTCTCAATGATTCTTTCCTTCGTTCTTTTTTCTGGGAAATCATCATGTTTATGATTTTAATGGGTAATTTATTTATTATTTTGTTTCCATCATGTGAATTTTTGTATCTGATTATGTCTGTACTCCATGTGTGTCATAATCAGATACTGCAGAGGCAGATCCAGAGAAGTTAAATGCACGACTTCAGGTATTGGGTTAATTTCATTTTTATTCTCTTGCACTTGTACACAGACACACATTATTGGATTACTTCCACACATTGATGCTTTGTAATTTTTTTTTATTGATGTGTCAATTATGTTTAATCTAATTGCTGTTCCTTTTCCAAGTTGAGAAATTGTTATGACTTAGTGTTGGACTATAGGTGCCTAATACTTAATTCTGTCCTTGTAATATTTTTGATGCATATTAAATGAAATATGGAGCAACTTTCATCTATATTTCACTTTTTTTTTTCATTTTTTGCTTGAATTATTTATTTTCTTTTGGAAAACCTTTAAGCTCTATTCAGTATTGATATGATTTTATGTACCAAAAAATTATTATATTTGTGCAGTTTAGTTGCCTGAAATCTGATTTGGAAAAGACGAGTTCCTACTTTATAGATTGATTTTACTATTTGTAAATTATGTGACAATCTGTACTTATGTACAATGCTATCAGGAAAGATCAGCAGACCATCTCTTTACTCGCTATGAGGGGATTTTTTTTTTCTTCTTTTTAAATATTTTTAACACAGGATAGAGATTTTGGGGAGGAGGGGTGGGGTTGGAAATTGTGTCTGTGTCAGGATATCTTAGTATGTTGACTAATTACTTTCATTTTGGTCCATTTTTATTATTCTGTAGTCATATTTCATATTTAATACATATTTTGTTTAACATTACCAAATGAACAGAGAATCTGTTGCAGAACATGATATAAGATTGTATACTTGCACTGAGGATTATAATGCTTAAATTAAGCTGTAACTATAAATATGTTTACTTACACGTTAGTGGGACATTTCACTTGGATAAAGGGACAATAAATGGTGTCAACTTTACATTGTATAATTACTGCACAAAGGGATAGCTTAAATATTTTATTTTAGTGAACAATGACTAAGGTTAATTTAATTGAAAGCTTGAAAGAATTGGATGCACTTCATTTCAGCTGAAGTATGGCAAATAGGTGCTTGGTTCACATTGGTAAATTGCAGAGATGAAAATAAAAATAGGGATGCTTGGGTTCTTGCCTGTCAGGGATCCACTTTTCCACCCTGAGAGTATGCAATTAGATACTTCCCTGGATCTTCCTGAGTGATTTGTTCAGATTATGCTACAGGGCTTTTTTGCATCAGCTTGCTTTTAACCTTGTAATTGCTTACTTCTGTATAAACTGTGTAAACATACTTAAAGAGCGGCTGATGATCTCATCTATTCTTAGTAGCTTACTGTCAATTTCTCTCCCTGGTGCTTGGCCGGTGTCTCTCTGCTTCTATGCCTACTTGTCCTTGTTTTGTAGTATTTGTAATGCTAGGATCCTTCTTGACTTATATAATCTTTTGTAGTATATTGAGCAGATGTTGCAGAAGGTCAAGGAGGAAGAGAAGCTTCATTTGGCCTGTGGATCTCCTGGTCTTTCCTATGTAAATGTAGACAGCCAGTGTTCGGCTGCTGATTTGCCTGTCATGGATGGGATAATTCAGTGTGATACTTCCTTCCAGGAAATTATTCCTTCTTCAGCACCATCTTTAAATAACAGTCATAGTAATCAATCACAAAATATTGGTGGGTGTTCTAGACCTTCGGAAGGACAAATAGAAAGTGGATTATCTACCTCTGCTGTCTATTGTGATTTGAAGCCTGATTTTTCTATGATAAAAGGAGAAATATGCTTGGACAAGTTATCAATTAGAGAACTTCATGAACTATTCAAAGTGACTTTTGGTCGGGAAACTACTGTGAAAGACAAGCAGTGGCTGAAGAGGAGGATTGCCATGAGTTTAACTAACTCATGTGATGTTTCAGCAACAACTTTCATAGTTAAAGATAACAAGTTAGTTAGAAAATGTGAGGAAGGTATTGATGGAAATGTGGATGCTGTCCTCTTCAAGGATACTACTGCTGGAGAAGAGGATATCAACTGTAGGGATTTATCATGTGCTGAGGGTATTGGAAATGAAAATAATCAAGTTGTTTCTGGAAAGAGACTGAGAAGTCATAATGGGGAACATGATTTGTGCAGTGAGAGTCTTCAGACAGAACAAAGAGCTGCCAAAAGAATCCGTAAGCCCACTAGGAGATATATTGAAGAGCTCTCTAAAAATGAGTCCAGGGACCACAATCCTAGGTTATTAAGTTCAAACAGAAGTGCGGAACTTGGGCATGTCTCTCCAAACTCATACAATGGTTCTGCTAGGAATGTTTTTTCAGAGGGAAGAACTATTGTAACTAGGTTTGACTCTCTGGGAGGTTTGGGAATTTACATACCTTGTGTTTCCCGAATTCGAAGATGTCGTCCAAGGAAAAATATCATGCCTCTTATGGTGAGCGGTGCTGTTTCATTTCAAATTGTATGTTTCATTTCTCTAGTTTTAGATAATTGCCCCTCAAGCATTCTTCATGTTATGTAAATTATAATTTATTTTTTACAAATAGAATGATATGATTCCGTCCCAGAAATTTCATCAAAGCAGTGGCATGGTTGAGGTTGCCAACTTAAGCAATGAGGCCTTTGGAGAGCATGGTTCTCAAGAAGATGAGGGTAGGGACAAAGTCTTAAAATCCAGATCCACATCTTCAAAATTTCAGCAGCGAGTAAGTGTGTGTGTGTGTGTTGTGCCCCCCTTCCTTCTGGTCACTGGATTTGGTAAAAATTAGACACTGGATGAATTCTCAGTTCAGAATGTTTACTTGTGTAAAAATTACCATGTTAAATAGTCAAACTCAATGGTGGAAAACAAAACTTTTGTGCATTTCAGGCGGGATAGAACTAGATTAGAAAATACATAGAAATGGCTTAATGTGAATTTCTTGTAATATTCCTCATTCAAGGCTATACTTCGTGTACGCACAACAACCGGTCATTAATCTCACTGTCTGTTTAAGCTCAAGCGGTTGCTACATGTTTTGAGAAAAATAATTTCATCTGGTGGATAGTTCTTGAAAATTTTTATTCCATTAATGGATTTCACCTTTTTTTATGTTCTGAAAAATGAAATTCAGCCTTATGTTTCATCTGTGTAGTATTTTTTTTCTTTTTTTAAATTAAAAAACAGCAGCTAGTATTCAACTAATAAAGATTACAGCAACTAAAGTGAACCCCAAGGACCACTCCCTGTCATCAACCCCCATCTCCTCCTTACAGCAAGGTAAGGGTTGATCAAATGTGCAGAAAGAATGAACACTATTGTGAGTCAATCTAGCTGAAGTATCAGCATTCTGTACAAATTCTCTTGGATGGAAATCAAAATAAAGAGCCCAGCTGTTAGTGATTAATCTCCTTGCTTCTTGGATGATGTCTTGATGTGGATGGTCTCACTGAAATTCCCTGATAACATCTGTTCATTATTTCTTGGGGCATCTTTGAGACGTAGGAAAATCCAAGGGTCATTGTAAAAGATGGGAGTATTAGCTTAAGAAACTAGGTAATTCACGCTAGCTTATATGTTCCTTTGCCAATTCTCTTCAAGAAGATCCTAGTTTGTCATTTGGGGTTCATTGATTTCTGTAATGGCACTGGTTGCTTTTTGTTCTCCAATGTAATTCCTTGACATTATAATTTGTTTCTGATATTTTCAATTGTTTGGGTGTGCGGGTATGTTGGATATAGTCTGCTGTTGAGCAGAAAGATGAACAATCTCCACTACTGGACAGAATTGAACCACGACAGGAATCAAGACTGAGAAAGGCAGATCTATCTAGCTATAGTTCAGATGACAACATAGTGACTGTCCCCACTTCAAAAGGTGGCATGAGAAGAAAACATCATAGAGCCTGGACCCTTGTTGAGGTGATGAAATTGGTTGAAGGTGTGTCACGGTGTGGAGCAGGGAGATGGTCAGAGATCAAACGGCTTTCCTTTGCTTCTTACTCATATCGTACGTCTGTTGATCTTAAGGTATTTTCAGTTTTGGTTTTTAACCCATCTCATGGATGTTTGATCATGTTTATAGCTGGGCAGCAGGCAGCTGAATGCTGATTTTCTAATGCAGGATAAGTGGAGGAATTTGCTTAAAGCTAGCTTTGCGCAGGCAGCTTCAGATGAGGGTGTAAGTTCTTACCATTATTTTACTTTGATCTTGTTGAGTTCAGCCCAAGTTGGCTTTTGATATCCCATGTCCTCTGCCAGCACATGCCGTGAACTGTGTCATCGAGTATCCTTCACGGTATTTTTGAATTGAGGAGAAGCGAAGGTTTAAAACCTCTTTATCCCTTCCCTTTTTCAGCATTCTCCATACATACTGAGAGCTGGTTATTACATAATAGTAACATTTTGCCACTTTTAATCACTTTTTATGCACCTAAAAAGAATTATTTATCACTTTCTGGGGTGATTCTCACGTATGAATAATAGTTCCTTTGATGACCGGAATGTTGTTTATTTTTCTATAGCACTATTTTATCCATTTCCTGATAACTGACTTTCCAGAAATATGTCTGGTCACAAGGGAGTCTTAGCGGCATGTAATGTTTTTAAGATCAGCTTAGTTGATTATTTTGACGTTAAATTCTGTCTGTTCTCTTTTCCTCCTCTGTGACAGGTGAACTCGAGGAAGCATGGTACCGTCCCTATTCCTGAGCCAATTTTAGTACGAGTAAGAGAGCTTGCCGGAATGAATTCTCAGGTACCTACGAGCTTCAGCTCAAGCAAACTAACAGCCTGTACTGGGGTTGCTCATGATGATAGGTCAGGGTACTTGTAGCCTTGTAAATAATACCAGTTTTAGTTGTCGGCCCATAAAAATAAGAAGCTAACTCTTGCACCGCCTTAAACCGAATCCTATCTTGGATGGGTGCTTGGATCCATGAAGTCTTGTAGGCGTTAAGAAATTGTCCAGAAGTGTAATGTACTGACACGATCATTAGTTTTGTCTTATGTTAGTTCTTCACTGTAAATCTGTGATCTTGGAAATACATGCATTTGTCAGTGGCGTGTCCCCTGAAAAATGTAGTTAGATGAAGTACTGAAGAGAGAGAACTTGCGCGAGTATCTACCAGTTTTCAATTTCAGTTTCTTTCTCATGTTACTGTAAAAGGTCATGAGTTTTTCTAGCACTCGATATTTATCAATCAATGCTATTGCACTATCATGTTTACATGCTAAACACGTAGTAGGGTTTGTTCAATTCATAATCATGCATATTACATAACTATAGGCTAGTACTATTTATAATAACAGAGCCTACTTGCTAATTAGCCCCCGTAAAGAAAAAGAAAATAAAGGAGAATGGAGATATCATGCAATCATGTTGGGTTTTTATCCAAGTTTAGCTGCTTTCTTATCTCAAGTTTTCAGCCTATGGTTCGCTTAAATTTAAGTTATAAATAAAGTAATCAAGTGGGGTCGTTGTGGTTTAGGACATCATTTAAATGAACAAGGACGTGGCGTACAAGAAAGAATAGAATTAATAGATGCAATTTCCAATTTTCCCTTCGAATGTAATCTTCAGTTGTCGACGGGAGATGCAAACTAATTTGATATATGCAATTTTTTTTATATAAAAAGACCATTTAAAGAGGCTTGCATAAACTTTTTTTTTTTTTGAAAAAATAAAGCTATAGAATTAATAAATTGTTAATTTGATCCTTCCCCACCCCCAAGTTAGATCTTCTGCTGAATCTAAATCAGTAAATCCTTTGATTTAAATTATTTGATTGTTATTTTATTATAACATAGTATAATAACAATAATAATATTAATAATATTCATTGCATCTCCTCACTGAAATGTCCCCCTGGCCTCCTTGCATTCGATGTTATGAAGCTATCTGTCATATTTCATGTTATTACGATCAGGATATGCTTAGATTCCGTTCAATTTATAATAAAATTTATCCATTAAAGTAAACCTTAATAGGTCTCGATCCGCATTTGTTAACTTTAGAGACGGAGAATACTTAATGGATTTCCATGCTTATCTGCACATACTTGACACAATATCCCCGCGAGTTAGATCACTTTTTCCAGTTTTGGCAATAAAAAAGTGTAGTACTTATTTGAAGAGTAAGAAACTTGCTGAACAAGCATGAACCTTAGCAGAAAAGGACGATATAAGCAAAATATAATTCTCTTCGTATTTGCCTGCTGTTATTTGTTTTTAGAGTTTGTTGGATAAACATCTCTTGACTTCTGAACAACACACGAAATGATTGGGTAACCCTGCTTCTTCGACGATAAGCTTTCCTCTTCTATTTTCGTTCTTGCCTTATGCCGCTTGTAAGATCCTTCATTCACAGCTAGACGCCCGTGTCACTTCTTTGTAATTATCATCACTTTTTGCCTCGGTGGGAAGATAATAGATATAATAATACAATTGGATGTCATAGCTAGTTTTTTTTCCCCATACTCAGCAAGCTGAAATAGCGTTAAAAATTAAATAATGAATCAGATCATAAATAGACACGAATTTATATCTATATATAGAAGGTTTATGAAGATGGTATAACCTAATGTCTTTCATCTGCTCCCACGACATTGTTGAAGCCGGATTGTTGATGGGTTGTATTCATAGTAATTGTCAACCAATGTTGAATAGGGTATTTAAGGTTGCTTCCAAAGCACGTGCTTTTGGTGCTTTCTGCCAAATATGGGATTGCCTGATTATGCTTCAATTCTGATCGTAGCAGCCCTGATAGCTGCACTTTTATTCTTCAGTCTCACCATGCTTAGTTGGTGTACCTACAGAAGTATTGATCTTATACAATCTATTCCATCCACAACAGCAAACTTACCTCTTGATAACAAGCTCCAATGCTGCAGCAAAAGCCTAGAGTCTCATTCCAAGACATTCCAGTACAAAGTTGCAGAAACTGTACAAGGCACTGATCAGACAGAATGTATCGTCTGCTTGACACCCTTTGAAGAAGGAGACTCTGTGAGGCAGCTTCATAGCTGCAAACATATCTTTCATATGATTTGCATTGACACTTGGCTTGCCTCTCATTCTGCCTGCCCTTTGTGCAGAAACCAGATAGACCATGTGCCTTCTCCTCCAAGTGCCACTGAGGAAGTGTCCCCTCCAATAAGGTCTCTGGCTTCAGAGGAAAATGGCCACAATCAGATTATCTTGTTCCTTGTCAGCTCCTGAATCCAATCATCGCCTCCTAACATTATCAGAGCTCTGTGTAGGATCAGACAAACTTGGGTAAAGTTTTGTTCAGTTTTTAGTGTCTGATTTTTCAATAAAAAAATTAACATGCGAATGAATATAATAGGAAGAGATTTCCTCCAAAGGCTTTGTGTTAAGCTTCTTTTAATCAACCAGTGAATTATAGATGATTTACATGGTAAATAGAAATAACAACATCAAGCATAAAGTTACATATGCGACTTCTCCTTCAAAGATTATGTGGTGATATGGATATGAACACCGCGTAATTGGTATATAACTCTTGATTTCCATCCTTCCTGGAGCATCTTCTCAGTTCACACCCTCCTTTTACATCTTTCTAAGATTATCTAACCTAGCCTGCAAATCATCATCAATTCCGCCATCTTCATTGCCTGTTGATTCAGCTTGAGCAGCTCTGTTCTTTGCAGCAGGAGCAGTGACGGAAGTTGATGAGGGTGCATTCACAAGCTGCACGTTTAACAAAATTGATATCATTATAAACGTTACTGCTTTTATAATTAAAACAAGTTCAACAGCAATTCTGTTCATTGGTAAGTAGCTATCTTCTAGTTAGCAATGAGAATGGCACAGGAGAGTAATGGCCTACCTCAGAGTTGATATCGATTCCAATCTCATCGAGCACCTGATTCACAAGCTCTTCTGTCTGTTCCTCCTCTTCATCACCTTCCAAGGCATCATCAATTGCATCTCCCATCACCTCTGTCGTCAGTTCCATTTTTTCATTCTGCCTCTCAAACTCTTGCATTATCCTCTGTAAGGAAGGCAAGTTCATCTGCCTATTCATTTGGCCCATCGCTTTGGTAACTCCTTTCATGGCCTCCCCCATTGCTTGAGTTGATTTCAGCGTCTGAGATTGATCTTAAAGAGTCATTTTAAATTATTTGATAGTGCAATTATTTTATACATTTTCATAACCTAGATGCGAACAATGAAATCTTAATAGGCTAGTCTCAATATCAGGTGCCAAAACTGTCAGATGAAAGAAGAAGAAGAAGAAGAAGAAGAAGAAGAAGACAGGGATGTTCAGTTTGCACCTGATCTTCGCAACCCAATTCAGCATCAGAAACAAAAAATGCACACAATCACACTCGATATCCCAATTCTAGATCTGCTTCATTTTACGACATCAATAATTTTATGCGGGTATAGCATGGTATGTACATTTTTTGCGTTAAAATGTGGAATCCAATCCTCCAACAATAGTTATGTAACGACATCTAGTATAGTATAGCAACTTTGCCCACATAAATTTAAATAGCTTGGCCAGACAACCAACAACCATGACATCTAATGTAATGCCATCCTAATTCTTCTTCTCCCCCCCCCCCCAAGCTCAGGAGGAGCTTGCATCCTAATTCAACTCTGCTGCATTTTAGAAGAACATCAATAATCTTATGGAGGTATAGCATTGTATGTACACTTCTTTATCATCCATTGTACCTGACTGTCACAATTATCTGCTCAAAATATATATGAGCATGTAAAAGGGACTTCAAGTTCCTGCACCCAGTTAGGAGAATCAGAAAGAATAGCAAAGCATACCTGAATTCTTAAAGCAACACCCTGAAGTTGCGATTTAAGCTTGTAAAACTTTTCAATCTGATGGCGTGTTCTGATAAGGTCCTTTGCCATTACTCTTACTGCACCCTGAACAAATGTATACCAAATGCACAAATTGTTATAACCAAATCAAAGCAGAGCGAATAAAAGTTGTGTTCCTAAACAAATGAATGTAGTACTTCAAGAACAACACCCCATTAAATTGATCGCAAGCATCACAAACAAACAATTTAATTATTAAAAAAATATACTAGACTTAAGTCCAGTTCATATTTGATATTAGATACTAGAATATAAATATAACACAAGGAGAAAACTTTTTTACGGACCCAATCATGTGACACTGGAACATCATAGCGAACACTTGATGGAGGGGAAAAAATGCATCTAAATTTTGTACTTCAAAATAATATTTGTAAAGCAAGTACCATCTGTCCTTGTTTGGCATTCTTCTTGATCTCAACAATCAACTTCTTCTCTTGAGTTTGCAAACCCTGCCTTTCCCTTTCTATTTCTCTAATGGACTTGTCCAACATCCTTTTATTTTCCCTCAAAAGCTCTGCCACAAAGAAACAATTTTTGTTCATTCTAACAAAATCACCCTACCATTATTTATGGCTAAATATTCATGTTCCATTCGTTTCAATAAACCACGCAATACTTCGATAAGTATGCAATTTGAAAAAAACGCTCAGTCCCTTTCTCTATCCAAATAAAAAAAACTCCATTCACTATAGCACCCCATTTTGATTACGTCAATCGAACAGCTAAAATTTGGCACTATAACAAAACCAGTAAAGAACTCCAAAATTAACCACAATCCCGTGTTTTATTCAAGTTGGCTAACACCATTAGTTAGAGCATCCCCTTTTTATTACTTCGATCTTAAAGCTAAAATTTGGTAAACTATGAGAAAACCAGTAAAAGAAACCATTCAACTTATCGACAATGAGAAGGCTAAATGAAATCAACTCCGATTGTTTCGTCTGTCCAATTTATGAGAAAACCAGTAAAAGAAACCATTCAACTTATCGACAATGAGAAGGCTAAATGAAATCAACTCCGATTGTTTCGTCTGTCCAAATTGGACAGACGACAAACTGATGTAGCCTATTGATTGCTTCGATTATAATTCTAAAATTCGGATAACTACAACAAAAGCAGTAAAGGAGAAGAAGAACAAAATACCAGCTGGAGTTTTTCTACGGCCGAAAAGAAAACTCATCTTCGTCGACTATATATGCTGAAAAGCACAGAAGGTTTCAGATTATGTGATCCCTTCCTTTGTTTTCTCGCCTCACTTAGCCTTCTTGGGTGCCTCTCTTGCTTCAAGTCAGCGCAGTGCGCACAGACAAGCTCGGTTCGGTTGAATAGTTGTTACGGCCTCACGGATAGTTTTTGGAAACAATTGTTTTTTCCCCCTTTAATTTCAATTTATAATATTATTTAATTTGATAATTCTAATTTTTTCGGTGGCATTTGATTATTCTTATAGAAAATATATCTTCCTACCTGTGACTGAGATTGGTTTTTCCAAAAAAGGCTAATCCTTTCCAAATGACCAATTGAAATTGAAATATTTTTTTAATACTAGATGTAAAGCATTTTTTTAAAAAATTAAATATTAAAAAATATAAATATTTTTAATTTTTAAAATGATCATTTTTTTTTAATATTCTAATTAATAATAACTTTATATTTATTATTGAGTGTTTAATAAAATAAATATAAAAAAATAAAATTATTTTTAAAATAAATAACTATTTTATTAAAGTAAAATTTGATTAAAAATATTTTATATATTTTTTAGATAAAAACTTCCATCCTTGAGGCATTTTGCTGCCTTTTTATTGGCCAATTTGCCGCCTATAAATATATAAATATAAGTTTTAGGCTGGATTGTAGTTGGGCCAGAAAGAAAGCCCAAGTGGGACAGATCTATTCAAAGGATAAGGGCCCAAAAAATTGCCGAAATTCAAACACCGACGATAAGCTTTGCTTGAAACGTTGACCAAAATTAATTCATTCTCATTATTATAGTTACCACTTACCGCCTGCAATCATCGACTTTACAACCTATTAAAGCACAACGTGTGTGACAGATATATCCAACCACTATCAAAAGTTACATTTCGGTTGGGATGATCCGATTTCCTAATATTATATTTACATGTACAAGCCCAGCATTTTCATAATAAAATGGGCATTGTCAGTTTATATTTATAGAGGATATTCCAATCTGAAAACGAAACCATTAATGTCACCAGCTAAAATAGGTCCCTGGTCCGACAAGATATTAATTGATTGTGGGAGAGAAAGGTCCAATGTAAGGTTTTGTCTCAATCAGGGAAATCTGGATTCTCTCAAGTATTACGTTTTAAAAGGCTGAAAAAATTAACCTGCAGGCTTCCTTAATTAGTTCTTTATCCCAGTTCTCTCAAGACCCCTATTATTTGAAAAAAAAAAAAAAATGTTAATTTTGCATCAGTGTGCGTAGGATGGATTTGGGGTGTCGTCCTCTCTAATGCCCCTTCTAGTACTTAAAATCTAAATCCTCCATTTAGAACAATTAGATAAAATTTCTCTGATCGTTAGCTAAAAGAAAAGGTTGATATTTTGGACATCAGAAGGGTCAACACATAGCAAACACCACAATTTTTTTTTGGCAGCATTTGAATTGGTGAATTTAAATTTTAAATTTGAAATGTTACATTTTAAATATATATTTATTTGAGTAGTTTAAAAAAAATTGAAATGGAGGAAATATATGAGTTGAGATTCAAAACAAAAATGATAAATTGAGAATAAAACATTTATTTATGTTTTTTAATCAATAAAAGATGAAAATGAGAACAAGAGAGAGATATAACTAAAAATGCAATATTTAAATAATTAAAATTTCAAATAACTTGACTTTAAAAAAATTTTAAAATTATAAATAAATTATAATAAAAAATAGATTTAAATTTGTTTTAATCTAAATTCATAAATTTTTATATATTTAAATAATAAGTTTGAACTAAGTACAAATCCAAATTGTCGTTAATTCAAACCTATCATTAGGCTCTTTGCATTAGCCAATAGCCAACCCTAGCAGAAAGCGTTTTGTGGGCCCTGTTATAAATGCTTTGTACATTGGCTCGACTCTATATATCACAAATACTTAATGTTACTAGATTACACCAAATGATGACATAATTAATTATTTTTGCTTTTATATGTATAGATATATATATATATATATATATATGTATATGTTAATGTAGTACAGACTACAGTTGTGTGATTGATTTCAAGCATGAATATATGGAAACTGTTAATTACAAGCAAATTGCTTTTAGAACCAAAGTAGAAACTTTTTATCTGTCAATCCGTGTCATAGATATAATAGGGGACATTTAATTAGGTGAGATGATGATTATCATTGTAATGACAAATCAATCTAGCTAGGGTTTACCCCATTTTCAAAATGCCCTATACACTAGATTGCTGCTTTTGGCATATTTATAATTTTGATTAGCACCACAATCATGGATTCCTCTCCCAAACCTTGATTCCAATATTTTAATTATAAACTAAGTAATATAATTTTGGATTACAGTACTTTTTCTGTTAATTATTTTTTCGTGCTTCTTCTTCGTTCAAATTGATCTTTCTTGAAACAAATAAAATTATATCTGATTTTCTTGTTTGGAGGCTCAATATATATACATATAGACCTATACAGTATCCCTGTTGCGTGTATATATTTACATACATGAGATTTCCGATGGAACAGACTTAATAACTCATCAGTTTTGGAGCTCAAGTCAACTTCATGAAACTCATTTTCAAATGCATAGTAAGATATTCACAGTGTCGTGCTGATGACCTAGCTAGCTAGCTAGTAACCTTTTTGTGACATTTTCGCGAGTGTTATATAGCTACTGAAATATATAGGTCAGGTCATTCTCATTCAGCCATTTGGTTCTGCAATTGACTTTTGTTGATTTTTTAGTTTTACATCGCTATTTCATGTCTGCAAACCCTAGCTTATTAATCATCACTTATTACGTTTATCCCATAAATTTGCCACTAGCTAGCAGGGCTCATGTTATGTCAACTTCATCAATCTCTGTTGAATACAAACATAGATACATATATATATATATATATATATAAAACATCTCTTTTGATCCTTACACTTTATTTATATTTTATTATAAGTATCTTTACTTTTTTTTCAATAGTTTAAATTCCTATAATTTTATTTTTTGATATTTTAGATCTCTAAATAAATAAAATAAACAAAGTGTAAGAATTTTAAATGAACATAAAACACTAAAAAATAAAAATATAGGGATCTAAAATAAAAAAAATAAAAAACTTATGATAAAATATGAGTAAAATGCATGATTAAAATATATGTTTTTCCTATATAGATATTGTGTGGTAAATATGCTCTCTTTGGGAGGCTCTAGTGGCATAAATTACTCCACTGTGTTCATGTGCTGCAACCCATTACTTTCAACAGTACTCTTTCACTGTGAAATCTTCTCTTGCACTATAGTGTACAATACTTTCATGACAGTTAAATTTGCATTTTCACAACAGTATGTAGTAGAAATGATTGTAATAATAATAGATAATTTTTACGGTGGGTTGAAATAGAACTGTAGTGAAATTAAGAAATTTTGACGTATTTCTTATAATTAAAACAAAGTTTGAACCAATTTTCTCTAAGACAACCCATGGCCAGAAAAAAAAAAGCCAATAAGACATCCCAATCAAGTTATATATCCTACTATCATACGCCCAAGTATTAGACGGAAGAAAAGCAAATAACCAAACATTAAAGTATATATCTAGCAAGAGTATAGTTAATAAAAGAGTGATCCAATCAACGAGCATGTCCAAAGGTCTAAAGTTCGACCTTGGGAAATGAAGTTATGTTAAATACTTGTTGGGGGATATTTTTGCCCTTACAATCTGATCTGGCTTGATCTAAATTAATTGAGGGTCTTAAAGATTGTACTCTAAATACCATGGTATTAAAAACTGGACCGGACTGACCGGGTCAACCCGAAAACCGGTGAACCGGTCCTTTGTCCGATCTGGGTTTGCTCTTAACCCGGTGAGGGAGTGAACCGGTGTAACCCGGTCAACTCGGGTTTAACCCGGTATAACCCGGATAACCCGGTGAGTTGACTGGGTTAACCGGGTTAATATTTTTTCAGACTTTCACCCCAAAACGACGTCGTTTTTGATTTTTTTTTCATTTTTAATTTTTCAGAGCTCTGAGTTCGGAAAAAAATAACAAAAAAAAGTAAAATTGAAGTCAAAAAATGAAAAATTAGAGATAGAGCATGCTAAGTCCAAAAATATAGTATTTTATTATTGTTAGACTTTTGAGTGGTTGGATTTGGTTGAATGTTTTTATAATTAATATCTTTTTATTTAAATTGTATTATTTTAATCACGATCGGTTTGCCACCGTTCAACCCCTGGTTCAACCCTGATTGAATCACTAACCCGTGACCCAATGCCATGATCGATTTAATGACCGGTCCGGTTTTACGTACCTTGCTAAATACCAAATGCAAATGTATATGCAACAATAAAAAATGACAAAAGAGTGATCAAATTGGTAAAGATCAATGTAATCAACTCATATTCTACAAAAAGTGTAGGTTTGATTAATCTTCCTACTAATAACACAATCTTGTTAACCGATAATTTGTAGGTATATTTATGTATACACTGTTTGAAAGATAACGTTTTGACATTTTGTAACCGCATAATATAAGTTATAGAGCAAACTCAAGGTATATATACCGTGTCTCAATGATTGTTCACTGTGGGATATTTTTTTTTCCCCCTCTAAGAAATCTAAAACGGAAAGGCCGTGTGTGTTTGCGCTAAGCACCATGTGAAACCCATTTAGTTAGTTTTAATAACGTACCATGTAACAAAATCATGAATTTTAATTATTTTTATGTTGTCAAAATGTGAATGGACTTAAATTAATCTTAGAAGGTAAATTTTAATAACTAATATATGATAGAGAGGATCACATCCAATAAGTCCTTGAGAAAATTATTCGCAAACAAGGATTAAAAGCAAATCTTATTAAAAAAATAAATAAATTATGTTTCCATTTTAATAAAAATTCATTCTGTATTAGTCCTTACTCTCTTTATTTCTACATATAAAGAGAAAAAAATTATATTACGCAATTTAAAAAGTTGGTTAACAATAATAATTATATCTAAAAATAAAAAAATTAAACTAAAATGTCTTATGTTCATCAACATAAACATACATTAATTATTTTTTGATAATGTAAATTATGAGGGGCGATTTAAAAATATGTAATAAATATTTATTAAAATATGTAATTTTACTTAT